TGACAACCTGTGTGTAACCAAATGATCTCTAAAAAATGCACACACTCCTCCACCCTTTTTATTTGCTCGTGTTTCAGATTCAAATTTGAAGTTGGGAGGGGTTGATTCCACTAGCACTGCATGACCTGTGTTTTTGTCAAGCCATGTTTCAGTTAAAAACATAAAGTCAAGATTAAAAGAAGAAATAAAATCATGAATTAGAAATGATTTGTTACATAAAGATCTGACATTGAGCACAGCAAGTTTCTGATTAGTTTCAGTAGGACTGGATGTTATCTTCTTACAGGGAACGTGAAGTAAATTTCTCTGATTAGACAGTCTAACTGTCCTTCTTTTAATCTGTCTACGTGTTGTAACTGGAGATATAGCTCCATCGCAGGGCCCCAGCCTGATATTACCTTTATCATGACTGTATGTCCTGGGACAGCAGAGGCCCTGTGCGTCCTAGCTCTTGGTGATAACAGCTCTGGGGAAAGGCAGGGGAGGGCGAGCAGGGGAGAGTTTGGGTAAGTGACCAGGTGAGGGACCAGGTGAGGGCCGAGGAGGTGGCCGAGGAGGTGGAATACGGGGAGGTTTGGGTGAGGGGCCTGGTAAGGACCGAGGAGGTGGAGTAGGGGGAGGTTTGGGTGAAAAATTAGAGGGGAGAGCTGAGAGAGTCTCTGGTGGTGAAACAGGCACAGTTTTGTATGGGGGAGAGTTCAACATAACCCTTGACCGTGCTATGTTAGGTGTGAGAGGAACCATCTTGATTCCCGATCTGATGAGGCTTTCTAGATGGTTGGGCAGTGCCATGGGTGAAGGTGGGGAGGAGAAGGAGAGTGAAGAGTCCGTTGATGGAGTAGATGTAGCAAGGGGGACTCCAGGCTGGTCTGTGGGCAGCGGAGGTGATGGGTGTGCTGGTGGCGCTGGGGGAGGTGGTGGTGGTGTTGCTGACTCATTCTCTGGGGGAGGTGGTGCTGCTGACTTGTTCTCTGGGGAAGGGGAAGGTGGTGATGCTGACTTGTTCTCTGGGGGAGGGGGAGGTGGTTCTGCTGACTTGTTCTCTGGGGGAGGTGGTTCTGACTTGTTCTCTGGGGGAGGGGGAGGTGATGATGCTGCTGAGTTGTTGTCTGGGGGAGGGGGAAGTGGTTGTGGTTGTGGCAGTGGTGGTGCTGTCAATGGTGCTGACTTGTTGGCTGGTTCTCTGTTAGGTGCAGCAGGGATGCTTCTCCCATTTCTCTTTTCTCTCACTGGATGCACAGGACCCTGTCCAGGCCGGTGCCTCAGAGCGTGGAGGAGGTTTTCCGTCAACGCTCTCACTCCACCTCTGCTTAGGTGTGGGCCATTTCCCTCGAACAGGTCCTTCCGTTTCCAAAAAAGATCAAAGTTCTCAATGTAGTGCAATCCTCTGGCCGCACACACATTCAGCAGCCACGTGTTCAGCTGAAACAGTCGGGTAAATTTGTTCCTGTTCCTTAGGTCTATGTTGGGAAGAGGTCCACTGATAAATGTCTTAACCTCCACTTTATTAAGCTCCTCGAATAATTTTGTGAAATCCCTTTTCAAGACTTCACTCTGTTCCATTCTGATGTCCACTGCACCCACATGCACAATCAGCTGTTTGCCCCCTTGGTGTGTTGACAAAACTTTTGGCAGGAGTTTTGTTATCTCAGAAACAGTGTACGTCGGGTAGCAGCATGTTAGGATTCTTCTGTGACTCACACCACTGATAGCCCCGTCTCCTAGCAGCAACGTATCTCTGACCTTGACGTTTGGCACAGATTCCCAGTATGCCTGCACTCTTTTGGCAACTTTATTGTTCTTGTTTTGTGATGACAGTACATTATCCCTTTGTACATTAACATCAGTCTGTGACAGTGGTGAAAATCTGTTTGTTAGCTTTATTGTGGGTGATATAACGATATTAGCATTGTCTTTTATCACTCGCTGCGCTGGCTTAGCATTTTGGTCTGTACCAAGTTTTGGAAAAGACACAGTATCACTCAGGTTTAAGTTGAAAGAATTTCCACCCTCTTCTCTAGAAGTAACTGTAGGTTGCTCACCACTGGACGTCACTGGTAGCGTCTGATGAAGTCCTTTTTCAGTTTCTAAAGCAAATATCCGTGCTTGTAGCTCATAAATTTCTTGTTGATAGTTCCGACAGCGCTCACAGATAGAATTCCCTTGGTTTCTTCTCCCCGACATGTTGCTCGCTCATCAGATGATTTGTTAAAAAATGTAAAAATGTTTAAAAGTATTAATTTACTTAAAAGGAAATCAAAAATAGCCGTTGTTGGAGGAGGTAAACTGATTAAAAAGGTAGAGGTAGAGCCAGCGTGACCTAACTCTTCCCTCTGAAATATATAGACCTACAGCAAATATAGATATGGTATAATACTGTAAGTACAATATGAAACAACATAACAGTAAATTGAAATAATTTTTTTTTTTTTTTTTTTTTTTTTATCTCTTTCCTATATGTTTTTCTATTCTAAAAAAAAGTTAGTTTTGTTGCAGAATTGTGTTGAATGTACATTTGAAAGTCTGAAAAACAGTGTGAATGATGTGAGAGAGGAAGATGAGTGCTTCAGTAGGTCAGTCAGAGTTTAGGTCAGGTGCTCGTCAGGATCACAGTGGACATTAAAAAAAAAAAAAATCCAAGGCACACCAACTGCATTAAAAGTCCTTTGAAATAAAAACATACTAGTCTAAGTGTTTTTATATTAAAGGATTTTGAATGCAGTCAGAATTTTTAATGTCTGCAACAGTGTGAATGAGTTCCTAATAATTATTGGAATGTTTTTTCCCACATGGCTCAGGAAGCGCAGCATGGAGATCAGATTACACGGACCGCCTGTCACTGCCTCACATTCTGTAGCACGCAGGGTACAGAGGACAGTAGCTAAGACCCTTACAACATGGAGCTCCCTACAACAGAATCCCCCCAGTCCCCTCCAGAGTCCCCTCCAAAGCTCACTACAGAGACACCACTGGAGGCTCCTTCGATTGATATCAGCTGCTCTTCAGTGACAGAGGAACCAGAGAACCTGCAGCAGCCCCCTGAGGTCAGCACTGATTTAGAACCTTGTATGAACCTTCTAAGCTTATCCTTTTCATGTAGATGTGTGTTCAGTCTCTGATCCTTTATCCTCCTCCATACTTTCCCTCTATTACTTGACAGTGAGGGTTGCTGCTCTCAGTCCTTTGCTCAAGGGGGTCTCACTTGAATAAGTGAGAGAATGTCCCCCTCTGTTGGTCGTATGAGTCTGTGGGAGCTCTTGTTTCTTTCAGTTGGAGATGTTGCTGAACATTTCCCATAGTTACAGTTTTATTTTTTACTGTGGCAAAGAACAAAGTGTTGATTCATCAGTTGTGATATGATCTTGTACAGGACTGGTCACTGTTGCGCTGCTGCTGCTAAGATGTGCAAATATTAAATTTTTTTCAAGATTAACATCTTGTCATCTGTAATTGTCAGTTTGGGGCTTTTGAACTGTCCAGCCAATTCTCTGCCAATAAAAGTATTTGGTTTGGAGCAGAGTTTGACTATTTCTTGTGTTTAGTGATAAGGATTAAATGTCTCTATTGTTTATTTTCAGGGAATTAATATTGGAAGTAATTTGTATTTGTTTTTAATAAGACAAGCATACCGTGTTTAGCATAGAGTACCTTCTGAATATCCCTTGCAGATTCTGCCCTGGCTGTAGATGCATAACAGCTACACTTCTAGTCTAATTTTATTTTTAACACTACAGTGGCATTTAGGTATACTGTATGTTGCTTATTATGCCATAATAAAACTATGCTATTTAAATAGCACCTGTAACAATTTCATATGTTTCTTAATTAAAACAATATAAGGTACATTAGCTGCTATTCCCCAGTTTGGACAGCAGTGGTCATGTGCTCTGAATCTGGCCCAAGTTGAATGAAGCGTGGGGTCCACTCTGTTCATTACACGCGCTTTAATCCTATGACTGAAGTGGCATGAATGCCTGCTCTGTTCATTCTCTAAATCCTGCATGGGCACTACCTCCTGAGGCAGTTCCACATGGGTCTTTGCTAACTCTGTTCTCTGCTATTAGATGTGCCCCAGTGCCATGGAGAATCTGTGTTTCCTTCATCAGCTGTGTCTAAAGAATCTGCTGATGTCACAGTTTGATTTGTAGTGGTGTTATATGACAATTAATATGCATGAAGAATGTTCTGTAGATGGCATTTGGCAGGGAAAATGGTATAGGTGGTATAGGTATGGTGAAAATGGGATGTGGGATGCTGTATTATGAGGCATAATTAATTTTAATACAATTGTATTTTATTAATTAAAGTTTAATAAAGCAAATGTGTCATTACTTAATGGTAATGGCATATGCCTTCAGAATAATTTGTACAAAAAGCTAGACCTCTCTCCTTCCACACTTTCACAGAATCTGTGGTTCTCTCTCTAAGAGCTTTATATGCTGTGCAGGTGTTCTTCAGACTGTCCTGGACCTCCTGATATTGTTAGACTGTTCCTTTGTGATGTTCCTGGATCTTCTGGTTTATTTGGATCTAACTGAAAATCGCCCATTTTGGTGAATGCCAGTGCTCATTTTATCATATAATGGCTCAATCATGGTCTTATTTGGCTAAGAACATGCAGTGTATTTTTAGCCTAAGCTACATGTTTTCAGATTTTATTAGTTTCCCAGTTGCTAATAGAAATATCTGAGGATACATGAGTGGGTTGTACATGATCCACTTTTTGGTGTTCTTTGGCTCCTGCCTTGTCTGCTCCCTTTGCCCCTCTCTGCCTCGTCTGTCTTTGTAAATTGACTTAGGTGTAATTGCTTGCAGCAGCCTTCTCCCTGTGTCACGCTGGCCCCATCATGTGATGATCTGTGAGCCTGTAGTGCTACTGTTCTGCGCAGAGCTGTGCACATGGACCAAAGCCGCCTGCTACAACTACACTAACTCAGTCTTTCCCTGCATAAGTGCCTCAAGTTCTTCTTCTTTGCTCTGGAAACTTGTGGATTGTGTAAATGGCTGAGGAGTTATTGATCCCACCATCAGGAAAAATCACTTCGGTAAGTTCTGGCTCTGGGCTGGACCGGTCTGAGAATCGACCAGGCCTGTTCTGTAATTCACTTTATCTGAGGTAGTCAGTTAAATACGAGAAACCGTTCGTGGAGTTATCAAGTCCCATACATGTTTTAAAGTAGAGCAGTTATTTTAAAGAATAAAATTTAAGTCTGGGCATTTGGGCATCACCCAAAAAGCAGACCTCACTGAGAAGATACCTCACATAATAAAATATGACGGTCACTCGTGATTATGTGTCACCCAATATTCATGTATAGCTCACAGTGTTTTGCCCTCTTTTGCTGTGATCAAACAAGATAGACTTGTATACACATTAATAGTATACTATATAGACATACTTCTCTCAGAGCCTGTGATTGGTGAAGTCAGAACTCCTCTCCAGGTGAACACCAGGAAAAATCATATTTGTACTAACAACCAAACTGTAAAAATGTTAAGTTTTCTACAAATGCACTGTAACTGTAACTGTAGAGCCTCAGGAATGCAAAGATTATATTGTTTGCCCACAAATCCAAACTTTGGTTACTTTCTTTCTGTTCTACATGCTCTTACTTATACAGTCTCAATTCTGTCCCTTGTCATATCATCCGCTATCGCAGAAGAAACACCTGAGGCCCATGTTTAGCTTTGGCTATATGAGGTTATACACATGACATCACAACATTCAGAATTTTTTGAGTGGGAACATATGAGTGGTGAGTAAAAAGTAAACATTTACTTTGTACCTGATGACAAGGAAATCAAGAAACACTAGTAGAAAACTAATTAACAGATAAACAACAGGAACACACACATTTTTCACTGATACAGACTTTGGGATCAGACGCAACTGAACTATGTTGTTGAAGATATTATTGAGCCAAGTTGATCTACTCTTTAACTAAACCTAACCCACAGCAGCAATGGAGATGATGGAGTTATCATTTTGCCATATGAAGATTAAAAGGCTAAAAAAAAAAAGAAAAAAAGAAGAAAAAACAAAAATAGATTAAAACACAAAGAAACATATTTTTTCAGATGTGTTGCAAATAGTTCTGCCACTCAGGCGGAATGTTTATGGTCATCAAATAAAATTATGTCACTGCATAACCTCTTGGCTCCAGCAATGAAATACAAATAAGGAACTAGAAAGATTGCTATGATAACCTGTAATAAAGAATGTCCAGTTCTAGCAGACATGTTGTGAGTGTCAAGAACTCAAGAACTCAGACACACTAATATATATATATACTTAGATAATTAGATTTTTTTTGTATTTATATGTTATCTAATGTCCTTGTTCTACCAAACTAACCTAATGTGAACCAAACTAGAATGTTTTTTTCTTTTTTTTCTTTTTAGGTAATAAATTATTCTTTTAAAGTAATAGGCATAAAGTAAACCAGTATCCGTGTCTGTGGTTGTGTCCATATGGTGTAGAGACACACACACACAATTTGATTCTGCATAAAATATAGCTCAGTGGAGTATTTTTAGGGTTAATATTCATTCAAAACATGTCCTGACAGAGACAGGTGCATTTTCCTGCATTATTGGCACTATGTATATAGCACTATGTGTCAATTTAAACACTTTACTCAATGAATTTGTTTTTACATTATTTACAATCAGAATTTAGCTTTTTATCCCAGGTTCTATCTAGGCCTTATAATATATAACTCCAGTCATAATTATTAGATCAGTGTTTGTCAAAATAAGATATGAATGGGTATATACATTAATGAGTTTCCACATTATATTCTACATCAGTCCTGGCATGAAGTTGGGTGCTTATTTAGGCTCTTGTGTAAACTTGGATTTTAGTTTAGAGCAAACAATAATTGGATAAGACTGAATTTATTAAAAATGGTAAAGTTCCTGTGAGCGTAATCTTGGAGTTCAGCTGATCACTCAGGGCAGGCACGGGTTATGGCTGGCAAGTAACCATGTTGTTAGGGTTCATGTGAGGAGACCATAGCTACCATTTTTTATGGATCACCATTTTATCACAATATACAGAAGCTTCTATGTAGCCATACTCTCAAACATGAGTCAATGAATCAGGGATCATCAGCCCAGTCACTGCTTGTCACAGAGGGGCTTCCTCATTCTTTTTGAGAGTCTTAGCAGCCCTGTCAGAGGGGGCCTGTACTATTCTCTGAGCAGATACAAACTGTCTGCAGTACATAGCACTGTAAGACTTTAGTAGTGGGACAAGAATAACCCAACTGTTTTGTTTTTGGCACTTTGGCCTTCTTCTTACTGATGCAAATCCACTGGCAAAGGAGTATTCAAAGATGCTGGTATCAGAACAAATAATGAAATATTTCTCCTTACATGTGTATGTGCTCACATATGTATGTGTTTACATGTCTTTATGTTGTCTACAGCACCTCACTGTCTCTCTGCTGGCTGTGGCCTTCCTCACCTCCTTCGGGAGCTCTATGCTCTATGGCTACAATTTGGCAGTTGTCAACTCACCTGCTCTGGTAAGTCACTCAGGTTTATTTTATTCATATTGTTTTGTTAGTTTAGAGACAATTATGACTTCAGTTTTGTTTAAAAAAGTTTTTGCACCAGGCTAACATGAGATATTAGCCAACAAGCAGGATGATTCCTGCCATTTGTTAGTTCACTGCCTCATCTAAAAGTTGCTTCAGATTCATGGGACATTCTCAAACTCTGCTCTCCACCTTATCTGTGTGAATGTGATACTATGGCCTACGAGAGCTATATCTGATTATAGAAGCAGCTTTTTGTTTATATGGTCCTAAATAGTGGTCATAAATACGCACCAGCGCAGCGTACTGCCACGTCACATGCCACATGAGAGCATGCTCACAAATTGGATTAGACAGTTGAAAATGTCAGTGAATCCCGTGATGATCTGGGCCCAGATTTCCTTCTAATCACACAGGAATGGTGTGTAGTTGTCTCAAACAAGGTGCATGCCTTTCACAATCACCGCTGCAGTTCACATCCAGAAGCAGCTGCACCTCAGGAGGTCAGAGATTGGCCCAATCATGTCCTCATGTCCTGACCTCAGGGTGCACAATGCAACAACAAAGTCACAAAAACAAGTCCCTGTTTTTGAGTTGAATCCCTTGATTATTCTGAAGTAATTAATGAACTATGGCATGAGTTCGGTGTGAATAATCATTTTAGGAAACCAGTGAAGGGAAAAAGTTCAAACTGTTTGTGTGGCTCTTGGACTACTGCAACCATGATGAGATCCATTATCCAGATATAAAATTTAACTGAAATTGCCTTAGGTGTTTACTGAGATTATTTTTGATTGCACATTTGAAGAGCAAAATATCCATCTTTTAACTGCCCTCTGTTCCAGTACATAAAGGACTTCTACAACAGGACTGTGGTGGCTCGTAATGGGACAGGTCTGAATGAAGAGGCCCTAACCCTCATGTACTCTCTCACTGTGTCTGTGTTTGCCATTGGGGGGCTGCTGGGCTCCCTCATTGTGGGAATGTTGGTCACACGTTTTGGAAGGTAACTGTAGATCTTTAAAATAATTTCGAAAGAAAAACTCAGAGTCCAGATAATGGTAGTAAAGGTTTCAAAGGTCCAGAAATGTTTCTCCGTCATTTGCAGTATTATGTTATATAATAATATTAAAAGTCAGCACACTATGTAACATTTCTGGTAAAACACTTAAATATTATGTACATCTTCATCATCTCATTCTGTCAACCAAATCATGTTGTTTGCTGGGTAGTTATTTATACATTATTGTGAAAGTATATTGGTAAGGGTATCACGATAAGTACTATATTGACTCATCGTTCAATATACAATATGTTTTTTGGGTGTTTACCATGGGGACTTTTTACTTATTTTTCAACACTATGATACGATTTGAGCTGTGAAAGAGAGAATTATGAACTTCTAGGATGCTTTACAGATACAAATTAACTTCTTAAGTGTTGCGTTATTTATTTATTGCAGCACCATAGCAATTAACAATATTGTTTAGAACACTTTTTTTTTTAGACAATTCTGGTTTATGGTTAGGTTTTTATTACCATTTATCATCTTACTTTATCAATATATCCCATTTCAAAATGTGTAATCGTGAAAGACCTATGTATTTGGGAACCATCATTATTTGTTTGCTGTTTGTTTTCTCCATATTAAACATCATGCCATCATGTTTTCTATTGTGCTGCAGAAAAGGCACAATCGTGAACACTACCGTACTGGTTTTCATAGCTGGTGCGTTCATGGGCTTTAGTCGGATGTGTGGCTCTCCAGAGATGGTGATTTTTGGCCGATTCATCACAGGGGTCCACTCAGGTATCAGGCTGCTTACTGCCTTTCTTATACCACAGGTATCATCTTCAAAACATCAAAACATTTTAACAGAAGCCAAATAATTCATAAATGACATTGTTTGTAATTGCTAACTCTCTACAGGGCAAAACTTAACTGGTCATTTCTAATTCTTAGTTTAGACCATTACATATTGTCTCCTGAAGTACTCAGATCTGTGCTCTGCTCTTTATTTGAATACTAAATGGCTAATTTTCCATCACTTGAAACACAATCCTGTGGTTTAAGTGTTAACAAACAGTGTCACTAAAGCAGGGGTTCTTACACTTTTTGACATCAGGCCCATTTGTTAAGCATAAAGTAGCCTGCAGCCCATTCTCATATGATGGTGCTCCTGGCCTTACCATGGGTTAAGAATCACTGCCTTAAGGCATATACTGATCTGACCACAGTTCAGCCACCAGCAGCACCATTTCTGCCCTCAGCCCAATAAGCACACATGACACAACGCAACACATAACTACTGTGCATGATACCCACATGGTTGTACATCCACAAAGTTCAACAGGCTCCCACCTGATGCACTCTAGGTTATAAAAGACACTGAATAGCAGGACAGGACAGTCAGATTGTTGTATATTTAATATACACTTACTATTTGTGTTTCTATGTCATCCAGGGATCTCTCTGAGTGTCGTGCCCATGTATCTTGGAGAGATAGCTCCAAAAAACCTGCGTGGCTTCTTAGGTCTGGTCCCCAGTATCTTCATTGGGACCGGGGTCTTCACAGCTCAGATCCTAGGACTGCATGAGCTTCTCGGAAAGGTCAGGTGAACCTGAAATCTTAAGAAAAAAGACATAACAAAGCTTTACCTAATTTATATAAACAAGACTGATAGATGAACTTGTTTCAAAGATACTTATCTTTGTAACAAGTTCAACTATGGCCTTTGTGTGAAAGGCTGCCCTCCACTGGAGCATGCTGGACTGATCATGCTGGCTCCAAATTTGATGTTGATGCATGTGTTGTAGGAGGAGCACTGGCCCCTTTTCTTGTCTGTGGTGGTGGTCCCTACATTTATTCAGCTGCTTCTCTTGCCATGGTTTCCTGAAAGCCCCCGCTATCTTTTGATTGAGAAGCATAACGTCCATGCTACCATCACAGGTATAACAAGTATACCTCTCTGACTCACTAGCTTTCCTTTTTTTGAAAGTGCATGTGACAGGTTTTCATGTTTTTCTAATTGGTTTGGTGGGATAGTTCCTGTGGTGAATATTTATTATAGTTGTTTAGTTAAGTAACAGTTAGTGGGAGAAAAGTTAAGATGAAAAGTACAAAAACACAGGAAAAAGCACCAGTTATAAAATGGAGTGCCTCTACCTTTGTCATTACAAACAGAGAAACATTTACAATTCAGTAGAAAAGCTATGAAGCTATAAAAAAAATTAATGATCAATTTAACATCAAACCAACTTTTTTGCTAATAACAATCTGTATGTCCCTTGTCATGCTGTTAAAAAAAAAAAAAAAAGACTCCCTCTTCAGGTCTAACAATAGTTATCACATGAGAATGACACCGTCATGACACTGGTACACAGTGATGTCACAGGGCTCACCACTGGAATGCCCCAGGTACAAAAGCTCCCTGTACCCACAGCCTGAGGAGGAGCTGCGCAGCTGCTACTACCATGTTTTACTCATGTTTTGGACTTTGTGTTATATAGAGAGGTGACTGTCAGTATTTGGCAAGTTACAGCAAAGTACAGTTATTGTCACATTTCAGTGGGCACACATTGCCTTAGCGGCCCTCACTGAGGTGCAGTTGCCACAAACTTTCCCAAGTCGTTCTGACTTTCCCTTCTCGCTCTGAGACTGTGACTGGCATTGCTCTTGATCATCTCCAGCTTTAAAATGGTACCGGTCCAAGTGTAACATCCAGGCAGAGATTGAGGAGATGCAGGAGGAGCAGCGCTCTCTGTCATCGGTGGAGACGCTGTCTGTGTGGGCGCTGTTGCGGGACCAGAGTGTGCGCTGGCAGGTGCTCAGCGTGGTGATCATCAACATTGGCATGCAGCTGTCTGGTATTGATGCGGTTAGTATGTCCACCTGAACCTTCATCCTTACAAGCGAAATGAATGCAGATGTTTGTAGTCAAGACTCAGGATTTGACTAGGCTGCACTTTGATCCTTGTATGTCATCACAGATCTGGTTCTACACAAATGACATTTTTGAAAAGGCTGGTATACCTCCTCCAGAGATACAATACACCACAGCTGGCACCGGCGTTATTGAAATCATCACTGGACTCATTGGGGTTAGTCCTGTCTGTCCACACTGCCCTGCACTCTTTGACAAGTGTGGAGCAGTATATTATGTAGGGAGAAATATTGTCTTCTGTAATGTCCTCACACTGTGTTCAGTGCTTTACCATAGAGAAGCTGGGCAGGAGACCTCTGATGATTGGCGGCTTCTCCATGATGGGCCTGTGCAGTACTGGCATCACACTTGCACTCATTTTACAAGTAGGTGTGTGTGACTCAGGTGTTCACAATGTACAGTAGTCTGTTATAGAGATGATGTTTCCTTTCTGCAGACAAACCTGTCCTTTATGAGATACGTGAGTGTGTGCTGTGTGGTGGGCATCATCGCTGGCTTCTGTATCGGTCCAGGTAAGTACTTTCATACTCCATATTCAACAGCAGGGTTCATCATTGTTGTGTTCTCTTTGGTTTACAGCGGGAGTGCCTTTCCTGATCACTGCTGAGCTGTTTAAACAGTCCCATAGGCCTGCGGCTTATATAATAGGTGGCTCTCTAAACTGGTTGTCTAACTTCACTGTGGGCTTCGTCTTTCCTTTCATGCAGGTACACGCACAGCTTTGGTAAATGCCAGTGTAACCCTTAGAGAAGAGCTGATCTGTGTGTGTGTGTGTGTGTGTGTGTGTGTGTGGTTGTATGTGTTTAGATGTCTGCAGGAGCCTACTGTTACCTGGTTTTTGCTGCTGTCTGTGTGGCTGTGGCTGTGTACGTCTACATTGTCATCCCTGAAACAAAGAACAAGACCTTCTTAGAGATCAGCCGCATGTTTTCCAAGAAAGAGGCAGTTCTGGAGACACAGGGCCTGGCACAGCTGGACCAGCTAAAACTGAAGAAGATGAATGGATATGGAGGTTTGGAGCATACCTCTGTGGAGCTGGACAGCTCCTCCTCTGCACCTTGACAATGAGGTCGGACTGAAACACACTATCACTATCTCTCAGTTTAACATGACCTGTGGAGAGGTACACTTTGACAGCACTTCCTGGTGTTCATACTCCCCATTTTGTGTATGTCTAGTCAGTTTCATACAATGTGTGTAGTCAAGTCGTTGTACTGTATTTTTGCATCTTTGAATAAAGTGAATCATGAATTTTGTACAAACACTTGTTTACTGTCCAAACATGTTTAGGCTAATACATTTAAAATGTAACACTCCTACAAAGTTCACATTATATAGGCAAATTAAATAACAGCCAAACTTTAAAAACACGGTCTGTACTCTAAACTCTAAAATAGTCATGTCCTTTCCCCAGTGACCAAAGACCAGCTGTCCCCAGCTGTCCCTCAGTCATAGCGAGGCTGAGGCTCCATCCTCTTCTGTCTCTGACAGCGATCAGCTGTTAACGCTGACCCTCTGTGCATATCATGTCACTGTACCAAGTCTTCAGTTTATGCCATGTCCATCTCCATGTCCCCACTCTGACCTGTTGACTCATCCTGAGCAGAAGACAGAGGTCCCATGGACGGACAGTGTGGGCGTGTGGACTGGAGCCCTGTGGTGTCGTCTGTCCCGGATATGTCTGTGGGAGTGGTTTGGGACATGAGTCCCTCTTCACACTGCACGCTTGACGTCCCTCCACCTGCTCATCAAACAGAAATACAAATCTGTTAGTGTTGAAACATTTGGACCTGTAGTGGAGATATGAAGCTGTCCCACCTTCAGATCCTGATCACGTGGGTTGGAAGCCTTTTTGTTGGTAAGTCCTATTAAAAACTAAAACTTTTGGGGTAAATGCAGTGAAATTCCTGGAAATAAAAATAGCTTGGTTGTGAATTAGGACTGAGTCCTGAGTGTTTGAACAAAAAACTGTTGTATTTACTGTGATGCAGTGCAAAGATAAAATATAAAATATAACATATAACATTATTTAATGTCAAATCATGTTTCATTTCAGTTTAATGGTTTAACACTCCAGCGTCATCTTGCTGAGCATAATACTGAGTGGTAGGCCTATAGTCATTTTTTTTTCTTTAGGAAATCCCTACCTTGCCATCGAATGTTCTCGTGGTATATTTACCGGCCATATATGCCTATGTCAAGAAATTCTGTGATTTTGAGACAAAGAAATGCCTGACGTCCTGAGACCTAGATCATTTTGTTTGTTTAAATAAGAATAGAGGAGCTAAAATAATGTGCCCCCCACGTCTCCTCTGGCATCTCAGATGTCATTTCTCTCTTTCTCTGCCCGGTGTTTGTCATGCATCGGCCCATGTGGAGGTATGTAGCTATGCGCAGAGCTCTTGTTGTGGGGACACCTGTCAGTTTCTGAGAGCTCAGCAAACGCACTGCGCATCCGGAGACGGTGCCGCCCACAACAGCTCTCTAACATGTAACTCCACTCTACAGTAACTCTGTTGATCATTCGGTATTTGCCAAATGTGAGAGAATGTGCCTTCTCGTGTCGCCTGCGTTTCTGTATTTAACTCGTTTACGGAGGAAGAGAGGGTAGTTTGTTTGTATTGTGGACTGTGTGATGGACAGCTGCAAGTGCCCGGGTCCCGCCTCAATCTATTTGCGTCCGCTCTGGGCACGCTGCACAGTTACATGAGACCCTTCACAGGATCTACGCACATAAGCTTAAGCAGAAGTGATGCGGAGCTGGCACCGGCCACCGGACAACAGAAACAAGAGTCTCTGGTCCTTTCAACAGAAGATACATTCAAGCCCACAGCTCTGGACCTGCCGCACGCCAAAATGTTTGTTATTAGTAGAGGTGGTCAGGGTGCATTTCATTAGTTTGAGTAACAATAGGCTGCTAGTGGTCCAATGTGTTTGCAAGTAAAGGTTGTTCAATAAAATTCTCACAGAGCACTGTGCGACAGAAAATACTGAGGCTACGTTTTAGTAAGCCTACTATCACTTTAAATAAATAACATAAAAAGACATATGTTGTTAATACATTGGGCTACTTATTTTTATGACGTTAAAGATAGATTAGAAAGATTAAAGGCATTGGTCAAAATGAAAAGACCTATCGACCTATAGGATCAACAAGTATTTAACATTCCTACTTAAATAAACTTAAGCTTCTAAGTTACTGACTTATCTCTGGGTAATACATTAATGATGCTAGATATTTTCTAAACTTGCAGTAAAAAAAAGTAATGTGGTAAGCCTATGGTTAATTTGGGCAAAATCAGCCAAAGACCACATTTGGTCCCTAGGATAGTGTAGACATACAGATAATAAATAGCAATAAATAAATCTGATGATTCTATACCTGTCCTTGATTGTTATAATTTACGTTAAAGTTCCTTGTTTTGATTTTGTGGGTTTAGTGATTAATGTCAATATTGCAGGGTCGGTTGTGAGCTCATCGGATGAGACGCGGCTGGTGAAGAAGCTGTTCACTGGGTACAATAAGGTAGTGCGTCCTGTAAACCACTTCAGTGATGCAGTGGTGGTGACTGTGGGCCTGCAGCTTATCCAGCTCATCAGCGTGGTAAGCATGGCAACACTTACCCTCTTTTCCTATATAACATGTAGAATTTATACCTGTTTGCTGTAATGTATAATTAAATACTCTAACTTATCACACTTTCTGTGTCAGGATGAAGTCAACCAGATCGTGACCAGCAATGTCCGGCTCCGGCAGGTCAGACGCATCCTCCCATCCTAATGTATAATATACTGTATCTATACATATAATATTTGTATTATTAGTATAACTTTACCTTCTTGGGTTCTTTTTAAAGACAATACAGTAAAGTGTATTTACCTTGTTGACATGTTTCGGCTGCTAGCTGCAAGCCATCTTCAGAACTGTCATCAGTGTTGTAGTATTAGTATAGTTTTTATGTTTTGTAGTACTTTTATTATCCCCATAGAGAAATTGTCCTCTGCATTTCACCCATCCTTTCGGGAGCAATGGGGAGCACATGGGGCAGTCTTGTTGCTAGGCTTGCTCAGGACTACCTTAACTGGAGGATTTTACCTATACCTATGGTGCATGTTTTTGAGTTGGGAGTGCCCACACAGAGTGCCTGGAGGAAACCCACCCATGGGGAGACAGAAAGGCCAGGCAACCCAAGGATGGAACTCAGAACCTCCTTGCTATGAGGCACGAGTGAAAGCCACTCAGCCACCGTGCCGCAATATATGTATAAAATATAATACACATTTTGACCTATCTGGTATGTCAGGAGCAGTTAGCCCTTGGAACAAAGGCACAATATAGGTTACATATAAATATACATCAGTGGTAATATAAGATAAGCATCTACCACAGAGGCCAGTTCTGCCTGTCAGGAGCAGTGCTGGTTATGGCCCGTGTTCTAACACTATGGGATCTCTATAGCAATGGATAGATGTGAATCTGCAGTGGAATCCTGATGATTACGGAGGAATAAAGAAGATCCGCGTGCCATCCACCGACATCTGGAAACCAGACCTGGTGCTTTACAACAAGTGAGAAATGCAATGTGTGTGTGAACGTGTATAGACCTGGAGAATAATTGTGGCAGATGTGAACGTTTGACTTTGAAGTACTGTATAAATTGTAAGTTAAAATGTTTAATCTCTGTGTGCTGCTGTCTCTTGGCCAGATTGCCCTTGTAAAGATATGAGTTTTAATCTAGTTAAATAAAAGGCAATATATAAAAAATTATTAAGAAAGATGGAGTAATGTGCTAATCTGTATTTCGCCCTGTGTTACAGTGCTGATGGGGACTTTGCTATCATCCATGAGACCAAAGTCTTGCTGGAGCATAATGGGATGATCACATGGAACCCTCCAGCCATCTTTAAGAGCTATTGTGAGATTATTGTGCTCCACTTCCCCTTTGACCTTCAGAACTGTAGCATGAAGCTGGGCACATGGACCTATGATGGCCGACTGGTCATTATCAACCCGGTGAGAGCTGTTTACACACAAAAGCCTTCACAAAAGCATTCCCACTATCAGACTGGCATGGTGGAAAGTATAACAAATGATAACAATTTTTTAAGTTCAACATATTGCTGAAGTAAATATAGACTATAAACAATAATACTGAAACTAATTTGCACCTCTGATATACAAAAACTCAAGAGCAGATTTAAACCAACAAAACATATTTAAATGTACAATACTTTTAAAAAACAATGAGGTGCAATAAATAAATATTAAATAAAGAATGAAACACTTAATTCTTATTTTGCATCTGTAATAAGTCATAGAAGTTATTAATCCAACATTTTATGGCTTATATCTCATCATGTAGCCAAAAAATGTCCCACTAGTGCAAAGAAATTGTACACATGATAAATACTCACTATAAATATACAAATTCGACCAGGAAGCTAGGAATCTGTGTCTCCCAAGCACTTTGGACTTTTATTATTATTTTATTATATCCTTTTATTTTATTATCATTATTATCATTTTATTTTAAATATAATTTCACTTATGTTCATATGGAAATTTGAATTGAATTGAATATTGACTCCAGAATATATTGTTCCATCTTTTATATATTGAATGATAAGTCAATATAGTCATTATCGTGACAGACCTAATTATTCCTACTATTTTCCCTTACAAAATGTATTTAGTTATATTTGAGCTATTTTGTTATACTGAGTTATAGAGGTCAACCAATATGTTGGGGGTTTTTGTTGTTCTTGTTTTTTTTACCGATTTTTTTTTTTATCAGGAGGAACCAATGGCTAACAAGGTCATCTGATATTTTAGGGCCAATGTGTAGGGCGTATTTGGATTATTTTCCCCACATTATGCTAATCATTAACTCTACCCACATTTATCACAAACCTATGAAAGAGCTGTGCTGTTACATTTTTTTAATGTCCTTTGCGCTAAAGTGTTCAAATAAGGCTTTGTGTGTACTCTTTAATGACTGAAAGGGCCCATATTATACTATTTTGTTGATCTATGTTATAATGTTGTTTCCTCATCACAAACATAGCTGGAGGTGTTGTTTTTTCATGTGGTATTACAGTTAGTACAAAAGGTCAAAGGTAACTGGAAAACTACTGCTTCATGACATAACAAGGTGGAACAGAGCATTTTGAGTTTTTGGAGCTGTAGACAAACTAATAATGCAGGATTACTAAAACATGTGTAAATGAAACACAACTCTGGGTATGATTTTGATGTGGTAACAAATTTTTTTTAACATGGCTTAAAGGTCCTAAAAGTATATCTTGCGTAATATAATTTAAAGCCTGATAGCCAATACCCTAAAAAATGCAAATGTCAGCCTGATAAATTGACCAACCGATATATCTGTCTATCTTAGTCTTACTTAGAGTTAGACAAACTTTATTGATCCACAAGGGAAATTATTCAGACACAGTAGCTCACACATCATAATAAATACAATAACAATGAGCGAAAACATAAATGGTCTTTAATCTCTCTCTAATGAGTTGTTATTTGTGTCCAGGATAGTGACCGTCCGGACTTGAGTAACTTCATGGAGTCTGGAGAGTGGGTGCTGCAGGATTATCGCAGCTGGAAGCACTGGGTGTTCTACACATGTTGCCCGGATACGCCCTACCTTGACATCACTTACCACTTCCTCATGTTGCGTCTGCCTCTTTACTTTGTCGTGAACGTCATCATCCCCTGTATGCTCTTCTCCTTTCTCACTGGTCTGGTCTTCTATCTGCCTACTGACTCCGGTATGGTCCACTAGTAACTGCTCATATGAAATAAAAGGGAACAATAAGCAAGGATATATATGCTTGCTGTCCATGAAAGGCTTTGTGATTTTTATAGATAAAGTAAAATGGAAAATAAAGTGTACAGACTGAACAACATGTTATAAATGCTTGCATGTTATAAACCCAAAACATGCTACAGGTCTCCAAGAACAGTTAATAGTCAAGGTCAATTAAATACAATCAATCAATGAACCTGTCCAGGGCACTGGTGCTAGTGGCTAGACACTTCACCCACATTGCCTAGTATGAAAGTGGTGTGTGCGTGAGTGATGATGGTAGTGGTCGGAGGGACCGTTGGCGCCGATTGGCATGGCAGCCGCGCCTCTGTCAGTCTGCCCCAGGGCAGCCGTGGCTACAACAGCAGCTTACCATCACCAGGTATAGAGTGAATGAATAAAATATGCTGAATGTAATGCTCTGTAAAGCGTCTTTGTGACAAAAATGTCTGTGAAAAGCGCTATATAAATGGGGGACTTACTTACTTATAAATGCAATACTCCTAATGACAATATAAAAATCAATATGTAATTAATTAGGTCACCACTTTGACTGGTAAAGCGTTAATGTATCAACACTTATGTAACTTATGTATAGCAATGCATAACTGATATTTTTAAGGTTAAAGGTCCTATATTACACAAATTATTATTGTGAGCTTTAAAACCATGTTATAATGCTGTTACCTTCTCAAAAACTTACCTGGAATTGTATTTTATTTTGCTCACACATGTTTGAGTAATCCTGGTTTCTTAGTTTGTCTGCATTTCCAAAGCTCACAATGCTCTGTTCCACCTTGCGGTGTCATGAAGTGGTAGTTTTTAAGTTAACGGCTACATTTTAGCTTTTGTTGAGTAGCGACTGGCAATTCCAGAGCTGAAATTACCCAAATGATTTTAGTGAAGGTGTTACCACATGACATCACAAGGTGGAATAGAGTGTTTTCAGTTTGAGAGAAGAACTCAGCCTAAATATGCAGAGTTTGTGTGTTAAACATGTGTGGATAAAGCAAAACACAACTCTGGGTATGTATTTGAACTTTAAAAGGCACAGTAAAAGAGCAAAAGGGTGACTAAATGAATGTACTCTTTATGTATCTATTGCAGGAGAGAAGATGACCCTGTCCATCTCTGTCCTTTTGTCCCTCACTGTTTTCCTGCTGGTCATTGTGGAACTCATCCCGTCCACCTCCAGCGCTGTGCCCCTCATTGGGAAATACATGCTCTTCACTATGGTCTTCGTCATTGCCTCCATTATCATCACCGTCATCGTCATCAACACTCACCACCGCTCCCCCAGCACCCACACCATGCCCAACTGGATTCGCAAGGTTTCCAGCAATTTTTTTTTACTTGACTATTTATTTACTATATTACTTTACTGAACTAAAGGTGAAAAGGTAGTGAATGTGAAAAGTACCACTACATTGCATCACAAGGTGGAACAGAGCATTTTGAGCTTTGGGGATGCAGACAGACTAATAATAAAGGATTACTCAAACATGTGTGAATGAAACAAAACACAACTCTGGGTATATTTTTGATGAGGCAACAACATTCTAACATGGCTTTAAAGCTCACAAGAATCCATTTTGTGTAATCTTTAATTACCTCTGACTTTGTTCCATGCAGGTGTTCATTGAAACCCTCCCAAACCTGATGTTCTTCTCCACCATGAAACGTCCCAGTCAAGAGATCCGGCAAAAGAGGCTGTTCCCAACTGACATGGACATATCAGACATATCAGGTATTAAGGTTTAAGCTCACCATAACTGAGATGTTACCATGGTGACTGCTGTCCTTTTTCTTAATTTGGAAGATGTCAGGTCGATGTTCTCTGTGTATCCTTCTAGTAAAACAAGATAACACTATAATTAAGATGAGACAAGACACAAGATTGAGTCCACAAGGCTGAGACCAAGATTTTGAGCAGATAATAACCAAATTGGTTTATAATTCTGACAAATTGGTTTTAAATGCATTTGTTTTATTTTCATTGTAGAACAGCTTTTAAAAACACATACAAAGCAGAGGGATGACTGAGGAAGATAAACTGGAGGTCAACACAGTGAATAATTCAAATCTGTGCATTTATAACTGGTTTAACTGAGCCATAGGCCTTTATTCAGGCTTAGATCTTCAAGTGGACTCAGAAACATTTGATATTGGTTTTACCAAGGTAGATTTGCAAGCAAAATGGAAACAAATTGAAAATAAGATCACAAGATCATTTTCTATGTGTGTGCACCCACCTTTACTATAATGATAGGACATCTCACACATGCAGAACCAAGAATCTTAACTGTACTTTCACCATAAGTGTGACGTGACAAATTAGGGCACCAGTTTTCCTGTCACTGGACATACACAGGATGATAGATCTTGCTGATTGCATTCCTCCTTGTACTTTCACATGTGCAGGTAACCCCACTCCCACCAGCATCACTTACCAGTCTCCAATCACAAAGAACCCTGACGTCCGTAGTGCCATCGAGGGAGTCAAATACATTGCTGAGACCATGAAGTCCGATGAGGAGTCCAATAATGTAAGCACACATCATTCAGTAAACAGCGTGGAGCCTCTTAAGAGTGTTGAAGTTAACTGTCTGCTGTGTTGCTGCAGGCTGCTGAGGAGTGGAAGTTTGTTGCCATGGTTCTGGACCACATCCTGCTGTGTGTGTTCATGGCTGTGTGTATCATAGGAACAATAGCGGTGTTTGCTGGGAGACTAATTGAGCTCCAGATGCAGCGTGTCCCCTGACCCTTGGGACCCCCAACCACACCAAAGAGACTTCAGCTTCTGAGATGACATGTTTTTATTCTTTTGGTTTTTTGTATTGTATTTGTTTCTCAAGCACAAGTATTGTATTTGATGTAAAAATTCAGGTGCAAATGTAGAAAAAAGGCAAATTATTCAAACAATAAATACATATTCTTGAAAAATATATGCACCATAACTTAAAAAACATAAACTGTTTTAGTGTTATTAAACAGGAAATTGGAAACATGACGTGATGTCTTTTGAGCAAGAAAACTCAATGAGAGCGGATTACCAGACTGTACATTGCAAACATTTGGCATTATTCCAAGAAGTAAAAAAATACTTAAGATTTTTCATATCAGATTATGAAGTCCAAAATGGACAAAAACATGGCAAAAAAAAGTGCAAGCCAAGAATTAGACACAAGTTATTATATCTGTGCAAGAAGGTATATATACAACAATAAACAGTAAACCTTAAAATTAATAAATAGTGATTCAAATAAATACAAAACAGAAAAAAGTGCATACAAGTGGCATCTGTGAGGATATCTTGTCTTTTTGCTTGTTGCTGTGTACAATATGTTGTGATAGATGTAACATCTTATCCAGTTTCATCAAATGAAAAGTTCAGATGCAAAAACTGAAAGGAGTGCCATTTTAAAACAGGCGACTAAAAGTTGTAATTTATTCTTAGCTGTATACACGTTGTAACCCTTCATTCCCCCAGGACTGTTTATACTAAGGTTCAACAAGGATGTTAGCTCGAGCTGCTTGAGAATTTTTCCATCAGAATTTTCTAGTTTTACTGATAATACTTGTAGAATACAGAAACATAAACACTTCTAAAAACAGCTATTTAATTTATCAAATGGTGACTGAAGATTAAATCATAGAGCAGATCTTTTGAGTTTGTTCTTATGAGAAGTAAACTGTGGGTGAGGCGAACAGCAAGCAACTAAGCAAATACAGTTGGTCTTTGAAGGAATGGAAAAACACAACACAACTAAACTGTCTCTGGTCTACTGTGTCTCTGGTTCAGCCTGTCCCATTTCCAGTTGGGACTCAGGAGCTGAGCTGCTAGGACAAGGATCTTCTTTCAACTGAACCTCTGCCTCATGCTCCTCGCTGTCACTCACTTCTTTCTCACTAGTTGTGTCTTCTCCAATCTCATCTTCATCTATTATAAAATGAAAATGAATGTGTTTTTAAAAGGTTGAAAGACTGGAAACATTTCACTGTCAAAAACAAGTGACAGAACTAGGTCTAAAACAGTAAACATTTTCTTGCTAGATTGTAAAAAATTGCAAATATACTTAGTAGTAGGTGAGTGACTCCAAACCTGTATTAGGAGGGTTGCCACAAGAGGGCGGTGAACATCCTTCTGCTCTCATCTTTCGCTCAAAGCTGAATTCTGGCAGCCTGGGTGCCTGTGGGCGTGTCTTCCTTGCAGGATTCATGAAGTAACAGTATGCACATCGATATGCTGCAAAAGACAGCATCAGTACAGACTGACCAAATCCCTCCAACATCTCTCAGTGACCTCAGTATACAAATGCTTATAAATCAATTCTTACCCAGAAATTCAAACTCTTCTTTCAGAGCCATACCATTGTGAGAAAAGCACTGTTTACATATTAGTGCATATCTGAGTGAAAAAGGCAATCATTTTGTAAAATGCTTCGAAAACAATTCAAAACAATATCTTATTGAGAGGCATGTACCGATTCTGAGGGCCATCTCCAACCAAGTACTCCACCACTCTGTCCAGTGTCCCTCGTTCTTGGGGCAAAATGGGGCGAGCAAGAGGAGGCCCCGGAGGGTGCAATCCTACGGAACATACAATAAATTGTACTTTAAAACAAAATGCATTGTAAATATAGATAATATAGCCAAGCCACTAGATAAGGTAGAAGAAATCATTCAAGTTATTTAAACATACCTCCTGGTCTAGGAGAGAAGAGGGGTCCAGGTAGTGGCCCATGGACGACAGAGGAAGACAGAACCAATCTCTCTGGGGGCCCTCCTGGAGCTTACAAAAAGACATGCTCAATAAGGCAATAAGGGTTATAGGATCAGCAAAGTCACCTCAGGGCAAGAATTACAGCAGGTAGGGAACATGGAATGAAAAATTTATACTAAAATTCACAAATATATTACGAATCTTTAATTCCTCAAAGCTGTTCAAGACAGTTAATAGTTAAATGAAATAGTGAAGTAAAATGTTTTTGTCTTACCCCCAGGCACAGCTGCGCCCATAGGCATGGCTGTGACGGGCACTCCTCTCTGACGAAGCACTGAGAATACCACACAATGAATGAACAATCATCTATGTTATAAATTGATTATGATCAATTCAAACATGCACTCACTTAGAGGTATTGTGATTTTAATTGATTTTCTATGAAGACATAATTGCACATACAGTATGGACAATTTATGAAGGGGGTGGGTATACAATGCACATGTTTTGAATATGTGGCTGAACTGTGACTGAAATAATGGGGCCTGTGCAATGATCAAATAAATAAATAAATAAAATAATGAGACGTAACATGACATGGTTCATACCTGTGCCAGGAGATGGTCCCGGGGATGACTGAGGCTCCTTCTGTGAAATAACAACATTAACATCCGATATAAATTCAAATATAGATGGTAGACAAGACATATTAATAAAATGCTCGTACTTGTTTTTTAACGGCTTCAGGATCAAATCGCTCCAGGATCTGTTTGGCTTTTTTGTATGTCTCATTTTCCATCACTTCCTCCAGCTTTACCAACAAACAGTACAACATAAAGTGGTATGTAATCTGCAGCGAAAACTTTGTTCTTGACATGACAAAACTTACCAGTTTCTTTTTGGACAATTTTAACTCCTCCAATTTATCATCTGACATAAAAAACAGCAACAAATTATGATCAAATTTGTATGCATGTTGTATGTAGTAGGCACTGACTTACTGTTGGATTCAGTTCGTTTGGAGAAAAGGAAAATGAGGAGCTTCCGGATAAACCACACCCTGAGATTAAAACAAGAAGACAGAGATGTTACGGCCACAGGTCTCCAGCTCCTCCTGTAGCCATATTTGTTTAAGTCCTTGCTGCTGATGATCCCTATGTTTGTACATGCAAGCCTCAATCTGACAAAACTCTCCTGCGATTGGTTGATTCAATTCAAGCTGGCACCTGGGTCCCTTCCAGCTGATTAATGTATCGCCCTATCATCTGAAACTCATGGCATTACAACTTTAGTTTTACCATTTTCCACCTTGGTTTTTTTGTTACTTACCCTGTCCCTAGCGTAGCTGAGTTGTAACAAATTTGGGGCTCGTCACGGATAATTATAACCCTGACCTTGAGTACTAAAGTAGTAATAATTGTGTAATTGGATGGTTTTAGGTAAATCTGTGATTTGGATTAGTTTTATAATGGCGTTGGTGATGGTGGACAGGTTGGTGGAATGTAATTTCATTGTTTCACCTGTGGTTGGTGCTAAATGGTCTAAAATGTGTGTGGACCCTAAGCTTGCCACTCCTGAGGGTGCTGTGGAGGTTGCTGTGGGCAGTCTTCCTCTGCATCAGACCCTCTTGTACTCCTGCTCTCCCAGGGACAGAGCCCGGCTCAAAGTGAGCCTGGCTGGTCTCAAAATGGAGACTGAGGCCAAGGAGCGAGACTGCAAGGCTCAGCTTGAACTTCGAATCTGAAAGCTCGAGATTGAGGCTGAAACACCCATTAAGATCAAGCTCAAGTTTGAATCTCAGGCTCACCTGTTAACCAGCCATGGTTCTACTGCTGCCACTGACCTGCCTTTCACCTTCCAGTTTGTTACGGCCCCAGGCCTTAGTTCCAATTTGTGTGATTTTTGCCAAGTTCTCCAAATTCCTGCTGCAGGCACCCTGGTCCGTGATTGGTGGGGCAGGTCGACGCCCACCTCACCTGCAGCCACCTCCTATTATTTAAGGAGATTACCAGCACCTGTTCGGGGCTGCTGGCCTTGGTGGCCAGTATGCCATTTTGGTTTCGTGCTTGTGTAGTTTAGTTTAGTTCTGTTTTGTGCCTTTTTTTATTTGGTCACTCGATTTTATTTGTGGGTTTATGTGGTTTAATTTGGGGAACTTGTGTTTTAGTTTAGTGTGTGTCCCTAAGTTTTACCACTCGTTTTTGTGTAAGCCTGCGTGACCCCTTTTCTGGCACAAAACTCTGTTTATTCTGTTTGTTCTGTTTCTTAGTTTAGGTTGTTTTCTGTATATTTTTAGTCTTGTGTTAATTTACATTCCTGTTAATTAAACATTATTTAATTTATTCCATTTTACATCTTGGTTTTATTTTTGTTACTTCCCTCACCCCAAACGAGCTGGGTCATAATACAGTCTACTGCGCCTTTTGACGTGAGTACAAACATTTCACTTGTTCCCACAATTGGGGAATGTGATGTTGACTCTTACAGTCTCTGAACGCATCGCAAGCCTTAATATGGCGTTGCAATGTTTGGCCCATTTTGTTACAATCTAAACTCACTGGTAAAACTCAAGAAGTTGTTGCTATTTACCGCTTGAAAAAAGTTTGTGTTATGACACTGTTAAAGCTGCCATTTTGAATGTCTGGAACCTGAGGTCTACTGGCAAAAATTCAGACAGCACTCTAATGATGAGTCATTTCTACACCCAACTTCTCTGTGACTCCATCCAAGTGTTCTTCACATTTTCCTATTTCTTCAGTATCACTAAAAGTGAAAAGACCAAGAGACCAGAGAAAATGTTTCTACTGCCATAAATCTGGACACCTCATTGCCACCCACCCAGCCCTGAAGCGAAAAGCAGAACATTCTGCACCCAAACCAAGTGTCAGTTTGATTCAGCCTGGTTCAACCACCTTAGCCACTGACACTACCCAAAAACTTGACACTGATTCTGAGTCTTTGATTTCGGATGGTTTAGTGGGTCCGTCTTCTGGCAAAGCAACTGATCAGCACTTTTCTGACTGTGTTTTCTTGTCCAATTTTTCAGATAAACCTGTGGTTCCCAAGTCTGATGGGGAAAGGTCCCAAGGTTCCAAGCCCACCCTGAGAGCCCTGAGTATGACAAAACCTTTTCATGCTGCAGAAATGGACTGTGCATGGGAATTAACCATCAATATCAAAAATGTATTTGCAACCTTGTTGCTATTTTGCCAACGTTTGTATATGGTTGGCAGTTGTAAGTGTAATGCTTTGCTAGAATGTAAGTATGCCTTTGTTTTTCTGTATTATAAATACTGCAACTTAAGGGGAGGGAGTGCTATGGCCACAGGCCTCCAGCTCCTCCTGTAGCCATACATATGTTTAAGTCCCTGCTGCTGATTCCCGTTTGTACATGCAAGCCACAATCTGACAGACCTCTTCTGTGACTGGTGGATTCAATTCAAGTTGGCACCTGGAGCCCTTCCATTGGTGTATCACCCTAACGCCTGCTCAGTGTTAATATGTGGTGCAGGAAAGACTCTGATGAGCTGTTTCGAAAGTCTGCAGCGGCGATGCATGCGCACTATTCTCCATCTGCCGTATCGTGCCCATATAACATCAGAGTACTATACTGCACTTGGATTGACCACACTGCAAACCAGACGCAATTTTGAACAGACATGTCTTGCATTTAAACTGTACCACAGGCTTTCGCCAGCAGCTCTGGGACGGTACCAGTCTACACAGAAAGTTCTGCCTTATGATGTACGGAGGGCCACCTATGTGTTTCCTGATGGGACCCTGCCCTGCGCTGCCATCATACAGAGGTCATGTCTCACTCTGGCCACTAGGATGCTCAATGCGTTGAATCCTTCTGACTGTGTTTCACACTCTGGAACAATGGGTGAATTCAAGGAACTCCTGAGAGCACAGCTCATTGACGAGCCCCTTGCTAACTTCCCTTTTGAATGAGAGGGGGATGGAGGGGTTTATAACAATTTTCCAACGGTCATAAGACTATGGAATTTTAATTTTGTAGTTGAAAAACTCTTATTTTAATTGCAACGTTTGTATTCATTAATGGAAGGGGAAAAAAAATTCCTGGCCAATTTTGGGACTACACCTGCAGCTACCACACCTATAAAAGGACCTGCCCCATGCCACTCATGGCTGCTATTCTGCCTGTGAACTCCAGCCACTTGTTGTGTCTCTTGAGCAGCTTTTTGGTATCTTTGTGATTGAGACACTAGTAGTTCTTTGTGACTTTGAAGAAGACTGGGTTGTTCTGTTGTTTTTGTGTTAATACAATTTGTATAATTTAATTGTCACTTTTTAATTATACATTTGACCACTCTGTTTAGAGTATCTTTTTGTGAAATATTGCAAATATTCTCTTTTTGTTAGTTTTACCTTTACAGTCCTTTTGAATAAATAACAACTTTAGTTTTTACCATTTGGTTCTTTTGTTACTTCCCCCGTCCCTAGCAGAGCTGGGTCGTAACAAGAGAAAAATCAGACATTCTGGGTTCATCTCAATATATGTTCCAACTTCACCACCAAGAGTAATGTATGTGGCCTGCTATAAGCACCTCACTGTTATATCATCGCAGTCACATGCTAGATGATTCAACTTCCCTTACTTCAATGTACCACAAATGGACAGTAGATTGAATGACAATGGCGTTTTCTCAAGCAACATGGGACATAATATGTAAATATTTTTTGCAGACCTACTACATGGAGCATGAAGTACTCACACGACTGGATATGCAAAGAAGGGCAAAGCCATAGTGAAGCGCTGCAGCCAGCGTTCAGGCAGAAACACGCAGTAGACAAGGAGAGAAGTGAGGAGGTAGAGGACTGAGGAGTAGACCAGCAGCCTACCCACCCAAAGCTAAGACAAAAAAGCAAAATGTTTATGAGAAAATACATAAATAAGCAATGCTCCATACAGTATTACCAAGTCTAGCCAGCCAACATTTTTTCATATTCTATACACTGCTACAGGATTTTAATCTCAATTCATTGAGCTCTGTTGCACAGGACTGACTGACATATTAACCAATCAGAGAAACACATGGGTACAGTTACAGAAAAGCTTATATGTATGATGACCACATCAGATGTCAGTGAGGCTTAATTGCACCTAAAATGGCCAAATAATGACTCAAGAAAACTAAGCAAGGACAGACTTGATCAACAGATGTTGAAGGAAAGCAAAAGCACTAAACTGAACTCAGAGGTGAGCCAAGTTGTTTGGTTTGTTTATTTAAAATACAGCATGAATTGGCTTTGATTGACACAAACCTCAGGCAGAAACGATTTTTTGCTATAAAAGCACAAGACAAAAAGTAGACCTGTCTGATTCATCAGACAAGGGCTTACCCTCTGCAGGCGTTGATTCTTGGCTTGAAAGTCCATCAGTTCTTTAATTTCCTGCAATGAAATAACAAAAAAATATGTAACAGTGTCATTCAGTTTTAGGAGTAGAATCTGCTATAAAACAAAATGTTCTAATGAACTGCAAAAAGGTGGTACCTTGTCCATGTTCTCCAGTTGTTCAATTCGAGTAAGTTTTGTCTATTAAAGAACAAAAAAAAAGGTTCAAAAGATAAGTGCAATATAACACTGTAGAGTTACAGCTTTAGTTATCCTGTCATGTCACATGTGAATTCCTTCTCAAACACATGGTTCACTCATGATTAAGCATGACACTTGTCTGAACTGTATATTATTTACATTCTTTCTAGGATTGCTATTGGGTATTTTGTATAGCTTAGCACCACAGAAGTTTATGATGACTTACTTTGGGTTTGGAAATGAAGGCTCCCATCTCTGTTGTGTGATTTGCTGTGATCGAAATTAATATGCACAGCAGTTTATTAAATATAATACAGACGAGGCCAAAAATATGTTCATCTGGTTATACATGGTACAACACACATAAAACACAGCGTATGCATTATTTGATGCCGCAGACAAGTGGTTTGACCAGCTGCTAGCGCGCATTCATCTGTAATATAGTCGTCCACGGAATAATTGATTAATTGGCCATCAGACACTGGCGTAATCTTTGTGACCAATCATTGAATGAATTTACAATGGACAGTTAGACAACGCGTGAAAATGAAAAACATTAAATTAAATCATAAAAACTAAATATTGCAGCATACCAGAATTCCTTTAATAAACGTTCCGTTTTCTTCTATTCTTGTTTTGGTTTCTAGAGTATTAGGATAGCAGCTTAGTGGGGGATGCTGCCATCTAATGTTCTGGCGGGTACACTGACTCATCATAGCAATATTACATAGGTCTACAGTTTATGGGTCACTGTCAGTCACTGGTCAGACTAGACCCGTCAGAACGAACAAAAAGATAAATATTGAAATTACTGAAGAACTTTCAGTTTACCCTACGTGCCTGTCATCGAAGAGATAAGGTTATATCACTGCAGTACATCAGGATTGTCCAGCTGTGGGCGTGTTTCTTCAGCGTCAGATCAACGTCACACACAGATGCGGAAGTTCATGTCACCGTGGAGAACGTAAACTGATATCAAGTGACTTCAGAAAAGGCAAGAAGCTGCAAAAGAAAGGAATCATGAAGATTAAAGCATGTTAACTCAGAGCAAAGCGCGCAGAGGTGATCCACCTGTGCGCAGATGTCCCGGGGTAGAACTTATTACGGACAGACCTTTGCGCTTTGAGACCCGGTGCGACTTTGTGGATGTGGACTCTGCGGGAAATGGACCGACGGGAGGTCATCGTGTGCATCGCAAAATTTAGTCTTTTCACTTTTCTGCGATAGCTGCAATCACGACTCCAAGAGTATCTGGTAAGTGCACAAAGGAAAAAAAAACTAAAACATTCAAACGCCCAAAAAATTGCTTGAGTGATAGTGATACTGATCAGTGATACTACGAGATGGTGTTACATACACAATACATTACTGTAGAGTAATAGAAACGTGGTCTTGGGATCAACTTGAGAGACAACTTAGCCCTGTACGCACCACTTTATGTGTACTAGGCTAGTGGTTCCACCTTAGTACAGAGCATAGACATACGGTCACAATGCTCAGCTAAGAATGTACAGTGTGTTTTTTGGTATTACATTTCTAAAAAGGGTTGTGTGTACGTGTGTACACATGTGTGTATTTTGTAACATTTTGATAATGAGACCAAGTGGATACTTTGTTAAGGGATGTTGAAATGTACAATGTACTGTGCTGAGTGAAGTAATCAGCAACAAGAAATTGGACAGTTTAGGGAAGTGTTTAGTAGCTCTTGTAATGTAATATATCAAGATGATGATGATGAGTATAATAACTGCATTGCTATATTTTTTAACACCAACAGCCAGAACATGTGAATAAATATCATGACAGTAAAATAGAACTTGAAAACAAAGTTTCTGTCTTGAGTTGCATCCATATGGTAAATGGTCTCAAAAAATGAACCCATAGCCAATCACAGTTTAAATACTGTTTCTATCAATCACGTTTTGAGTAATGAATTGGAATCAATCAAGAGGTCAGTGTCTTTCTCTTAATCCACACTACCATCTGTCTGTGTTTAGATGACTGGACTGAGGAGGATGTGATTAGCTGGTTCTGAAAGGGGGCGGGGTTTATTGGGGTTTATTTAGTCTAAGTGGGAGGAGATGCAGGGTGGGAGGGTTAAGTTAAGGTGTAATTCCATGATGAGCCTAAACAAAACTCAAGGAGAGAAGAAGGTTAAAACGGTTTCGAACAGTATGGAGAGCCTGCAGGAGCTGAGGCAGTTTCCACGGCAACTACAAGGACATGCAAAGGTAAGCCTGTGACCGCACACATTGTGTATGATAGACACTGCACAACATTATATGAGGACAGATACTCAAATGTTTGGATCAGCCTTCACTCTTCTCACACTGGTGTCACTTACTGTACTGTATTTATAGTGTGGCCCTGATTGGACTGCTCTTATTTACATCTGCCAGTGAACACAAGCATACCATATTGTAATTTCAGCAGAAGTGTCATTTTGTGTACAAAGCTAACATAATATATTTCGTGTCTCAGTTATGCATAATGAATAACATTTGAATGTATTTTTACATAAATAATTTAGCTTTTGGGACTGTACAAGTCAAGGTTTTCTATATTGCAATGTGTAGCTCCAAACCTGGTTTTCATACTGTTTTCAGGACTCATTGTATAAGTAACATATAACTTTTAACTGTGTCTTATTATTAGATTACTTGTTGGTTTATATCCCTCTACTGCTCAACATCAGAAGTGTGTGGCACTGATGTGAGTTTGGAACACATCAGAATATTGCCGCTAGACCAGTGTGGCAGTGAGTGTTACATACAGTAATGTTACATAAGACACAAGACTCGGCAGCAAGGTGCTCTGGCTGGAGCATTCTCTTGTGGCTAAGCTACTTTAACAGGGCTAATAATAGACAACTCAGAGTCACGTGTTTCACAGCATCTCCCAACTCTTTGTACTAATAAAATAAAATAAACCTTTTCAGCATTTCTATAGAATAGAAAAGGCTATCAAATATTGCTAAAACAAAACAGTTTGGACCTCTTGTTAATCTACCATTTACCTAATGCTATAATATGTGGAGTTAAATGCTCAAATGTCCACTGATGTATCACTCACTATGTTGCCCTTCATGCCCTCACAGGATCAGGCCTATTAAACCTAACCTCCACATGAAGGATGAACATGCTGTCACATTTCCTCATCTAAAACAACTGGTGCTGCTCTACAAATCTGTACAACTCTGAACGCCCATGAAGGATTTGGTGTCCAGCATGTCTCAGGTGGATAAAGTGCTCCATCTTTACGTGGAGGTGCGAACTGTGGATGACAAAGAGCGACTGGGTGAAGACCACAGAAGCAACCTCTGCATGCTTCAGTGTCCGGATGTCCTTCCCCAGTCACACAGAGGTTTTGCTCACACTACAACCAACCACAGCCCTGATTTCTCACCAAAAAACCCATATCGACCCAGAGCTCTTAGCCAAAGTTTACCACCATCCAGGTGCTCCTCCAGACACACTGTCAACTTTCTGCTCCCTCAGGATGATGCTAGGTTACCCACACCAGCTTCTCACCTGGATACACTGTACGGCAGTCTGGGGCAGCTGTCTGGAAGTCGCACCTCTCGAATGCCCCAGTTTGGCTTGAGTGGATCATATTCTCATTACAATGATTGGGGGTCTCACCACAAATGGGGGCCTGAGCATTCATCCCCTACAGTTGGGAGGTGGTCTGTTCCCTCCACTCCAACCAGTTTTAGGAGATGTTACGACCGGTATGGTGCAGATGATGATAATGGGACTACATCTGTGGTGAGATATGGCTATGTTGAAAAAGCCAGTGTTAACACAGCAAACCAGCGATCCTCTTTGTGCCAGTATGATACAGACAGCCCTTTTCCTGAAAACAATATCCGTTTCCAAAAACGTAACAGTGATCCAGGCTTTCACCAAGATCAAGATAATTGCATGTTTTCAAACTACCGCCCAGTTCACAAGGCCCAAAATACCCCCACACTTTACAAAAGAAGCACTCTGGAAGCCGTGGCTAAAGATGCTACTCATAGGGCCTTAAGGGAATTTGGATCTCCAGAGCTCAAGCGTAGATATGAAAGTTATATACAAGAAAACAGTGGCACAGATCTGACTCAACATCAGCAGCCTCAACACTGTTGGTCATCATCTCCAAGTCTGCATAATAAAAGCCCCACACTGCCCTCTAGGTGCAACCAGGCTGAAGTGACCCGGATACAGGGTCAAACCGGGGTCATTGCTCCACACACATCACAGCACCTTTCCTCTACCAGAGCCTCCCCATCACTGAGTGCTCATAAGTGTTCCCCCAGCCTCCATCAGCACTACGCAGAAAGTAAACAGGCCAAGTCATATTCTCGGCCACATTTACCTGCAGGGAAACCCACAGATATCCAGCACACCATTTCTACAACCAGTGCCCCTACAAACAAGATCCTCCCAATGTGTAGCAACAGTGGTCAAAATAACTACAATTATAATGCAAATAACTGCAAGATTTCTAATAGCACTAACCAAAGACACTGTAATTTGAAGGCACACAATGTAATAAGTCCTGATGATTTAAGGCATTTTTCTTCCAGCTACAATAAAGAAAAGGATTCAAAGACTGATGTGGATGGGAGCATGTTTTCAAAGTCAGATAGGGTCAAAATGTGTACCTCCCCAGTGCCTTCTATGGACCCACCTGTGGTCTGCAGCTCTACAACCAAAACTTTTTGCTGTGAAAACCAACCAAATGTAAGATACCACTGGCAGAATTCCCCTGTCTATGTGCAGCCACATACCCAGACAGACAAAACAAAATATAGATCTCCTGAGACTATGGCCGGATATAGATCCCCTTTTCTAGCCCCCAAATCTTCATCAAAGTCTCTATCCTTGCCTTCTAGTTTGAACCGCACTGATTTGTCTCATCATCCAGAAATGCAGTCAAACCACAGTGTGGGTTTTAGTAATGCTCTGAAATCTGAAAACACTGTAAATCACCTCTATTCCTGTACAGAAGGGGGGAAGCGCCACCATGTGTCTGGTAGTTCAGCTATAAACAGTCCTGAGGTCACTAGGAGGGGTGCCCTTGACCCCCATCAAAACCACCACCTGTCTGTAAACCGGGCCTCTAGGTGTGAGGTGTACAGAAGAGAGCACAATGCTAACAAAGAACAAAAAATTGTAGATAAAGTTTACACTGATAGAAAAGAGGAGGTGCCTTTGAGCAACACCCCCCAGACTGTCTGTCCAATCAATGAATCATCCTCCTCCAATTATCCCTCCAAAGTGCAGCATGCAGGCACCGCCTGCAGGCCAGGCCCTTCTCAGAAGAGCAGCAGCACAGGCTCACAGGTTGGATGGAAACGCTCTTTTGTTGTGCCCTCCCCATCCTGGTTAGGACTAGTGGCTTCTATCAGATGCTTAGTTTCATAGCGCTTGAATGAACTATGTGTAAGTTGTGTGTTACCGCCTTTTGCCTAAAAACCTCTCAATCCAATAGTGTATCAAGCCCTTCTCAAGCCCAATATATTTGTTGAATATGTCTTGTGTGTTATGTTACTTTTTTATTTCTTGTATAAAAATGTATTGTGTTCTATAGTTGCCTATTTTCAATTTCCTTTTATAGTGTGTCTTGAATCATCTTATTCTGGAGTTCTGTTGAACCAGAACAGCATTTACTGTGTGTACTGTATTTGTATCCAACAGTTTCATTCATTGTGTGAGAATAAAAAATGGAAAGTGGAAAACCACATATAGGATACAACCATTCAGTTTAATATTAAGTTTGTTTTCTTTTTAAAATATTTTCACAAGGTTAACCCCACACTAATTATAATATTAATTCTGTTGATCAGACTAACCATGTTCTGAGACGGTCAGACCCAAGGTCAGAGAAGATTGCCAAAGCCAAGTGGGACTTTCTGTTTGGGGCACCATCTGATGAATGTTGTTTTACTGAAGGTAATATTCTATTAAAAAAATATGATCTTACATTTAACCCCTGCCACTGCTGCTTTAGCACTAATGCTATTTTATTCATACCTTCATCTTTTTTTAAACAGGTGCTACCTCGGTGGCCCCCAGCAGGCGCTCCGCCGGCTCCTCTGTCCGAGCTAGCCGGGACAGTGTGGGGCAGAGGCTTCTGCATCACAAAGTACAGCAGATTGAGGTGGAGCTGTTCGCCCCCGACCCTCACAGTTCCAGCTCTGGAATCATCCGCAGAACTTTGAAGTACTCTGAGACTGACCTGGACGCAGTGCCTCTGCGCTGTTACCGGGAGACGGATCTGGATCAGGTCCGATCTGTAAATGACTAGACATTAATTTTCTGTTTCTTATTTTTCTAATCCTGAGCCATGCATTGCACACACAGATTGGCACCCATATCAGCCATTCTCTAAATGTCAGTTGTTCACAGTGGTATTTTCAGGGGGTTAACCATTTGAGGGAATATTCAACTATTTAGATCATGTGCATGAGCTGAAATGGTTTGTATTGGCTGCTGTGTAGGTGATGCAGGCTGAAGCTGACGTGTTTGAGGAGAATGAAGCTGAGGTGGACTCTGCCTTTGGGAGTGACCGCAGTATTCTTGGAGCTTCCAGTTTCAGTCCTGAGGATGTAGAAGCTAAACAGAAGAACTCACACAATGAGGAACCCACAGTGGGCCCCCCTGGCAGAGGAGAGAAGGGCCTCAGAACTTCCAGAGAGATGATAAGGTGAGCTTGTTCATATACAACTCTAATACATATTTGCAAATGGTCAGGGTTTTGAAATGTGACTGATCATTGGCATGTGTCCAGACCTTTGGATACAGGCCCTGACTCTCACTGCGCTCTCAAGTCTCCTGTGTCCTTGAGCAGTCCGCGCTGTTCCTCTGACAGCAACCTGGACTCTTTCAGCCGCCATTTTGAAAACATCATGGAGTCACACCGAGCCAAGGGTACCTCCTACAGCAGTCTGGACAGTGTGGACGTCCTCACCACAGGGTCCACTTCAGTCTTTACCTTTGACCTTCCCACACTCACCCCTGAGATACAGGTGGGTGTTCAGAAAAGTGCAATGCCATACAATGCCTATTGCTGCTGTCAACTTATTCAAACAAACAATAGTGAAGTACACCTGGTCCTTATGGTGTGATGTCTTGTTTGCAGACACAGATTTCTGACACAGCCCGGCAACTGATGGACCTAAGCTTTGCCCCTCTGTCCCGCTCTCTCCTCCCTGGTGCCTCAGTGACCTCTGCATCTGAAGGGTCCCCCAGTGCCTCCAACCAGACCCAGGACTGTCACATGAACCGGGATCAGTCCTCAGTCCTCAACATGGGCTCAGGTCCAAAAGAAGGCTTTAAAAAAGTCAGCTCTGCTCCATCTCTCCACAGCAGTGTCAGGTAAGGGCTCTCCTGTGTTGAAAGTTTGATTAAAATTTGCTGAAGGTAATATTAAACACTAGAACTTGGGATGAAAATAGCATGGAAACTTATTATAAAACACAACACATCTGCCATTTTCCTTTATCTCATGGCAATGTGATAAATATCTCTCTTATGTGAATTGTTTTTTTAACTATATGTTTAATAAACATGGCAAGGGGACTTCAGAAATAATGTAATCCCTTTTTATCTCAGTTAACATTCCTATTTTTATCATGCTGTTACTGTGCTGTAAGTGTATTATTTATTTCAGTTAGCAGAAAAATGTAATTTATTGTTTTTTTTTTAAATGTTGTGTTGTATTACATTCTGACATACTGGAGTTTAAAGACTATATCACATCCTGACAAAAAGTTATAATTAAACATCAGATGCCATTCATAAATGTGTATTTTAGTACCAGATAAAATAATTAGTAAAAGGAAATAGTGGATAACAAAGAGAGGAAATGCACAGGGAAGGAGATGCAGAGGAAGGACAGAGCAGTACTGGAGCTGTAGGAAGTCCCACCCTTTCACAGCCAAACACTGACCACAGTCCTAAGGAGACCAGAGCCGAGACACAGGGGAGAATGGCCCCCTCAAGTCTCACTGACAGACCTGAGATTTTGGGATGATGCAGGGGGGACTCATGGCTGTCTGATGGCCAGACTCCTGTGTTGGCACATAGGAGTTTTGGAGGAGGACAGGGAGCTGTACACTCCGCTGTATCTGGCCTCATACAAGTGAGTGGCTCTAGATAGGACAATGTATATTTTTTTCATTCATCTGTTAGTTGACTTTTGACAGGAACTTAGAATTTAGTAGTGTGACAGAAACGTTACGGATTTTAAACCCTGTGTTCTTGTGTGGAGGAGGCATACAGACTGAACTGAGGTTCTTTGGTCTTTTCCTGTTTGAGACAAAAGACTGAAAGGAATTTTGTTCCAATATCTCACAGTCCCAAATCACACTTCTTGGTCATTCTAACCTGACATTGCCTCAGATTCTTAAACTAATGTATATATTTCATGTGTTCTTTTGTAAGTATGTTTATGCGTGTATCCTCCACAGTACAGTTATCTCTTACCATCTTAACCATAACAGCTACTCAGTCTTGCAGGTCTTAAAACGTGTTTTATTTAACTCTAGAAGTCATATAATGGATGCTTCCATGAAATGATCATATTCAGATTCAGACCCCATAACAATTCTGTTTATGGGCACACCTTGTGGGTTATAGAGGAACACAATCTTTGTATTCTACAGGGAACATGTGAAGTGCCCCCCGGAGCTACTGTACCCTCAGTCTGATGTGGCACAACGTTTGGCCCGTGCAGACAGCATCGATGCACTGAACGGGCTCAAAGCAGACCTGCAGGCTGCCAAGAGGCTTGCCCAACGCCTCTATAGCCTGGACGGCTTTAAAAAGTCTGATGTGGCCAGACACCTCAACAAAAAGTGAGAAAGGGCTTTTTTGGCAGTTGTGTGATTATACTGGAGTTTGGCATTACTTTGTTTGTGTGTTAACAGTAACGAATTCAGTCGCTCTGTGGCCGAGGAATACCTGAGCCTCTTTGACTTCAGCGGCCTCACCATTGACCAGGCTCTCAGGTCAACTTACTGTTTTCACACATACAGTTTATCAAATGAATGCACTGATTAAAGATGATGCATTGCTTAAAGGATGTCATTATGTGTGCAGGTTATTTCTGAGGCGCTTGGCTCTGGTGGGAGAGACTCAGGAGCGAGAGCGACTCCTCACACACTTCTCTCACAGATACACACAGTGTAACCCGCACTGCCTCAACACAGAAGGTGCCAAACTACTCCCTCCCACTGTTGAAATCTTTTCATTAAAACACTAATTAATGCCAGTACTATTTGTTAGCCATAGTTTAACTTGGTTTTCTTGTTAAATTTTATCAGATGGCACACCATTGCACACTATTTAATCCAGACCATTTTATAATTCTGTTGACCGTTTTCATGAAAACTGCAAATTTGTTCCAATACAGGCATGTCGTATAAACACTTGTTTAGTATTTTATATGCACTACAAACAGAATTGTGGGTAGTTGTGCAGGAGTTGTATGGACACATGTCATTTTGTTAATTGTTTAGTATGATTTTGAGTGGGGACAATGTTCTGCTCCACAGACAGCGTCCACACCTTGACCTGTGCTGTCATGCTGCTCAACTCAGACCTCCATGGAAATGTGAGTATCTTCCACTGCTCCTTCTGTGTCTGTTCAACATCTGTGCTTTGTCAAATGGACTAAGATCATGTGTGGTATCTTATTTTAATATTAAATGTGTAGGTTACTACTGTTTAACATGCAAAGCTATAGAAACAATTGAGGACTATTCTTGGTGTGTTGTTTGTGTAGAATGTGGGGAAGAGGATGTCCTGCAGTCAGTTTATCACAAACTTGGAGGGACTAAACGATGGAAAGGACTTCTCCAAAGAGCTCTTGAAGGTACAGACATGAAATCACACCTTTCTGTCATTTTGCAATGTAGTATAGAGACAACTGTGACAAATATTTTAAATAAGACGAAATGGTTGTGTACATGAGCCAGAAGACTGTTTCAGTCAAATTACCTTTCTTTCTACAATTTTGTCTCTACTTTCTTCTGTTGTGGGCACTATTTTAATCATTCTAAACCTAGATCAGCAATGGTTTGAATCATTTAATGCTATGGCAGTGGACCTAATTTTACATCACTTGAAACCCATAAATACATGAAATCCATATACTCTTTTGCCCTGTCCATTTGTTGTCAACAGAAAATTAAAGCATCCACCATCTTGACATATTCATTAAGCCCACATTCATCTGTTTTGCGTGGCGTCACTCAATTTATATGAGCTTCATCTCATAAAGGATGACAGATCTTGGGAGTAAGCTCTGGTTGGCTGCTTTAACTTTGAAAAATTGCGCATTTGGAGATTGAGAGAGGGCGAGAAAGAGAGGGAGAGAGGCTGGACCAAAGCGGTGTTACTGTGAGTGTTTGCCCAGTCGAGGATAGCAGTGTTTAACCCATCGGTCTGCAGCTGTAAACCTGTGCTCTCTGAGTGGGTGTGAGTGGGTGCATGGTCGGTGCTGCCGAACCGTTTCCGCGGTAACAAGGGTCTGGAGACGAGGGATTCCTTTGGAGTGGCTGAAACAGAGAGTCTGTTTATCAAATGCTTTTAATCAGCTCGGAGGATCTACTCACTCGGCTTAACTCATGTGTAGTTGAGCAGCGGATACAGGTGGCGTCCTCAGTCCTGGAGTCCTCTGTCGTCTCCCCTTGCTGTTGGCAGCCAGAATTCTAATGCAGCTCTGCAGAGGACCAGGAGACCATTAGTCAACGTCTGCTTCCCTGCACCATCACAGCCAAGGAAGAGAATTACCTGCCAACTTCTAAAGCTCATCTAAAGGCTTTGTGTTGAGATGAACATTTATAACTAGATTCTATATTAAATCCACAAGTAGATAAGTAGATAAAATGTTTGGAGTCAACAGCATTCAGTCGACGGACCGTGCTCGCTCCCGCTCTCTGTGTGTGGTTCAGAACAGACGCAGCTCCCGAGATGCAGACACTTTCAGGAGTCAGAGAAAGCACCGCTCCTGTTCACTCAAACCTCTGGCCTTTTCCAACCTGCTGCCCAAGTCCAAGGACCGCAGCAAGAAGGTACCGGACATGTTCAGGACATGTTCACGTGTCCTCTGGCCTCCTTAGAGCAAATGGGCTTTAGTTTCTTAGAGTTGAGGATACACTGGTGCATGACTCTGCAGTATTTAGGGTCCAGTGACTGTAATGTCATTAACATTAGTCTGAGGTGGAGACTGCTTCAGTGTCCTAACTCAGCTGTTGAGTAAGATATCATGTGAAATTAATGAACTTTTGTATTGAATGGCTAATACGACTATCATAATGTCATTAATTATGGTTATAATAATGTTGGGCTCTGTCCCACTATATACTGTAAAAATACATTTTTGTACTAGCTAATCCAGACTCAGTGGCAAATGTTTGTGTACCAAATGTCTGAAATGTGTCTCATTCTATTTTAAGTCCAAATTTACTTCCTCTGAAAGTCAGCCTTGACTTATGTTTATTATGATGATCTGTATTTTGGTCAGCCCTCTAGTGTGTTGTTGTTTCATATCAATACATTTTATCAGTGGTTCAGTATGTGTATAATGGGAAAATAATTGGCAAAATTGAATAACATTTAGCAATTTTCACAGTTCATACTTATTAATGTCTGTGATATGTCTGGATTGAGATATTTAAAAATGACAAAAGACACAAACGAGTGTAAATGTGAGGTCTGACCATCCACACTTGGGCCCAATCAACAGAGTAATTTATAAGAAATAGTTTTACTTTAATGTGTATCTATTAAGAAATCAATGGAGTAATCTCTGTTACACGCTGTAGTGACCCAGGCCAGTTATAATGTGGCGGACTGAGTGGCAGCAGAATGTTTTTGTGTTACAGACGCTGTACACGTCCATCCGGAGTGAGAAACTGCAGTGGACTATGTGAGTTGACACTTGTTTAAACGCCGCTCGTGTGGTGTTTATGATCCATGCACAGCACAGGGTTATTTTAGCCACTGTTACCATGGTTACCGCTCCTTCTGTTTCTGCTAATAATTACATGTCAGCATCTATACAATTGTGAACTCCCACAAGCAAACTGTTTATGCAGACCATGGTTATTCCCTGGGGTTTATCTTCCAATCTTGTGATGAATATAGGATTTGAGTTAGCTGCTTTATTCAAACTTCAGAGTTCTTAAAAGTACTTGATTCATATTTTTTCTTAGGTCCAAAGAAGTGGACATTTTACACTCTGTCAGCATTGTGCCCAAACACTATGTATATAAAGACTGTTTAGGGCAAATGTATTATAGGCATGTATATTATGTCATTAAGCTGTCCAGTTGACTTTTAAGATTGTAGTGATTTTAAATACGTGGTCAGTAGATATTGCCACCATTTCAGTGTGTGCAGCTCTCACGTCTCCACAGACTGGAGCTGGTGCCATCTGTGCCTCGTCCAATCGTCTGCTCTGCTCAGCTGTGGAGCCTTTTCATCTTTTTCTCACAGCAAAACAATTACTGGTTCTTTGGTCCATCTACCACATGCAGTTATAATTATGCATTATCATTTATAATCCCTACTCTTACTTTCAGACCTACAATTCAGAAATAACAAATTAAGTAACTGATTTTGGTGGCATCAGTGCATATGTTTATGTCATCTTTAAGGAAGGAACAAATGTGAACTCAACAACAAAGCAAATGGATTAATTAAAATGGGGCAATTAGTGGTGTTAAAAGTATAAACACTGCCCCTAAAATAATGTGAAGGCATGAAACACTGTAATCTGAAAGTGGGTGTAATTTAACTTTGCAGTGTTGCAGCAAAGGAAAAACGTTTCAGAGGGGATCTCTAAATCTTGTTTGTGCTGCAGTGATGAGGAGGAAGTGCAGAAGCCTGGGACCACTGTGGCACCAGACGCTCGAAAAGACTCTGCATCCCACACACTGAAGCGTCAGGGGCCCAGCGGGGCCCCTCTGCTCAGCATGGCCCAGCAGGCCAACGAGCAGCTCCACAAGAGTGGGGTCTTGGTGCGCAAACTTCACGCTGACCAGGACGGCAAGAGAAGTATGTTCAATTTCATCATATGTAGACAAAGCAAATCTTCCTTTGTTAGATTTTAGACTTTAGAAAATGTAAAGAGCCTGCTAAATAAACAGGTTTGAACCTGTTTATTTAATGTAGTGTTTAATGATTAAGATGGGAAAGGCCAATTTTAAATTATTACAGTCCCATAAAGCTTGTGTCAAAGTACTGGTGACAGTTTGATATTTCCATCACACATCATTGTTACTAGTACTCATGAAGTCTTGACAAGGTGAACTGTTGCCCATTGCCTAACACTTTATGATTTCATGTAGGGCTGCTCCATTATGACAGAAATCACAATTATTTATCTCATAATTGAAATCACAAATATTTCAAACCATTACTTCTAGATTTTCAAAAACTACCTGTCGTGATGAGTGACTGCTCCAGATTTTGCAGAAAAGAATGAACACACAAAAGATAATTTAATTGTATTTTATACTGCATTTGTGTGATTGAATCAAACAATGCTTGAAATCATGATTATAAATTTGATCATTTGCACAGCCCTCATTTCATGGCCATCTGTTGCTGAAGCTAAAATAATAATTCTGTATTTCCATAGCTCCTCGAGGTAAAAGAGGATGGAAGTCTTTTTACGGCACCCTGAAGGGGCTGGTGCTCTACCTGCAGAAGGTAAGCCTCCTTCCCCTCATCCCGCCTCCCCTCATGCTCCCCTCATCCTCCCCTCAGTGTGCATGGGGCATTCTTCTTTGGACCAATGCTCTGTGCAGGAGGAGTACCGTTCAGGGCAGGAGCTGTCCCAGGAGGACCTGAAGAATGCAGTGTCTGTGCATCACTCTTTGGCCATGAGAGCCGTGGACTACAGCAAACGAGCCAATGTCTTCTATCTGAGGACTGCCGATTGGAGAGTGTTCCTCTTCCAGGCTACGTAAGGCATTTCAATTAGAAACTGCATTAAACAGAACACGTTCCAGTATAGTAGTTTAAAATGTGTGTATATTTTACGAATAATTACATGTATTTGGACATTTGTTTTTGCAGGAGTGCAGAGCAGATGCAGTCCTGGATCACTCGTATTAACATAGTGGCAGCCATGTTCTCCGCTCCACCCTTCCCTCCAGCCATTGGCTCTCAGAAGAGGTTCAGTCGACCCCTTCTTCCAGGGTCCAATACCAAACTGTCCCAGGTACACTCTCCCTTCAGTGCAAACTATAAACTTAATTTGATATAATGTACTGTAACTGCAATTATAAAAACACCTGCACAGGAAGAGCAGCTGAAATCCCATGAAAATCGCTTCAGAGCAGTGTCTGCTGAACTGACTGAAGTCATCGCAGAGTCCAAGTTCAAAGGTCGTGATGTAGAGGAGCAGAAACAACGGCAGGAGTACCTGGAGTTTGAGGTATGCTACATTAACACATGCTGTCATTAGATATTATTAGATATTAGATATTAAAACTTGGGCTTCGTGAAACACCAAAACAGAATGTGCCAGTGCCCCAAAACACCACTGGAAATCTTCTCCATACTGACATCTAGTGGCAATATGCTACAACATCCACGATACTTATGGTTGACACAATGATATTTTATTCACATTCATTTTGTCTTTTTTTCTACATGTTTTCTATATAATATTTGAAATATTTCATCACATGGTCATGTTTTTTTTCTGCTGGTTAACAAATGTGGTAAAATCACAGACTGTCCTAGAATAGGACTTTTGCAAAACAGTTGCATGACACTTTGTGGTGAAACACTTAAGGAAGAGGAAGCAACCAACAAGTTTGTTACATTACAAAAACAGCTGCATGGTCATCCTTAGATTATATTATTTTTATTTTACATTTACATTTACACTTTGACTATAGAAACTTCAGATTCACAATCAGTTCAGGCTAAGCCCTTTGTTTTTGTATAAAACACTGATACTGCATGTTGTCTGCCACTCAAGTTGTCTTTTTTTCTAATAGAAAACTCGCTATGGCACCTATGCCATGCTGATGAGGGCAAAGCTCCAGTTTGGCACAGAGGACCTCTCTGCCTTTGAGTCTCGTCTGTTAAGTGATAGTGGTCTCCACAGAGCCCACTCCAGCCCTGCCTTGCCCCAGTACAGCTCTTTAAAGGACAGGGGCCCCAGCAGCAGGTCCAAGAGTCTCAAAGTCATCTCCACTCACACCAAAGAGGAGAGTCTGAATGGGACCAAGCCGGACAGCAAAGCAGAAAACAAGACTGAAGTATCCTAATGCGAAGTGAAAACATCATGAGTTTCCTGCTGATGGTCAAGATAGAATATGTAAAATGTACTAACAGCAGTCAGATGCCATCCAGGTATTGCCTCATTCACTCCACAAAACACTTATTTCACCCGTGGAGCTTAACAAGAGCTTTATACTTGTTCTTTCTGATCATGTCAAGGTACCACCTTATTCTTTTATTGTCTGTTATAATGACAGTGAGGACTTGTGCAGCTCGTCTTACTATGTTTGATGCACAGAACATGGACATTCCAGATAAAACGTGTCACACCAATCACTGCCCTTACAATCACAGCCAAAACACTCTGGCTCACCTGTCCAGTCCAGTGCATGTGGACACACTCCTACTCTGGACACTTTAGTGTTACTGTTTGGGAGGACTGGTTCAAGGCTGTAGCCTTATACATTTTCAACCTACATTTGTGTTGTTGTTTTTTCACAAGGAGTATAATGTATATTTTGAAGAAATGGCACTTTAAATTATTTTTTTGTGCTTTTTATGTTGTTTTTTGTGGACTGTATTTTTCATATTTTCTGAGTTAGCATCACAGTGCTGTATTATTAGTCTGAGCTGTAGCTGTGTAAAGTATAATCTGACCAAGCTTTGCAATGCTGTAGATACACATATATTCAGTATAATCTACACAAAGGCCAAAATACATAGTACATTCCCTGTTACATATTCCATGGAATATTACTAAAATACTTGACTATTATTATGGGCCCACTCATGTGACATGATTCCACTGTTGGGGAAACTTTTTATTTGAACATTTATAATGTCCCTAAAATGAGTTTGAGTTAGACTTTATCCACAGATGTGGTTCTGGAGTATCGACTGATCCACAGTACAGTTTGGCCTGGTGTAACTTTAGGAGTTTGGTCTTCTGTACCAGATGCTGGCAGCCTCCACATGTAAAGACCAAGGAAACATCTCCTAGATACAATTGTCTGACTTTATTGTGTATTTGCTGTGGCTGCTGTGGCCAGCACTTACAGGGTTTTTCAAACTTTGCTGTAAGCTATATTAACTATAAACTAACCACTGTTGTCTTTTCAATCTCCACCAGACACAAATTCCCTTCATTTGTAACTTGTTTACAAAAGAAGCTTAATATTTAATGCTTAGTGGACAATGGCACCACCGCTGTTCCAAGCTCCTGCTTTTGCCCCAGGCAAATGCCTGCTTGGCCTGTTGTTCCTTCCATCAGTATTGTGTTAAACAGTATATGCAGGTTATATAAATGGTATTTTGATTTTTGGGAGCCATTCCAACTTGAAGCTGAAAGCCTTGTTATGCAGAAGTGTACATGACTTCACATTGAAAAGCCATATTGCAGTTAGCATAGGCTGCATTTTAGGGTACTTATTTTGTTTTTAAATACTAAATTTCAGACCAAGCAATTTATTTATTCTTTCAATCAACAGCAAAAGTTAATATATTTTGGAGATTATATTTTTTTAGCCTTGTGGTGAGTATTTGCTGCAGCTGTACATAATGTCAACCTCAAGTTTTGGTTTCTGTATTTGTATCACGTCAAAGAACAATAAACAATATTTGAAATACTTGTTTATTTTCAGTATAAACAATATGAATCATAAAGTAGTTTAAAAGAAATATACTCTAATCAACTAGAAGCAACTCAATTCATATTAGGAATATGATTCTTTCTGGACACTTTATTCTCATTTCAGAAAAACTGGATGTTGTTGCCGTGTATCTGTTACACTTTATTCATTCGTTTTGACGAGGGGAGGGGCCACTTTGTAGATTGACTAAGGTTGTTTATGAACGCAAACTCGCCCAGAAAGCACTTGGCAGGCTATGGCACAACCAGTTACAAAGACGACAGCCCTGTCACTGATGCAGTGTCTTAAAATTCTTAAGATTCCACAGTTTAAAATTGAGATGGTGATGTGTCATTTAAGGTCAAACCAAAAATAAATAATGGCAAGCTTAAAAAGTATCAGCATTATTTTATAGCCACAATAAATTAAGTGTGCGGACACAATCTAAAATACAAGTTAACAAATGAATATGTAGATTGTTCCATCTATTGCATATATTTATCAAATGTTCTTATGTAACCTATGACTTTAAAGGTCCTATATTATGCAAAGTTGACTCTTGTGAGCTTTAAGCCGTGCCGAGAATGTTGTTACCTCATCAAAAACATACCTGGAGTTGTGTTTTTTTCATTCACACATATTTGAGTAGTCCTTTATTATTTGTCTGTCTACATATTCAAAGCTCAAAATGCTCTCTTTAGTTCAGTAGAGATTCCAGAGCAATTCCAGGGCTAAAATCATCCAAATTATTCTAGTGAAGGTGTATGGAGTTTAAAACATTGGAACACTTCCTGTATTACCACATGCCATCACAAGGTGGAACTGAGTCTTTTGGCTGCTATAAGAACTCAGCCTAAATATGCTGGGTTTTGTGTTAAATGTGTGAATGAAACGAAACACAATTCCAGGTATGTTTTTGATCATGAAAAAACATAGCATAGATCAGAAAAGCATAATACGGGCCCTCTAAAGATAAAGATTGTAAGATTGGTGAAAGGCACAACTATCTTTAACATCCTCCTTTTCTCGTCTTTGAGTTCTGACAGTTTATATGGATTCTCTCACTGCCCTTAAAACTGATGAGACTGTTTTCTGACATGGTTCTGAAGAAGTAAACAAGATGTCAGACTTCCACTGACTGATCACTTCCTCTTGTTGTAGTCTCAAGTCCTCTCATGTGTTGATGACAAAGCTGCTGTTAAGTTGATTTCTGCTTTCCAGTTCATAATGAAGTCACAGGTTGTTCCTCATCTTCCATTGCTTGGCTACCGAACCCACTGTCCACTGTAGTGTCTGGAGGGAGATCATAAAAGTTTAGGTCATACAAACATGTTGCCGTGGTGATGCCCGTGCTTTGTTGAAGTTGGAGCTCACCTGTGCTGTGCTTGTCTTCCCAGGACTGACTCTCTCTCAGCAGCCTCACTCCCTCTTTCACGCCCAGAGACCGAAACGCCTCCACAAGCCCTTCCACTGGACCACCACCCAGCTGCAACACACACACACACAGTGATTAGGATCTGTGGATATGCCTCATATAAAATAGTCCATGATGGGAAGAAAACTTTGAAAATGTGTTTAGTTACAGAATACTGAATACCTGCATTAAATTTGTTTTGTAATCAGTGTTGGGGAGTAACGGATTACATGTACCGCTGTTACATAATCAGAGTACAAATTATGAGTAACTGTATTCAGTTACAGTTACTGTTTCAATGAGTGGTAATTGGATTACAGTTACTTTGCTGAAATAAGTGGATTACAAGGCGGCATTTTCCTGTTTTCACATTTTGTGCTACATCCCATTTATTTTTTTATTTATTTCGGTAATTCCACTCATTGCTGGAAACCCAAACAGAACGCGGCAATAAGAGTGATGTAAACGTCATGTTAACTTTGGCGGCGTCAGTCGGACAATGGACGAGGTCGAAGAGCCAGTAGAACAGCAGCAGTGCACAGGTAAAAACGCATTTGTGTCTTGGAAATTCTTCCTCCGACGTCAGATATAAAAAAAAAAAAAAAAAAAATATATATATATATATATATATATAATCGCCTACAAGTTAAATATCAAACCGGAGCTACTGGCACTGATGAAAACAAACTGCAAAACTGCATAGGCTCATGATGTCTGCACTACTGTCCTATAGTGACCTGCCACACGAGGGGACGCGCACACAAACACACACCTTCATCATCGTCATCAGCCTGAGAACACGTGGACCACGTCTCCTTCCTTGCTACTGCGCGGACACCAACGTCCTCCCGTGCGCCGCGTGTGGACCGTGTTTTCTCGCTTACGCTGCGTAGACCGCGCTTCCTCCTGTGAGCCTCTAAACCAGAACTAACAACAAGACTAAAACCGGGACTAACTCAGTCCAGGAATAAACCAGGACTAAATCAGGACTAAAACCAGGTCTAAACAATATGACACCTAACAGTAGGTTGGACATAATATAAGGTGGTCTCATTTAAAAATAATTTCTCTAGCAATAATTTTTTAATATGGTTAAGGAAAGTCTGGGCTTTTTATTGTCTTTAAGCAGACAAAACACCTTATGTTAACATATCCTGGTCTTTGTTTCTCTACAGCAAACAGTGGCTTATTCATGGAGACTTTGGCTCAACAGACAATTTGAAGAGAACAAACAAGAATTTTCAGGATGTGGTTGCTACATTCATATAGTTTTAAAAATCATGACAATATCAAGTAATCCAAAGTAATCAGATTATATTACTCACTTTAAGTAATTTAATGGATTACATTACAAACTACATTTTGGGGTATGTAATCTGTAAGGGAATACATTTTAAAAGTAACCTTCCCAACACAGTTTGTAATGTATTCTGATACATGATCCAGTGAGAGTACTGTAATCTGAAAACTTGGAATACTTTCAGGCAGGGTTACATTTAAATTATAGTGTAAAGATACAATATTGTATTAAAACTGTTTTATATTTGATCGGCATTTATTTCTCACTGATGAGAGAAGGAAAAATCATGCATGCACTCACCACAAGAGTTTTCATATTTTTCTCAGTAACTATGTACAGTTTGAAGCCATGTATTAGAAAAGTAACTGTTTTCTGATAAGTACCTGTACCGGAATACAGTTACTGAAATTAATACAATATGTATTCTGAATACGTATTACTTCCCAATACTGAAAATAGTGCAGTTTAATCTAGGCCTGGGCTCTGACCTGGTAGTGCTGTAACAGCTGGTGGCAGGGTGTGGGGCTGTCCTCATACAAATGAGTTAGGGTCATCATTCCAAGCTTTTCAGCCAGTTTCTTCCAGGGAATCTCCTGAACATTGAGCACTTCCATCAGACGTGTCAGAGTGTCGCTGTCCATCCCGGAGACCACTGTTTGAACAACACCAATAAAAATGAGTGAACTGCAAATGGGTTTCAAGAACAAATCTGAATCCCACACTTTTTATTGTAACATTAGAAAACCTCTACCATCATAAGGCTAATGATAACAAACTGTTTAGCGGGGACAGACTTGACATTCAGGTTTCAAGACTGAATAAAGGTGCGGTGGCATGGTTGGACGAACCACCTCTGCTTTGTATGTTTGAATATCCGGCCCATGATGAAAACAGTCTGGGATCCATAACAAACAACTGTGAAAACTGATGACTGGGGTTCCCCCTAGTGGGCTGTAATGAGGCCGACAAGTTCTCACATAACTATAAGAACCAGTAAACGCACTTTGTTACCTTCAGAGCTGCTCTGTTTTGTCTTTTTGGCGTTGTGACGACTTGATGATTTATCAGGTTTTGGTGTTAACAAGTTTCTCACCTGAACGCAAGACAAATAAGTTCATAAGTTTAGTATAGTACTTGTACTGATTTATTACCTACTCTGAGTTCCATGTGAGTGGCTGTACCTTTTGGCACGTTGCCAGGTCCAGTGGGGTGTGTCCTGCACGTCTTTTACGGGAGCCTGTTGGTTGTGAGACTGATTCAATTTGTTCTTGGTCTTCATCCAGTTCTTCATCAGAGGAACTGAAGTAGAGAGGCTCGTCGTTTTCCAGCTGTTTATCAGCTCCTGTAAGTTAGATTTCCTTTAAAGAGTGCACACCACTGGTTTGTAGATTATATAGATCATGTCTGACTAAATGGTGTATATGAAATGTGTCAGTATATAATGGTCACTGATATATTTTATTGCCAAACTGATTCATTTTGAGCACAATACCTGCAGCGATGAGCATGGAGCAAAGAGTTGGAGAACCTTGGCTGGCAGCAAAATGCAGTGGAGTGTTCCCTCCAAACGTGCAGCTGTTGACATCTGCTTTTAACTGCACACACAAACAGGGAGGAATAGGGAATCAGATTTGTGGAACAATCTGTGCAGAGTCACATAAATGTTTAGATGTCTAGAGTTTAAATGATACCTCTGTGATCAGGGTGCAAGCGACCTTAAACAGGTTTGCGGTAACAGCCAGGTGCAGAGCAGTGCAGCCACTCTTCTGTTCTGGGGCATTGATCTTAGCACCACTCTCCACCAGCAGGCGAAGACAGCGCTCCCCATCTCTCCTGACAGCCAGATGCAATGGCTGCAGTCCTAGGGGACACGAGATATATCGACTTTATATAAACGATGCCTGATTGAGGGAGTCCTACCCAATCATTTGTGTAAACACACATAAACATTCATACTGCATATTCTCCAGATTAAAACAGATTGGGGAGGCAGGTCTCCACTCGGGCTTGTGGGGGTTATCAATTACCGTGATAGTCGGGGGTGTTGACCAGGTGAGTGTGCTCCTCTGTGAGATGTGCCAGCACCGTGCGCAGCACAGAGGTGTCCCCACTTAGAGCCGCCAGGTGCACAGTGCTCCGCCCGTCTCTGTCCACAAGGCTTGGGTCTGCTCCTGCCCTTAGCAGCAGCTCCACCACCTTCCTGCCGTGAACTCACCGCCAGGTGCAGTGGCGTCTGCAAGAACAGTAAACAAGAGGTGAAACTGTCTGTCATGTTCAGTGGATATAGACACAACTCAATTCATAACCATATCTCTACTGAAGTATTTTTATAGCAGCACAAAAGACTGTACCTGTCTTAGATGGTTGGCTGTGTTGAGGAGGTTGTGCTGTTGTCCATTGATCAGAGTATGAACCAGCTGTTGGACCACTCCGCTCTGCTGGTGAATCACAGCAAGGTGCAGAGGTCTGGAGGAAAACAAAAACACATTTATTATGTGTTTATTAAGCATTATTAAGATTCAGAAGCACGAGCAGAGTTTAGACTTTAATTATTCCCTGATTTATTACCACCTTCTACAGCAAGACAGTTAAAATGACACGTTCCTGCTTCGTGTCCTTATGAATAGCTCAGTACATACGTGTCTCCGTTTGAATCCTGGACGCCGCACAGGTGCCTCTGGATGGACAGGAGCACGCGCACATCTCCACTGCTGCAGTACTGGAGCAGAGCCCCCGCCGTCTGCCTCACGCTTTGGGATGCTTTGCTCTGAAGGCTCATCGCTGAACACAAACAAACAGAGAATTACACTAGAGGCAATGGTTTATGCACATGCTAAATGAAGAAATTGTGCTACTAATTAAAGTAACATTTGGTTTCACTCTGAAAGGATGAGGAAAAATGCCAAACCAGTGCAGCACATGGATTAAATGAACTCAGCAGGTGAATAAGTCAGATAGTTTGTGGCGGCAAAGTGCTAATTAAATTGTGTAATAGTTACTGCCAATATAACATGCAACACAACCAAAATTAGTATGTGCCGTTTTTCAGTTTGCATTCGTAATTTAGCCTGTGTGTGTGTGTCTAACTTTTCAAATTTATTTTTAGTGAAACTGCTAACAATTCATTTCTACCAAATTGTAAAGAGTCCTGCTTTGAAAGTTGTAACACAAATAATGTACGTATTACAAGACACCAGAGCACAAGGTGATAGAACATAGCGCTTTGACTGCATTTATGGTGAAATAGAAACACATGTCCGTACCTAACTGAAAAAGCCGCTGTTGCAGTAGTGAATTAGTTTGTCCTGAAGTTTGCCTTGTGTTTTCTTCACTCTGCTGTGGATCTGAAGCAGTATAGGTGGACATTTGTGTACCTCCAGAAAACCCAGTGAAACCTCCCATAGGGAAGCTCCCTCCTCCATTCATGTGCTGACAGAACTGAAAACCTGCACAGAAGCAAAAGAAAACGGCATGTAACAAATTATCTATCGATCTATCTATATTTTTTATATATATATATATATATATATATATATATATATATATATATATATATATATATATATATATATATATTTATTTCTCAAATAGTTCAAAGATATTGTGGAGGCTAAACAGCTACATGGTATCTAACGTCCATAACTTAAAACAATTAAGTTATGGATGGAAGTTAAGTCCAAAAAGGCTGTTTAAACTGCAAAATTCTGCCAAAAGTTTTAATAACTTTGTGGATTATACAATTTCATAATTTTTTTTTTTCATTTTATAAAATGATAGGTCTTCTGGTCATTAGTTAACACTAATGCTGATTATCTCCGTGCAAGCTTTCTAACTGTTAATTGCATTGTTGCATAGTTGTAAATTACACTAACACAAGCTCATTCGTAGGCAAATGTATTTTTCTATAAAGCACCATGAACTCACCTCCTCCTCCACCAGCTCCCGAGGCCCCACCCCCAAATCCTTCAGCTCCACCTCCTCGTCCTCTCCAGTTCTCATAGTGCGGCAGGGGCTTTTGCTTCTTTCTGAGCACCTCCTCTTTGTCTGTAATAACAACACAACAAAACTAGAAGCAGTGTAGTGTAGTGTGTTCATGAATATGGTGCAGGTGTAATGCGAACCTTGGACCTGGGGAATGTATGTAAAGTGCTTGGGGTCACTCCTGTCTCCAGCCTTCTTTCGTTTCAGCTGCAGAAACACAGTGACTGGCCGCTCAATCTCAGCACTGTGATAGGGCGGCGTTTTGAATACAATGGCGTACTGATGATAAATTTGAAAAGATTTGAAAAGAACAATCAATAAGAGATACCACACACACGCTACCATTTGAGTGAGAGAGGCCTTACCTGCTTGTGGACATCTGTGGGTGAAAAGTCTCCAAAAGCTTCCCACCCGCCTTCATCGTCTTCATAAAAACGTATTTCTATATCATCTACAACAAGTGGCAAAAACTGTCAGAAACTGCAGTGTTTAATAAGAACCATATATGCTCTATATCTAACCTTTCTGGACTTTGTCACAGAGAAGGAAGATCTCATCTCCTCCGAGCACAGACCCACATGTCTTATCCATACGAGTGATCTTCAGATTAGAGGCATTTGGTGATTCTGTATGCAAATAATTACTTACAATTAGTAAAAATATGTATATTCATGTATACATGTGCAAATCAGTACTGTATTCTGAATACTTACAATGATTTTACTCCTTACTGCATTATATTATAGTGAAAAAACATAGCATATAATACCACACAGCTTTCATTGCAAGAGCAGCGTTTTCATTTTTTCTCACTAATATTTTGATTTGATTTTGATTTTTAGAAAAGTAACTGTACTCTGAATATCATCAAATCAAAGAGTAACTGGAACTATATCATAATACATATTTCCGGTAAATCTATTTAGTTACTTCCCAAAATTCCCATCAGAGTATAAGCGACAAAAACTGCATAGACTCACTGCTGTCGTAAATAGGGTTGGACACCACTGGTTTGAGCGCTCGGGTGAAGCCTCCATTGCTGTCCTGGAGGTAAGCTGTGAATTTTAACCTCACAATGTTCAGATCCATGGTGCGACCAAGCTCCTTTGCCTCTTTCAGACAGGACGTCTCCTCTGCATCTGCACAAAAGTAGAATAGTGATAGCTATGGCAGCACAACTCAACAAAACATAACAAAAAGATAAAATATATATTAAATACATATTTATGGACGAAAAACTGCTGACCCTGCAGTTAACTGATGTAGGGTCTAAAAAAAACCAAATGATTTTTTGACATATCACCCATATCACCCCACATATTTCCATAAAGTTATGCTGCTATAGTGAAAAATATAGAAACATAGAGCATAGAGGAAATCCCCTGCGTGATAGTCAGTGATCATACTATGTTACCAGAGAGCTGGTAGAGTGCTCCTCCTTTCTGCCTTCTCTTCTCCTCCTTCAGCCGTCGGCACAGGATGTCCACCACACCCTTCTTGGTCACATGGAGAATGCCCAGATTACTGAACCTGTGAAAATCACACCACCATCATGGCAACAGTACAACAGAATGACAGGTTTGCATGTGGTGAGTTTACTGACGCAGCAGTGAGGTCATTGGGCCCGATGTCCAAAGTGCACGTGCCACTCTCGTTACAGTGGCGTCCCACTAGGCTGTGTGCGTGGACACGAGGGGGGTCTGTGTGTGTGACCAGCTGTACCTCCACACGAGCGTGACCCACATAATTACTAATCTGCAAAAAACATTCACTGGTTTAGTAACTTTTGTCTCTAAATGCTGCTAAACAACACTTTCTTTGCATTGGCACTTCCAGTTAAGCAAGGCTCCTATTCATTTAAAGCAGTGTTTCCCAAACTTTTTTCAGGGGACCCATATTTTAAAAGTCACAGACCTTTGCGACCCAAGTCAATAGATATTATTCATAAATCACCAAATAATGGTGGATTTCACATTATTGAACATTAATGGGGATATTTTATTGTTGACCGAGTGATCGTGTCTCTCTGAACAATTAGTATTACTCAAATTTTAGACAATGAAAAAAGGTAATTGAACCAGCAATAAAAGGACTTGCCTATTTGGACATTATGTGTAGCCCATTTCTTTTTCTTTTCAACATTCAACATTTGGAACAAAATAGTCATTAGTCTCATGTGTCAGAACTGTATATTTGCAGACCTACATGCAAATCGTGACAAGGCGACCCAAAAAAAATCTCTTGTGACCCACCTGAGGGTCACGACCCAGTCTTTGGGAAACAATGATTTAAAGAGCCCATATTACACTATTTTCTCATCTATGTTATAATGTTATTTCCTCATCACAAACATACCTGGAGTTGTGTTTTGTTTTTTGTTTTCAAATATGTTCAAAACCCTGTATATTTAGGCTGAGTTCTTCTCTGACTGAAAACTCTCTGTTCCACCTTGTGATGCCATGTGGTAATACAGGAAGTGCTCCACTGTGTTTTTAAGCTTCATACGCCTTCACTAGAATCATTTGCATAATTTCAGCCCTGGAATTGCCCATCTTTACTGAACAAACAGTAAAAGGTACATAACTGTTAACCTGAAAACTACCGCTACAAAGCATTTTGAGCTTTAGCAATACAGAAAGACTAATAATTAAAGATCACTCAAACATGTGTGAATAAAACAAAACACAATTCCAGGTACGTTTGATGAGGAAAATAGTGTTTGTGGAGGGAACAGCATTATAACATCACAAGGGTCAATTTATAATTTTATGATATAGGAACTTTAAATTAAGAATTTGAGAAAAGTTTTGATTCTAAAATATAATACAAAGATAGTTGATTTGTGAAGAATATTAATGTGTACCAACAAGTCAACATTAGTTAGTTAGTCAACAATACACCGATTCTCTGGAAAGCTTTACATGAGCCATAGAAAACATATTTGAAATTGGCAAGATTGGTAGCCCCATGCAAAATAATACAACTCGAATTACCATGGCAGTGCCCAGCATGGCAAATTCCAGGATACAGGGAATACGTTTTCTTTACTTTTTTACACACGTTCTCCAAAGACACATATCCTGCTAACATCACATGTGAACTTTTACACCAAGCGCCTAATACCTTGACTGTTGGGTAGGTCCTTCTGTTCTTTTCACTCGAGGCCCCAGGGAGCCCACCGTGGGAGGGGCCTTCACACTCATAACGGAAACGAAAGCCTCTCTAAAAAGCAAAGAAGATGTTATTCTCTAGAAAAGCTTAAAAAAAAAATGCAAAAACGTGAAAGAAATGTGTTGCACTGTTACCTGTTTTGGTTCTTCAATTATTTGGATGTAAGGACCATGAGCTTAAACACATAAAAATTATATGTGAATCACCATACTCAATGCTCACACTAAACAACTGACAGCACAGATTTGAGCTGTTGTGTCACAATTTTTAAGTCATTGTTAATGTAAGATATTGTGATTTTTTACAGTTATTTTTTTTAATAAACCATGCATCTTCGTTTTTTTTTGTATCTGAATTAAAAAATGTAATGTTAAATTTCGTACTTTGATTGCACTTTGTGTGTTGAATGTTAGTAAATAGTGGCTCACCAGTCTCAGGTATGTAGGGCTCAGTCTTAATGTCCACTGGAGGAATGTATTCATATGGGGTCATAAAATTAAACTGCAGACAACAAAGAGTGAACAATCAGTCTCAAACAGACTCATGGCTGTTCAAAATATATAGACTTTATTTCTTCTGACCAGCACTGGCTGTTTTATAGATCTAGAGTCACTGATGTGAGATCGGGACAGTCTACACCAGTCGCCTGTGCAGCTCAAACATTATGATGCTACAGATGAGATGTTAGAAAATTCCAATAACGTCACTTCAAAGAAAATGAGCAACTCCTAAAATTTTCACTTTCAAATGCTTTTTTCAATATTCACTCTTCACTGGCTATGAATGTTGCTGTGATAATGCATTTTTTTATGCCTCAATGATTTATGAAATAGTGTTGTGACAAGAAATGATGAGTGGAGTGACAGCATGACTACCAGTCTGAACCTGAGGTCAATGAGATATAGATAGACAGACAAATTCATTAATATTTACAATTAGACGGATCATTTGTGAAAATATTGAAGTCACAATTACATGCTTATCCAGTGTACTTTGACTGCAAGATACATGTAAACAAAGGGCTTCCTAAAGGATGGAGACTGAGTGTGGTTCTTAAAATAATGTATGGTCTGGCTTTCAACAGGAATTCACAGACAAATTTTCTAAATGAGATCATAAATATTGATAAAATTGTATCACTTTGCATAAATTATCTCTGTGTCATATTGGTGCTCAAACCTAATACCGAGTTGGTGGCTGTACATCATAGTTTCAATTGATGCATTATTACTTATGTTTTGGAAGTGATGAATGTTGTAAACACAAAGAGGCACTTACAGGATCACTGTCATAGATGTTGATCATTTGCCCCTCGGTCATCCTACAGGACATACAATCACAGCACATTAATATCCAGCTGCAGCTCTAACAAAACCCACCCTCTCTTACCCCTTTGACCCCCTCTGAAAAACTGTGACCCCCTCTGATTCCTCTGACCCCCTCTGATCACCTGTGAAGTGTGAATCTCTCTGATCTGCGATAACGGGAAATAAAGAGCCTAACAAAACTACAGGTAAAACCCCTTCCTCCACTTTTCTTTACAGTGACTTCCTGGAAGTGGAGCCAAGGAAAACCCCCAGAACTCCAGATCGAAGGGGGCGGGGCTTCATACACTGATGTCACTGCTGCTTCATAACAGTCCTACACATATTTTTCTCTGAAATTTCCCAAACACATCCAAACTGAGAGTCATATGATAAATAACATATACATAACCACACGCACGCGTTCTATCTACTTGAGACACCTCTGCTGCGGATGGAAAGTCCCCATGAAAGAGCAAATTTCTGTAATGTCTGAACCATAGAGTGAGCAGACCATTGTATGAAAAGTCCAGACCAAACTTCACCTCAGCACCACAGAATTTTGTCTCATAGAACGGAAAACAACACGATGAACCAACGAAATAACAACAGAAAGTACCTTATTGCTCCAGCCATAACACCGAAGTCGTCTTCAAGGATCCAGAAGAGCACCGTTTCACATCTGCACATGCACAAATGTCATAACTTACCCACAATGTAACTTTGACATGATGTTAAGACTGACTAGTTACATGTACGTAAATATGATGCACTATACGACTGTTATAATAACAGAGTACAGTACAGAGTAGCGTAGTTTTATGAAGCCTATAGAGGGGTAAACGTTAAACACTTAAATAATGTCTCTATTACTGCCCCAAGTAAACACAAAAACATCTGCGTGTGTGCCGGTTCTTCGGTTCAGGGTAAACAGTGAAATTCACACGGTTAAAGCTCAGTAATTGAAGAGTTGAGGGGCTTACCTGACAGCTGAGCTCCGTGCTGTCCTGTTGTGAGCCTGGCTTCTGTTCAGTTTACAGGAGCCACATCCGGGGGCTATCAAAATAAAAACAAGGTTCGTTATGGTGTATTCATTCATTCAGCTGTTTCGTGCGTGGCGCTCGTGGCTTCTGTATGTGACGGAATATCTGTCGCGCGCATTTATATGCCTTATTTGACACAAGCGCTGAGAAGCCAATTGAAGAGCTTTTGAAATGCCCTAGACTCTTGTATTTGAGTCTATGTGGTCATGCATAGTGACAATCTAAAGGCGTTACTTTAGCCAACAGTAGAAGCTACTCCTCAATTCTGGGGACGAGGTGAAAGTTAGGTGGACGTAACCAATAATACCTTTGTGAAATACTCTCGAAGTTTATTGATAAACGTTTATATTCTTTGTGAGACTTTTACTTTGAAAGCAGAGCTTCCGCCGTTTGACAGCGGAAAACCCCTGGACAGAGGGAGGAGCCAAACGAGAACTGAGGGGAATTCCAAAGCCACGCAGTTTGGAAGCGCGCGGATTGCTCCAATTAATGTGGCAAAATTTTCAATTAATCAACTACAAAATCTTAAACCATAATTTTTTATTTTTGTAACAGAAAGAAAAACTCCATAGACAGCATTAAAGTTCACTAAAAGGTCTAATGGTAGTCCTGAAAAAGAAAATATAAAGTAACTCTCTTGTTGCATAGAAGTACAATGTCACAAACAAACTGACTGCATCAAAACTGAACAAAAACAAAAGGAATGGGCCTTTCTTAGAAGTTGTAAACACTGACCCTGTTGGCCATCTGACATGTTACATTGAGGTGTATGGATAAAGGGTTACTTGCAGTTATATTTACATAGATGGTCAAAAGCAGTACTTGTAAGGTAAAGCTATATTGGCCCTGTCATTCCACTCTAAGGCACGTTGCATTCAGTTCTTAGTTATTTTGTAATGTAACAATCAGCATAGGCATATCTAATTTGAAATAGCATTTAGCTAATAAAGTGTGCAGAAAACCGTTATAGTAATCAGTGCACTCTAGCTCTACTCCATTGAGGCATCCCTTTGTAGATCCTCTATTTTCCCTATTAACAATAATAAAATGTAAATATGTAATGATACATGACAGTATAAGGCAAGTTTGACATCAGATATCGTCACACCCCTCTACAGAAAGCAGGCAGGATGGGCTTAAGACATGTGCAGTTAAAATATTAAAGCTAAGAGTCATAGGCTTCTATGTGCCATTGTTCCTGTAACAAATAAGTAAGTTGCTCCTTGTCAAAACAAAATTTTGAAATATTGCCATGAGCCCAGCAGACATGGTTTGACGTTTATGTGAATGTCAGGCCAGCCTCATTGTAAACCTTGAACACTTTCTCTATGGCGTTGACGTAGGCGGCTGTCCTCAGGTCCAAGCCCAGGTTGTGCTTGTTGGCCGTACGCATGATTTGCTGCAGGAGACAAACAGGTCACATATTGTATAATCTTTGAATGCATACTGTAGATCTGTGTGGTAATGCTGATGAAGTAATAAACCGGTACGTTTTCAAAAAGAAAGAAATTAAAAATGATTTGTGAAATTCAGCTTCCTTTCATATTGTGCCATTCTGAGGATGACTGTCAAAAATTATATTTTGTTTTAAATTGTTAATTGCTCTGACAACAGTCCTTCATTCTGAAATCCACAGATATCACAAAATAACATACAAATGTACTACTACTACTACTACTACTACTACTACTACTACTACTACTACTACTACTACTTTCTACTACTACAAGAATAAAAATATTATTATTATTGTTATTATTATTATTGTTATTATTATTATTGTTATTGTTATTATTATTATTATTATTACAGTATCATGAAAATAATTATTCTATGTGTATTTATGAGTTGCCACATAATAAACAGTAAAAGAGAAATCACAGGGGCAGTTTCCTTTGTTTCATTGACAATATCGAGTAAAGTGCTGTATCCATAAACTAAATACTTACTATTATTATTACTATTATTATTATTATTATTATTATTACTACTACTACTACTACAGTTATTATTTCACTTTTTTCTTTTGCTTCATATATTTTATGTCTTCCATATGTATAAATTGTACAAAGGAGTAAAGAAGGTAAAAAAAGCAAAACACAATGAATGAGAAAGTGTCCATAGTTTTTGACTGGTAGTGTGTATATAAAAAACATACCCGAGCAGAGCGCTCCATGGTGTAAGCCAGTCCTGAATGAACAATGTCCTTCTCAGATGCTCCCTGAAACACAAAGGAGATCACTCACTACATCTGAGCATTCAACAGATCTCCAGCAGTACTATTTCTGTCTGAAATGTTTCTTCCCTGTTACCGGCAATAAACAATAGGAATGCATTGGTAAGAAAAGAATATGGCTAATGTCCCATGAACTCACAGCAATCCGAGCCTGGAATTCTGATGTGGGGACCACAGGGATAGATCCTCCATGTTTTCCAAACTTACGTTCCAAACTCTCCTGTACAGACACTGCACACAGACGAATGAGGTCAGCAGTTGCTGCATACTGTACATGTAAAGTTAGCGTGACACACAGACTCACTCAGCAGGTGGTAGTTGGAGTCCCTTTCATATTTAAAAGTGAGACGACCATAACTAACATGATTGAGGTTCTTCAGCCACTCAAAGTACGAGACAGTGACACCACCGGCATTCAGGTACATGTCCTATGAGAGAGAGGAACACAGAGGACTCAATTCAGACAAGGTTTCTAAAGAAATATATATAATAAACATATGAAAGGAATGTCAGAGCAATTACATTTGTTTCAAAAATCTACTATTTATGAAGATTTTGTTTTTCTTTAATAAATGTATGTTTGCTCTATGTATATATTGTTCCAGATAAACTGAGACATAAGGATGGAAAAAGGACGAGAACATATTGAAATGAATGCATTCTGTAATGCTCTTTTGAGCTATAATAATACATTATTATTCTTATGTTACTTTAAAACTTTGAAATTCACTTATAGTCTTAACTATAATTTTAACAATCTGTCTTTGTTGTCTGTTTTATCATTTGTATTTACTTAGCAGTACAATGCTGTACCAAGGACAAATTCCTGACCACAATGAACCACATGTGACAGTAAAACAAAGCAGTCCTGAGACTTACAGGGATGACAAGAACGTTCCTCTCCAGAAATATGCGGTCTGCCTCAGGAGTGGTGGGTCCATTGGCTCCTTCTGCAATGATCTGAAAGTGAAAAGAGCACTAGGTTTGTGTCCTGTATTAAAGCACCCTTACATTATGAGAGTCCAGACCTTGGCCTTGATCTTATGTGCGTTGCTCTTGGTCAACTGCTTCTCTCCTGCTGCTGGAATCAGAATATCACAGTCTGCCTCCAGGATGCTCCCTTCATATGGAGTGGAGTTGGGAAAACCCACTATTGTACCATTAGTCTGGGGGAAAATAAACAGTCTCATCAATGATCTGGTAAATTGGAAAGATCACAATTTTAAAATGTGAAGTTAGAGGGCGCAGCTGATTTTTTATATTTTTAATGCACCTCCAACTACTTCATGTTAACTCTAATAGAGTCATCATTAATTTTGAATTGTTACATTTTTATACTAGTATGAAACAAGGACCAATATGCAGTACTGACTAATTTGTAGTCCTCCAGCTCTTTAGGGTCAATGCCTTTGGCATTCCAAATACTCCCGTCGATTTCTCCCACTCCCACACACTTGGCCCCAAAGCGGTGAAGATACCTCATGGAGTGGAGACCCACATTACCAAAGCCCTAAACACAACACAAACATGTTTTGTTCACTGTTTGGAGAATGGCAATAGAGAATAAAATTGCGTTACAGCATACTGTATAGTGGTACTGTATAAATCTCACTGTGCAGTTCTTCAGTCACAGCTAAGGCAGTTACCTGGATGACAAAGGTCTTGTCCTGGAAGCCCGGGCTCATGCCCAGCTGGCTCATGTAGGACGCTTCATTGATGAAGTTCTCAATGCCGTGGAAAACTCCTCGGCCGGTGGCAGAGATGCGCCCGTGGATTCCCCCCTGACTGATGGGCTTCCCCGTGACACAGGCATGAGCGTTGATATCCTTCAAGACAACATAATAAATATTTTTTTTATTCGTCTGTATATCACATTATACTGTAAAAGATGCTTAGTCTTGGGCCTACTCTGATGTGTTCTGAAGTCTTGGTAAAACATTTACATAAAAGGTTGACATTCTTTGATTCAAACAACAGCATTTATAGCTCTAACAGCATCAGCTTTACGTTAGAATGGCATGACTTGCATGACGTAGATGCTCACTGAAAACTGTATCAGTATCTGCAACAAAAAGTGACATGTAAACATCTAAATCTGATTTGAGTTCTCTGATTACTTTGACACATACAATGTGTAATTAACAGGTTTCACCCCCTTCTGGTCTTTAACATGGATGACCTGTTCAATAGTGTTTGCAGTTGTTTTGAAAACTAACTTACACAGACTTACAGTTTAATAGGGACTTACAGAGTGGGCCATGGTAGTGGCAAAGGTGTCAGCGATCCAGGACATTTCCCGCTCTCCGGTGCTCATGTCAGGGGCTGGGACATCAATCCCAGGTCCTGAACACAACAAACTCCACTTTTCAGGGCAAGGGGGATGAAGCAAATAGTACTGTTCACATTATGGGGGTTTCTTACCAATAAACCCCTTTTTTGCCAGCTCAATGGTAAGTCTCCTTGTAATTTTTTCCAGTTCAACATCCTAGAAAGAGATCAACCATGACAGGTCAAGTTTACTGAAACAAACATCACCAAGCCCAAAGGTGAACAGACTCAACCTAACTCAGTTTGGACTGAGCCTAAACCCACACAGGTCAGGGCAGAAATATTTGTGCTTGTAAATGGCCCAAACCTGTTCAAACTAAACAGAGACAAAGTAAATGTTTACTCATGAATTTCAAATTTCACAAAAAAATGCAAAGAATATTACTGGTACTGCTCATTTTTTGTTTTCATGTCATTATTAATTTTTAGTGCATTTGCCTATTAGCACCTTCTCGTGTGGTTTTGTCTTAACCAAATAAATGAAAATTCATTACAACATGAATATATAATGCAATGCTAATTGTTAAACTTAAAAGCAGTGTTTCATTCTCATTTATGAACTGAATATTCCCAGCTGAACATTTCTGTGTACTTCACTCCAGGAGACAACAATCTGAGAGATAGAGTACTGGATTACAAACCTAAAGGGAATAAAATGATTCTTACAGAATAATTCTTTGGGTTAATCTTGACACCAGCTTTGGCACCACCAAAAGGCACATCTGAAACAGATTTAGGAGAATATTGCGTAAGTATTTGTGTGTGTTTGGTTGTGTTTGTGTGCATCTAAGTGTGTGCTTGTGCACTTGTGTGTGGCCAACGTACCAACCACTGCACATTTGTAAGTCATTAAAGAAGCCAGAGCTTTCACCTCATCCACAGAGACGTCTGTGCTGTAGCGTATACCTGCAGAATACACACAAAACTATTACCATTAACACAATAAGAGCTGCCATCCATTATAAATATATTTCTATTTTATACATATTTTATATTTAAATATTTATAAATTATATTGAATCTATGGGACAGCAGCAGTTGCTAAAGGCATTAAAACATCTTAAAAAAACAAACAAGAAAACTTTCTTAATTAAACAAGTCCTAATACAATGGTCTGGGCAAAAAATGCACACTTTTATTAGGGGCCCCTGCATGTGTTGTCATCACATGTTTGGTGAACTCATCCTGTTGTTGACTGATGATGTCCAAACTTAAACCACTCTAGTGAAGATAAATCTGATGTCTCATATGCAAAAGTGCGACTAGCGTCACTTTAAAGCACTATATCGGACCAGTAGGCCGTGCCTGTTCTGACATAACCCTGGAGAAACCAGTCTGTGTTTTTGCCCCTGAAGAGTGATCCAGTCTGTTTACAGACATACCACAGGTATACCACACCCTTAGTAGAAATCGTGTGTTAAACTGTTCACATTAAGAGCGTCTAATCAGGAAGTAGGTGTTTTCAAAACATACATGCGCATTTGTATGTCTCAGCCAATCAAAATGTTTTTTTTCTGACACACCCCCTCCCTTTATTCTAATTTAGAAAAACAAATAAACAAAATTCATCCTATTTTTGTGACACACTGACACACTTTGTGATACTGATATCAGTGTCAGCACCTACTTTGAGGCCAAGTATCTATTCTACAGAAATATATAATGACATTCTGCTGACTGAGAATATGGCTAAAATGGACTGATCGATGTGCAAAGATCATGGTGGTTAGGATTCCCATAGCCCTGCACAAGGGATAAGGTTTATATCCCCAAGGCTATATTCAAAGGGGAGAGCAGGCAGACATCATCCCGGGCACAGACAGGTAGAACAGGGGCAGTCTGTCCGCATTCCTGTCCGGGGAGGATCTTTAGGTCTTTAAACATGGATACACTTTTCTTATATTACTGATCAGGCTGATTGTCAGCCTGATCATTTGTGGCTAGTGATATTATTACAGTTTACATATATATATATATATATATATATATATATATATATATATAATTTATATTTCCTGATTTCCTCTTCCTGCTGGTGCAGGGTTTTCATCAACTTTGCACTGTGCAGCGAAAGGGGCTCACCTCCTTTGCAGGGAGTCCGGTGCTGACTGTGTTGTGCTCGATAAGCCTCTATCACCTCCCACTCCCCGTTGTCTCTCTTTAATGGAAAGCTGAGGCTCAGGACGTGGTTGCACGGCTTGATAATCTTTAAAATCCCGCGGACCCTCTTCTTTTTCAGTTCCGGGCTCTCCCGTGTCTTCAGATCATCCAGGAGCTTGTCCTCTACTATAGCGGCGCCTCGGTCAAAGAAGCCCTCTACCATTTTGAAGAAGTTCGGGTCGTCGTCCGGGTCCACGGACTGACTGTAGCAGCGGTGCCGCAGCACAGACGCCGCCGCGGCGGGGAGAGTTTCGACCGTTGTGGAGGAGCATCCCGGGGTCAACAGTCCTCTAGTAACGAGCACACCAAAATACCGGTACATTTTTACTAAACCTTACCGAGTTTAGAGTGTTTAAAAAAAAGACCAGATTATGGAAACGAGTTAAAGAGAAGTGAGTGCGGTAGGGCTCGGTGCTCCTCCTCTACCGGGGCCCTTCCTGTTACTCTACACCATAGACCGTGGACCGTATGGGTGCTGCCGTGACACCCAGGGCACGTGCGGGGCATGCACGTGCACCTCTGTTTGTTTTACTCGTCTCTGTAAAAACATGGGGTAAAACATTTAGCACAGAACAGCGCGGGAGTTTAGTAGCATCGGCAGCTGGCTAGCGACTAGCTTACAGTTAGCAACCGTTTTAACAAAGGTTAACCACAGAATCAACAACATAAAAGAAGTAGCTTGAGTTTATCACTTTAATCAATCCAACGTTATGTATGAAAACGCTTTTCATACAAAAAAGTAACACGAAGTGCTTCACTCTCAGTAACTTGACACGTAAAGGGGATGGATTTTTTTTTTAAATAAAAACTTTTTTTGATTTAGGTTGTGTTTATTGTACTTAAAAATGAAGAAACACGCGTCTTTACTGGGCTGAGTGGGCTGGCATCGCCACAAACCTGATTTTTATTTGGCCTGGAGGGGAGTCCTACTTGTTTTCTTGAAAATGTTCCTTTGGCTATAATCTTCTAGAGTATGGCATAAACTTAATATGTTCCCATGCAGAATGTTTCGATGTAGTCTTAATTTTCTGTTTCCATGGTATCAAGCAGGTGATGTAGCATTGGACTAATGAGAGCGTTTTCAGTCACTTCTCACTGGAAGGAGGTTATGGAGAGGAGCAGGTGCAATAGTAACTGATAACTGACACTAACCACCACCTCCTCTGCTGTGGGCAGGATTCACTGCAAACCAGAGTTCAGATGTGTGTCAGGCAGTGTTGATTGGTCAGTGAAACCTCTGTGGCATGGAGGACCACTACTATTTGTCATTTTTGGTCACTATGGACAACTCTGTGGAACTCATGCCCTACTGAAATTCAAAAACTAAACATACCTGTTTTGCACCAGCATTTTGCTAAAGTACTTATTCACTGTGTTTTATACTGTTTATTTTGTTTTTTGTGGTGACCACATGAAATGTGCTTTATAAATGAAATGTGGTGTTGTTTAATGGAAATGTTATTGCTTTGCCTGAAATATTTCACTGCATGGCATTTAACATATCTATTTTGGATTAAGTCAGTGGAAGGTGTGGTGGAAATTTGAGTATTATGTGTGTTTTTCCGTTGTCCAAGATACACTGTAAGAAGTGTTAAAAGCCACCCTATTGTTTGTCTAATCTTTAAGTCTCACCTGAAGACTATAGGTACCTTTATTTTTCTATTTACATGTCTGCTGTTTTATTCCACATGTCTTTTGTTTAATTATCCTGACCTGTACTCAGATGTTAATATATAGGTATTACCTGTCTGAGCTATGAAGACCAAAAGGCCAGATTGACTGCAAGATTAAATGCAATCTGTTCTTGGGGAAGGGCTTAGACCTCAGACAGTATTTAAGTGTTGTTGTCCCATTGCTCTAGGCTCACTGCTAGCAGAAACACTGTCAGTAGAGGGACAGTGTGTTACCTGTGCAAATGTAATAAAGCAACATACTGTCTTCTTGTATGGTTTGTTATTATTTTACAGCTAATTTCCACAACAAATGTGATTTTATTGCCAAAAGATAACTTGAAAAACCTACAGTCTCTACCTTAACTTGACCTGCTTGTCTTCACGGAGACAGACAAGTTTAATACCATACTGTGGACTATTAATGGCAAAGAAAAAACAAGCTGGTAGCAGACCCTCCACTTGAAAAGCTACATAGTGCACCTTTAAAGATAGACATTTGACATTATTATAAATTTATATCTTGTGTCCTTACTATGAATTTCTTCTTCACAAAACAATTCTTTTCCTGTTTCTTCAGAGACTATGTGTGAGCGATTAAGGACTCATGTGTTCCTAGGAGCCCCCTCTTCTCTGTCAAGCCCTGGTCAAGACTCAAGTGACGGTAGCTCCTGTGGTTCTGCAGTCTGGACCCAAGTGGACCTCAGCTGGAAGGATGGGAGGCTAAAACCAAGTAATAATAATAGTGAATAATAATGCATTAATAGGGCATTTTATCTGGGGTCATCACTGAGCAATTAACATTCATAATCCAATAAAACAATCTGAAAAGTTAAGTAAAACCATAGACAATAAATGGACATAAGTAACGCACTAACTTACTGACCCTGGCTCCCATTGACTTACATTGGAATATTGTGGCCCCTCTATCTGTAACTGCTGCTGTGAGTCTTAAATTTTTTTCTTGTTCATAACATAGAGCCTGGCTCCAAATTTGCTCCTATAACCGTTAGCATCACAAGCTTCATTTGAGTGGAGCCAAACATTATGGGTGAATTCACACTCCCTTAGTCCACATTTTTATACAGTCTGTGGGTAAAACTAGCCAGGGGAGCTGGCACACAACTAGAGTAATATACATTGTAGGTGGAGACAATGGTTGACCTTGTGTCTTTCAGAAGAAAACTAGACTGAAAAATGCAGATTATTGTCATTAAGAAGTGTGTGGATTTGGCCAGCAACTACATTTTCAAGATTTTAGCAATAAACAGTAGGTTTGTGATTTGGTAGTAATTGTCAAAGTTGTAAGGATCAGGACCACACTTCTTGGGAACCAGGGTAGCAGTTTTGACAAGGACAGGGCTTTACCAACCTTGTTCATTCACTCATACTCTCTTGGTCTGTCCCTCCAACCGCCAATCACTCACATACACACTACATGCATATAAAGGCAAGGTGAGTGAAGTATCTTTCCCAAGGACACACTGACAGTATACACTAGGTAAGAGCCACTGCTGCCCCACTACAGAGCCTGGTATTCCCAGCAATTTCCATTCCAAGTATTAACCAGGTCCACACTTGCTAACCTTCTGAGATTCGATTTTCAAGGTGATGTGGCTAAATAAGAAAAGTTTTATGTCAACATGGAGAGACTCTGCTTTACTGAATGAGATATCTTTGTCACTCAGACCCTGGCAGAAGACATTGTATTTGGAGTGAGGTGATGAAAGCTGGGAGCAAGTAAAGGTAGATGGAAGTAAAGTTAGGTCTCCAGGCTGAATTTACACTAGCTCCATTTGTTCCACAATAGGGAAAATCACAGATAAATAGATTTAAAACAAAATTCAAGCATTCAAGCATTACCGTACATGCAATATTGTCACTTTCTTATTGTAGTTTATATGTTGCCATATACTATTTTAGTTTATCTTCTGCAGTTACTTATTTCTTGTTGTTTGTTTTTAGTGTAATACATAATACAATAATAATTTGCTCTTTACAGAAGACCAACTGACTGCTGTAAGCAAAAAAATACATTTCCACCATCCATTATCTGTTGTTGATGGGGTTCAAACTGCAAATACTTCAACTGAAAATGAGTGTTCTGCCTCTGTCTTGGAGTATCTGGAAAGCTGTTTCCCTCTGATGGACCAGGAGCCTCTTAAAGCCCCCACTCCACTGTCCCATCACTCACAATACCTCAGCACATGGACTCTGAGTCAGGCTCTCATCTTGAAAGGAGGCCCTCTAGTACCCACTACCAGAACTGCACAGACATCCTTCAGAACCTCACCTCAAGGTTCTGCCACATCCTACAGCACCACCCCAGAGCTGTTCAGTCCTAACCATAACACTAGCCTGGACACAAGCCCCCCTGCACCCCACCTGACAGCACCAAGGGCAATCACTACCACACATTCTGCGGACCTCTTCTCTTCACTCAGTCCCACCACCAGAGGTGAGGAGGGCGGGGTGCTGCTCCAAGCCACTGCCGAGGGGCTTCTCTGCTCACAGGAACAAGAGTCAGATGAGAGTACCTCCAAAAGAACAAAACTTTCTGAAGAGTTCATTGACAAAACTTCTGTAGATAATGTTGTCTCTGTAGAAGCTAGCCCAACCACACCATTAGCTTGCTGTGTCAAAGCTGGAACTCACTACTCTATTTTGGTGGCAGTGGTTCATCCTTGTCATTTAAAAGAGATTAGGGTAGGTGCCAATTTTTTGCACTATTTTATAACTTTTATGCACACGAGACCCAGATTTTGTAAACATAAGCACGCTTCGTATTGAGCTATTGACAATTTTGTGGTCAACTTTTATTTGTGCTTAATATTAAAAAAAAAAATATATATATATATATATATATATATAATTTATTTTTATTTATTTATTTTTGATAAATGACAGCTAAAATCAGGAAAATGTATACCTCTGGCCTCCATTGTTGTGACGGACCAATCAGGAATGGAAATGAAGGTGGCACTGTGGAGACGAGCAGCATTCTGGGTGCTCACTGTCAACCCTGGTGATGTTCTCCTAATAACAGGTATTAAAGACATTAAAGGGCCCACATTACACTATTTTCTGATCTATGCTATAATGGTGCTTCCTCGTCAAAAACATACCTAGAGGTCTTTTACTCACACATGTTTAACATATAAACCCTGCATATTTAGGCTGTGTTCTTCTCTCAAACAGAAAACACTCCACCTTGTGATGTCATGTGGTAATAAAGGAAGTACTGAACTAAAAGTAAAAGGGGGCTGTTAACTTGAAAACTGCCACCATATGACATCACAAGGTGGAACAAAGCATTTTGAACTTTGGAGATGTAGACAGGATTACTCACCAAATGTGAATAAAATGTGTGAATAAAAGAAAGCACAACTACAGGTATGTTTTTGATGAGGCAACAGCATGCTTACATGGCTTACAGCTCACAAGAATAAATTTTGTGTAATATAGGACACTGTTTATGACATGCCTCTACCAGAATTGCAGATAAATGAGGATAACTGGAGAGGGGAAAGAGTTCTATGTTCAACATATAACAGTAAACTCCTGAACCTGGGCAGAGTCCCACCCCCAGGAACACTAACAGGTCAGTGACTGCCAATTGTGTACTTGTGTATTTGCTTGCTCTTTCATGGTTTCTTCTGTTTGTCTCTTGTGTACTAAAAGATTCTCTTGTCATTGCAGTCTCTCAGCAAGTCAGAGCTCGATGTTTGACACCTCTGTATGATTTCCTCACCAAACATCGCCCCCTGCTGGTATCACTGCCTGTCCCTCCAGCACAGGCACTCACCCGCCTCCCTTACGCCACCATCAGGTCACTGAGGCTTAATACACTGGTCCACATGCTGCTAAGAGTGACTCATACTCACCTGAGCAAAGGTGAGCTGCTTCTGCACATAATAAGTTAAACAAGATTATACCATAATTATTTAATATGCAATTTTATAATGATTCTATATCATAAGATTATCATATGTGTTTTCAGAGTGGCAGAGTGAGGCAGACTCTCGCTGTAGATCTGCTCTTCAGCGCAGGGCCATTGTCACGGTGGAGCAGCCTGGAGGCCAGCAGGGGGCGCTTATTTTATGGGGTGCGGCTGTAGAATGGCTGCCACGCTTCACCAGAGACACAGGTAAACAAACTGGGGCTGTCCTTATACAACTTGTTTATAGACCATTTAAATTCAGTTTGTTATTGCACTACATTGGATGATATCAAAAGTGCACTGTGTAACTTTTCTGGTGGAGGGTCCGTCAAATGTTTTTCTTCATGGAGATGTTATTGCTTTATCTGGAATGTTTTAGTGTGGCATTAAACCTTTCTGTATTCATGGAAACCACACCAGATCTGTGGAGAGACAACCTCGCTCACACTAAGAATGCCTATTTTTCTTGGTATTTTTGAGCTATAAAACCACCTGGATAAATGTAAGGTAGATCTGTATGTCATATTGTGGAACATTCTAAGCAGAGCAATGGCAGATCCATAGAAACAAGAAAGTGATGAACTTCCAACCAAAAAGTTACACAATGCACCTTTAATATCCTATTCAAGCATTTTTTTTAATGAACACAGAATACAACAGATTTTGGTCTGTGTTCATTAGCAACCGTATGGGACTTCCATAATCTCCTGGTGAGGGAGGGTGTGACCTTTGACATTCCTGAAGTTCACTCTACCTCATGGAGCTCAGTGCACGCCCTCGACCGAACTGACCCCCGAATGAGCAGCTTTTTACAGCCTCTCAGAGCAGCAGCCAGCAGCAGTGTGGAGCTGGATCTGAGGACCCTGCTGTCTCAGAAATACAGTGGTGAGACAAATAGTTCTGTAACTAATGTCATGTTGACTGGTCCATCTACTGAGCCTGGTAGTTCATGAGGGAAGGATTCATGTGTTGAAGTCTTATGGGTGGAAGGATGGCCATAATCTTCTGTTCTGTTTCTTTGCACCTCAGGTGAAGTGGAGCTGAGAGTTAATGTAGAAGCCTTCCATTTCCATGCTGCTCCTCTGTCTCCAAAACCTGTGCTGGTCCTGGACAGGTCCTCCTCCTCTGCAGATGTGCTGAAGCTGCTTAGTGCTGACGTCACATTCACAGGCTGTGGGCGCTGTGGGGCGGAGCTTGACACAGACTCCAATGACATCTACCGCCCCTGCTACCCATGCCTTCCTCACACCAGTGTACGCTGTTACTACAGGTGTGCATCTATATTTAAATTACAATTTATAATTGTATATAGTATGTAAACTCAAGCTTCCTGTCCCTCAGGCCTGCAGTGCTCACCCTCACTGATGGAGACCATCAGATGTGTGTTCAGGTGCCTCCAATTCTCCTGCAGAAAATCCTCATGGCCCCCCCAGATAAACTTTGCAGGAGCTCAGGTCAGAGCCACATATGTGTAACACTAACCTGTTTTACATCTGTGTTATTTGTTTATTTGGTGGGGACAGTGTATATTAATGAACATACCGGTCATGTGAACATGACACCAGCGGTACCAGGGGCTAATTTGTTCCACATTCATGCTCACACACACTCTGAATCATACACCAGTTTAGATGAACACTGGATGCAAGGTGGGTGAAATGTCTTGCACAAGGACACAACAACAGGATGCATGACCACGGCCACCTGATATTTTCATTGGTGTCCCAGCCAAGCCCAACCCTGCTTAGCCTCTAAGATCAAATGAGATCAGGCATTCTCAAGGTGGTATGGTGGAGTAAAAATGTATAATCGTCTTGTTTGTGAATAAAAGTCTAAGGTAGGAAATCCTTCATTGCTGCACCACCACCTTCACTCATCCAAGTTACATTTGTAATTTATCTTACTGGCTAAATTGCTTTTATACATTGAATATGATGAATCTCTGTATGCCGCCAAATTAATGTGGGGGGAATATGACTCTGAAATGTCATAAATTAAGATATGATAAACGGGTTGTGTGTGTTTTGCAGCTCCGGGGTCTGTGGTGAAGAACATGGACCTGGCAGCACAGCGCCTTCACAACCTGCTCTCTCTCCCAAAGAAAGACTTGACTGTGACTGTCCAGACTCACTTTCTGTGTGATGAAAATAGTGTGCCCCTTTATCAGGAGTTCAATTTGCTGGACCTTCAGTTCCCGATGTGATGTGGCATTTTTAAGCATTTTCAAGTATTCATATTTTATAAACCATAACTTCAGATGAGTTAACGTAAGAACAGCGGAGCTTTACATTCAGAACTCTTTCTATTTGATACAGCTGTGAAAAAACAGTTTTTTATAATTTAGCATTATAAATTAGTATAACACAATATGTTATAATTTATTGTATTTATTTATATTTTTTATTATCAATTATTTGTTTTCAATAAAATGAAATCAATAAGATCACTGAATTATGATATAGATTAAAGAAACTAATATAGAGCCACTTATTTATCTTTAAAAATGTTTTAATTGCTGATTTATAAAAAGCAAAATACATACAAAAGACAATCAATATATATATTTATTTATCGTTATGGAAAATCATTTCAGTTACTATATACTTTTACCTGCCCATGAGTCTACTCACATAATATTATCCACCATTTTACAAAGAAACAAGAAAATGAACCAGCCAACATACATACTATATATTACTATTTAAATGTTTATACACAATGTGCGTAGAGGATCACTTTGAGGCATGATCGAACTTCTCAGGAGGTTTCGTTTGCCACTGCCATCAGGTCACTCATCAGGTCTGCCAACACAAAATGCACCAAACCATCATGTTTAACTATGATTATTTTCTGTCTCATAGGTGGACAGTATCTTGCCATTGATTTTTTAACAACTCTTCAGAACAACAATAATAATGTCATGTCAATTGCTCAGATGTTACTGCCCTATGGCTGACTCAGACACAGGCTACCATTCTGTGCCACCGCTTTTTCTAAACACCACCAGTCACGACATACTTTCATAGGCAAGCTGGGGGATGAATTGGCTTGCTCAAGAACACAGCAATAGTATGCCCAGTTCGAGGAGAAAATTCAGTTTGTCGACTGAACAAAAGTTTTGTTCAGTTGACAAACTGAATTTTCTCCTCACCATGGATTCTACCTGGACCACTGAGGGATTCTTCACACAGTATGCCCAGTTGCAGTAGCTTTCACCTACTATGCTGTTACTGCATTGACATCAGTCCAATGGCAAACCACTGTCTTATGTGCGAAGTTGATTTGGCCCATGGTCCTAGTTCTGGTATATACATTTTATTCCATTTTTATTTCCTTTTCTCTCAATCATGTGATACTTTTACTTTTATTTCAATAACAACATTGAGTACCTCATCCACCACTGTTACTAAGGATATTATGAGTCAAAGGGAGTGTTTATTGTTTGGCATGACTGCTAAATTTCTGAGAAGACTGGTCTAACAGTACAAAGGAGTCTAACGACAATAAACAACAATACAATAAAGAGTGGCATGTGACACATTTTCACAGAAAGAGCAGGGATAAAGTGAAATGAGAGAAATTTGAATTATGTGAAGGCAGACATACTTTCTGAAGAAAACAAATACTATGGTAAACATAAATATATATCAGACACATTTATTTTTATTGCAACATGTCTCAGGATTAAAGCAGCTCCATGTGACCTGACCCAGATGCTGTAGCATTGCACCGCTCACCTGGTTTGGAAGTCAAATGGCTGTGGAAAGTAGGAGCGCTATTGTATTGCAGCAAAAAATAAACATGGGGCAGTAGACACTCATCATTATAAAGAAACCTTCCTGTTCTTAACTGCTTCTTTTAAACAGTCACATATCTCCTATTAAGGGCTGATTTTTCCTTCCTTTAGGGACTTGTACAGTAAAATGGTCTATTCCTATGGCTGACTCAGACACAGGCTGCCATTCTGTGCCACCGTTTTTTCTAAACACCACCAGTCACGGCATACTTTCATAGGCAAGCTGGGGGATGAATTGGCTTGCTCAAGAACACAGCAATAGTATGCCCAGTTCGAGGAGAAAATTCAGTTTGTCAACTGGAAAAAATTTGTGTCCAGTCAACAAACTGAATTTTCTCCTCACCATGGATTCTACCTGGACGACTGAGGGATTCTTCACACAGTATGCCCAGTTGCAGTAGCTTTCACCTACTATGCTGTTACTGCATTGACATCAGTCCAATGGCAAACCACTGTCTTATGTGCGAAGTTGATTTGGCCCATGGTCCTAGTTCTGGTATATACAGTTTTTTTTCCTTTTCATTATTTTATGTCTCTAAATCAATAAGAAACTACAGTTTACAAATGTATTGTTCACATGTCAGTCAGTGTATGCTTGTGTGTGGTACATACCTAGATCCCCCTCTGTCATGTGATCACAGGGCCCAGCCTCAGTGCCACTGTTCTCTAGCCCTGCTCCACCCGGCGGGTCTTGCTCTGAGAACAGCCCTGCGAAGCCTGATTTCTTCTGTCTTCTGTGATCATCATCATCATCATCTCTGTCAAATATTTTTTCAAAAAAGTTGCCTTTGTCCTTTTCCTTTTCCCTGTTCTTATCTTTGTCTCTCCCAAAAGAGAACAGCCCTCCTTTGTGATCATCATCATCACGGTCCTCGTCTCTGTCCTTTTTAAAAATGGACAGAAAACCGTCGTGTTTGTCATCCTTGTCTCGTCTGTCGTCTCGTCTATCATCACTTCCTCCCAGTGCATCCTTTATTTTATCAGCCACCATATCACCTGCACATCAGATCATGTACATATCAGTGACCTAATAGCTTCCGATTTCGTTTATACAAAAGTACAATTAACTCAAAACCTGTTCTTCATGTTCCACTGTATCTGTTACCACTGTCATCATCATAACCACTAACAGATGTATGACTATGTGTGTGTGATTTGTGTTAAAAAAAAAATTAAACAAAACATTAACCATATTTTTACTAAAGCCCACATTGTAGCATAGAGTGTCTTTAAAGTTGTTAATTAAATTCAATCAATACAGACAAGTTGGAGCTTCATTGTTGTGCTCTGTGAAAGTAAAGCAGATGAGAGTCACCTAAGGGACTAGTCTAAAATTATCTGCTGTTACCATCAACACTTCTAAAATCTACTCACACAAATCTGCTGTGTCGTGTCAACAAAGAGGTATGTCTACTCACCTGCTCGTTTTGCTAATTTATCCACAAGGAATGACATGGTTCAGGTGGTCTGGATCTCGTGCTTCCTGCTCTGCTGCTGTCTGTGACTCTGACTCTGTTTTCAGTCCGTCACAGAACAGCCCCGCCCCTGTGCCCAGACTCCCATGTTGAGCCCAGGGAGAGGCTGACGGGACAAATATCTGCCCAAACTGGTCCGGCCTGTCTGTTCTGCTGTCAGGGCCACAGGGTGCACCATCCCGTCACCACGGCAGTTACACAGATTGTTTACTTTGTTTTGGATGGCCTCATTTTCAATAATCTCAGATGATGTCAACAGGTATTCTAGTGACAGGGCGTCTTGAATAATGAGGATATTATTGAGCATTGGTGTAAGGTAACGAGGTACAAAAGTAAAAGTACAATACTTAAGTACCAGTTTTAGGTATCTGTGCTTTGCTTAAGTACATTTTACAGTGGATACTTTTTACTTTTACTTCACTACATTTAAGAACATGTATCTGCACTTTCTACTCCATTACAGTTAAGATGGACTGAAAAGTAAAGTACTTTTCTTTATTTGAGATCTGCTGAAAAGGCTGAGACTTATTTTTTAGCATATTTAATTAGTTTTGTCCTAACTTTGAGCAAACCAAATAGGTACACAAATAATATAATGAAGAAGAAATCAGTTTAATCACTTAATCAAAATCACTACATTTTATCTTTTTATTTATTTATTTATTACTTTCCTTTTACTCTTACATTTTTAAACAGGTACATTTACTTGATTTTTTCATGTGAAACTTTTACTTTTATTTGAATAACAACATTGAGTGCCTCATCCACCACTGTTACTAAGGATATTATGAGTCAAAGGGAGTGTTTATTGTTTGGCATGACCGCTAAATTTCTGAGAAGACTGGTCTAACAGTACAAAGGAGTCTAACGACAATAAACAACAACAACAATACAATAAAGAGTGGCATGTGGCACATTTTCACAGAAACAGCAGGGATAAAGTGAAATGAGAGAAATTTGAATTATGTGAAGGCAGACGTGGTTTCTGAAGAAAACAAATACTTTGGTAAACATAAATATATCAGATACATTTATTTTCATTGCAACACGTCTCAGGATTAAAGCAGCACCATGTGACCTGACCCAGACGCTGTGGCATTGCACCGCTCACCTGGTTTGGAAGTCAAATGGCTGTGGAAAGTAGGAGCGCTATTGTATTGCAGCAAAAACATGGGGCAGTAGACACTCATTATTATAAAGAAACCTTAACCTTAACCTCTTAACTGCTTCTTTTAAACAGTCACATATCTCCTATTAAGGGCTGATTTTTCCTTCCTTTCGGGACTTGTTATACAGTAAAAAGGTCTATTCCTATACAAGGCCTGTGTTTAGATTAGATTAGATACACTTTATTAATCCTTTTCAGGAAATTATGATAATTATAACAGCAAAAACAACATTCATTCACACATATTAAAAAAGAAAAAAAAAGAAAAAACTGTCTTACTGGAGCAGGAACAAAAGTCTTTCTGAAAAGAGAGTCAGACTGGAGTACAAACTGACCATGATTCACCACAGAATGGTTTATTTGACTTCACGGTTTCTTTGTTTGAGGCCCATTTAAGGTTACAAGATGTTTTTAAGGTTACAATAAAACATACATTTATAGTAAGGTTTGCGCAAAGACTTGTCTTTATTATCAGCAAGTTTAAATTAATTAAGTTTATTTGTAAACCTAAAAGTACCTTAAAAATATAAAAGTTTTAAATTCTCATTAATACATTTAGTCAAAATATTGAAAGGGTATTTGACACTGTTATCCAGTTACACATTATTATGGCATTAAAAAAAAAATCCCTTTTGCGTCATGTGCGCCATGTGATCAAATGAGAGTGTACCCAAAGTAAAGACAAAGAGAAAGTAATAAGAGATCAATGCAAACCATATTTCTGAGAAAGAGTTCAGTTGGTGGCTTGGTTCGCAGATTAGAAATCACATTAACAATAATAAATATTTTATTCTTCCATGCATTATGAACAGTGATATGACAACTCTATTACAATACACTGATACACATTACAGTGCAGACACCTGTAGGGATGTGTTGAATTTGGGGTGTGTGGTGGTTAAATCAGTGTTAAACCACAGCCATTACAGCCCCATCATTCCAGTGCAGGTTATTTGAATAAGTTGCCGGCAATTCCAGACAGATCCAAACCTGAAGACAGAAGAGACTTTCAAAATGCTGTTCTACATGCAGATCACTATCCTTCAAACTCTTAATTCAGTCCAAATCCAACAAGTCATATTTAGTCAGTACTATCTTTTTGATCATTATTGACACAATGCAATCCATTATTGTTCTCAAAAATTCAGGTTCAAGGTTCAAGGTTCTTTTTTTTTTTTTTTTTTTAATTTGTCATGCAGACATGCAAGAGAAACACATGACAGAACGAAATTTGTTCCTCAAGGCTCACTGATTAAAAGATATAATAAATAATCTATATTAGATATTAAAATAAATACTAAATAAACCATAAGAAAATTCAAGGCCAAATGACCCGATATTGATATGAATACAAAACCCAAAAATCATCATCATTACTTTAACATACAAGAAGTCCTAAAACTCCATAAGGTCACACTCACCTCCCTCTCGTTTGTCTGTGTCCTTTGAGTCTCCCACGAAGGACAGAGCATCCCCTATATCCAGACCGCTTTTCTTCTCTTTGTTGTCCCCAAAGCTAAGCACGTCTCCCACATCGAAGCCCCCTGAACCTCCTGCACTGCCCTTATCTCCCTGGGATTCCTTTTCATTTCCACCCATAGCTTTATTTATTGCATCTTCCACAAAGTCACCTACAAATAAAAGAAAAAAAATCAGCCAATGAAAAGAAGATGGATTAGAAAAGGTATCTTACATATTAAAATACTGTTTCATATATCAAACAATCCCATATATTGTAATAAAATGTTGGTATATTAGATCAAAATATAAAAATATAAGCATTTGAGATCTAACACATCAACTGTTTTTTTAATGATAATAAGTCTCAATTTCAAATATTGTAACCCATAACTATTTATGTAAACACTTGAACAGACCCCATCAAAAAAAAAAAAAAAATTAATCATGGTTGTAGAAACTGACCTGCTTTTTCCCCAACCATCCTTGCAATGCCCTGGCCCCCTAATGCTCCGGACAGAAAGTTTGCCATGGTTGGTGTGTCCTGTGGGTGCCCTGTGCTCTGTGCTATGTGGGTCTCTGTGGGTCTCTGTGGCTGCTATGTAGGAACTGTGCAGAGCTTTTATAAGGTCCACCTTCTCTGAACAGGAGACACAGGGCAGACCTGTTAATCCACTTCTGAAGTTTTTATTTAGGTATGGCCCTCCTCCCATCATAAGAATCTTGATGACTCATTCTATTTACACCTATTTCCTTAGAATCAATCACAAAACAATACAAACATAACATAATGTGGTGCAACAAAATGTAATAAACGAGAAACATAATTATAATTTATTACAAGCTGTGCCCTTATTAAGATTAAGGAAGCCTTGAAGAATCAAATCCACCTAAAATGTAAAAGAATTCAGATGAACACTTGCCAAGTCTAAACATGATTTTTATGTGTCAACAAAGATTAATTATGAATTAATCTTAACATTATGGAAAAACATCTACAGTATATATTGTTATTTTGATGTTAAAATGTTGGATTAGAACAACTAAACCGATTATGTTATTTTCACTAATGGGAGGACATTACCTTTGTGTCATCCTCTACAGTAGGGTGAATCTCTTAGTCACCAGCAGACTCAGGTTGCCTCTCTGGGATAGTAAATGAGAATCCACTACAAATTGTACAATCCAACATAATTTTCTCTGTTGGATTCTTTATCTCCTGCTAGAACAGTGCAGCTTGTTTATGGTATCACACACAATCAGCCAGTATTCCTCTGAATTCTGTAGCCTGCATTTTGGACAAATGTCGGAAATATTATTATTATTCCTAAACTTAAGTCTACTGCCATTACATACACTGGTGTGTGCTAAGGTACATGCAGCCCTCCAGTTCTGATAATTATAAGGACAAACCTTCATTCCATGCTTTAAATCTACCATGTAAAGGTTTAAACATCATGACATTATTAATATGTTATACCTTTATGGGGAGGAGTTTTATTACTCTTTTGATACACCCAGAGAGATGGGTGTGGGACTATTCAGAACAGGGCGTAATTAGACCTGTTCTTCTAGTTTTTATTAGCACTGGTTGTGGGGCCTTTGTTAAAATGCCAAACTGTTGTTCAAACTTTGAACAGCACAAATACTTTTGAAAATTTACCCTAAATATGAAGCAAACCTAAGTAAGCGTGTTAGGTAGGTGTGTTTGTCTGTATGGCAGGTGACACCTACAGGAGCGAATATGAACAACGCCTTTTCGTTATTTATTGTGTTATATTCTACTTTTCTTTGCTTCACTCTGTTGGTCAGATTATTATTGTAACTAAAATGTCAACAGTGCTCTCTAGTGGTTATGCAGCAGAACTCTTCAGAACAATATTTCCCCAAATGAAAACAAGTGGAAGCTGAGACAGATAATAACCCAAGAGTTCTATAATAAGGAAAATAACCCCCAGGAGCATGTCTGTACATACTTCCTCAAAATGACTTGAGTTTTGTCAGTTACAGCTTTAGACTCACGTATAAGGAAGAGTCTTTTCACTTAGAGAACGTCACTCTGCCACAGCTGACCCCCTGAGCACAAGTCCACAACAATCCTCGGAAACAGCCCCCACCCAGCCCCCACACAATCCCCTCTCCTCTGGGTGGAAAACCCCAGGTCTGGTTCAGAAACAAGCTTCTAAACTTTCTCTTTTCCAAACCATCAGCCAAAATATGAGATGAGTCTGTGTGCTGCTCATGGGAAAAGCCAGAAACACCGTGGAGGAGAGGTCAAGCCGTCAGGAAGGACGTGGCTCGAGACTCAGGGCTGTGAGCTTCCTCTACTCTTATCAAACCAACAGGAAGAGCTCACAGCCATTATAATGTGGGCTGTTACAATTCACACAGGGAAATTGGAGACATACAGCACAATATATCATAACTTTACAATAACATGATGAGGAACATCACAATATAAAAACCATAGATACAAATACATAAATATAAATAGGCTATAAACATTGTCATTTGGAAACTTTGCAAAACCAGTATCTGAGTCCATACATCTTCATCAGATATAATCTCACAAGCTTAGTCTAAGAGACAAACAGTGACATTTCACACTACCTCCAAAAGTGACCTCAACTGAACCAGGGAGAGACACAAGGGCTCCTGCTCACCTCCTCTGTACAAGAATGTGTATAAGAAGACAACAAATCCTTAACTGTCTCACACACATCAATGTAAATAAATAAAATAAAATATAAAATGAAGGAGTATAGATTATAGGTCACTGATACGTCAAAAATGTGCAGAACTCTTCTTCGGACTAGCCACAAATCCAACCCCCACTTAGTTTGGGGGGGCAGAGGAAGTGGGAGGTGTGGCCTACCTCCCCCAACCTTCTTGCACTAGTTTGAAGAGTCTGAGAGCGGGGAGCGTTCAGCAGAAGCCAGACATGAGACAAGTGCTGCTGCTGCTGGGGTTACTACTCAGTGCCCACTCTGAGCTGAGGGCCCGGGACCCTGAGGTGGAGCAGGAGGACGGAGGACTGGAGGCTGCTGACCCCAGAGGAGGCAGTGGACTAAAGGACAATGTCCCACACGGAGGAGCACCACAAGGAAATGTCCCAGCCAGATCAGGGTGAGTTACACAAACACCTTTACATTTGTGACTGTCTGTACACAAATCTGAGTTTGTTAAAAGATTTGTCAGTACAAAGAAGCACTAGTAAGTAGTAAGTGTTCTCTGACAAAGAGGAAGTACATGTACAATATTCTATTACAGTCTATTGTAGTATCAGCATCTTTGAATTACAAACCACAACATGCAAATCTATAGATAACAAAATAATAGGAATTTGAAGTACTTTAGCCAGCTGTAGAGAGTCACTGTTCATACATCCTAGTTTCTTTGAGAAAGAAAGTAAAGCTCAGGAGATGGAGATTATGATCTGGGTTGACTACATGAATGCTTTTAAACAGTCCTCATAACAACATCACCCAGCTGTTATGTGCACTATGACAGATGAGTTAAAGCATCAAACAATGAAATGTACAGAAGAACAATGCAGTCACCCAATAACCAAAAGATTTTTTGTTTGAATTCAGGTAGATTGCATCAGTATACTTTTGGAATCGTCAACTATAGCACTGATAACGTATAACAAAAGTACATTTAAATTATTCATTATGGGTCAACCACAACATTTGGCCTAAAGACTAAATCACACACATCAGAAGCTTACACCCAACTACACTGTCGATGTAATGTGCAATTCCAAGAATATCTGAATCTGTTATAGATATGTTAACAAACTGTGGCTCTGTATATGTTGCAGAAACTGGTGCGCTGTTGTGCAGAAGCGTGTGGTGACTGGAAGAGTGAGGAATGGAACAGAGCAGTACACCATCAAGTCTCAGAGCCCATGTCCAAGTGGCGTCCCAGACTGTCAGCTCGTCATGTGAGTACTCCCACATCAGAGAAGAATTGAGGCCATACTGGATATGTAGTCATATAGACAATTGGAATTCCTCCTAATCTGGTCTCATACTAAAACAGTGCTACAAAAATAGCTTGTCTCACCAAATTAAAAACTCCAAGAACAAAACCACAACATAAATACAAATTAAATTAAAACTATGGATGTACTTAAGACTGAGAACCACTCTCTATAAGAATCAAACAATGGCTTTCGACCTATTCAGACACTTATTAAAAAGATAGGGACTAAGAGACATGTGTTGATTACTTGAGATTGGGACAAATCTGCAACATTTATTGCAATCAAACTGAAATTATATTTCCCATGCAATTAGAAAATTGGAAAGGCTAAAATTACTTAAGTAACATAACTTGTCTGCAATCAAAAAATATTCTTGTAAAAAAACACTGCTAACCCTGTAGTTTAAACAAATATATCTTTAAATGCAGGCAATTCTTGTAGCAGTAGTTTAGCTCCTGTGTGTGTTTAAAATGTGTATTATTAAAATGTAAATTGCAAATCTTATTCCAAATACAATTCAGGAAAAAAATGCAATTTGATATTTTTCCTTAAAATTGTTAATCCCTACAGGATATCCCTAAACTTAAGTTTATTTATATTCAGGTACAAGCTGTCCATGCGACCCCTGTACAGGCAGACTCTGAGAGAGGTCACTGCCCTGCTATGGCAGTGCTGTCCCGGATACACCGGACCCAATTGTGACCACTCAGGTATAGATCCGACTCTGTCTGACCAGGTATAGCATCATCTAAGCAGAAGGCCATTTCAGTATCTCTCTGATGCACCACTAGTGAACATGCCTATGCTATGAGTCACCAACTCAAATCAGCAGGCTAGAGGGACTCTATCTAACTTACATATTCCCATTTTTGGAAATTATTGTTGATTGTTATTTTGTCCTGCTTTAGAACAGTGAACTCTGAATACAGTGGTTTCCTGTGGAGGTCTATTTATACATGTCCAATGATAGTGGAACCTAATTTAGATTGTGACTGTGTGTGGGAAAGTTAAGTGTTTATCACAAATCCTTGGACGGATGTCCTCTGTCACTTCTAATTTTGTATCTCCTAACTCCTGAATGTCCTCTTTAGTCTCAGGTGCCCAGGTCAATCCAACCTTCAGTGGACACTCTGAGGATAGTCCCAATGGTCCTGGATCAGGTAAGCTGCTCTACTCACGCACAAACCAGCATCACATAGGCCCAGTCTAACGCCTGTGCTCAAGTCAGTGTGATTAAGTCATCACTGGACACAATAACAGGAACTTTAAATATATGGCGGTGACTCACAATACAACCTACTATACAAAATGTTTGCCTCTTACAGGGTGGAACACTTTCTAGTGTCGCACTCAAAGCCAGGGGAGTTTCTTAAACAATAAAATGGTTAAAGTTGACAGTATAGTGAAATGTCAGCAGGGCAGTGCCACCGGACTCTGCTGCACTATAGAAAGCTATGAAAATAACCTGGCAGACTGCTTTTTTCTCACTGAGGTCATAAAGTCAGTGGTTCCCAAAATAAAAGTCTTATTTCTGTTTTAAGCTTAAAGGTGCACTATGCAACTTTTCAGGTAGGACACTTTACTAGGCCAAGTAACAGGTCAAATCTGAGATTTAACCCTGCTCATAGGAACAATGTATGAAAGAAAATGTATGTAAATTACTTTGTTTTTACTATGTTTTTATCAGAGGAGATGGTGCATATGGACCCTCATCAGGAGCAGAATGACCACCAGGGACTGTCATACCATACCAGCCAACCAAACAGACCATCACATGATGCGCATGAATCATCTAACCACACCTACGAACCTGAGGCCCCTGCCCAACTTCTGGACTCTGTCCGACAGGACTACATCCAAAATACTCAACACCGCCTTCTGCCAGACACTATCCACTCTGAACCCATGTACAAAACCCCAGCACAGCACATTATGGGCTCACAGGACCCAAATCTGCATTCACCACGTGAGTCTGATATTCACTGTATTCTATTACTCATGGGCAGTCGCATCAAATTCTACACTTACAAAGTCCCTCTTACATTTGGAAATATATTAGATATATATTATGTAAGAATTGCTTACTGTAGTATACAGCTGCCATGGGGGGTTTCTGTGGATGATGTAGTGCTTGCCTAACACGTGATAGAGGGCATCACAGACGCAGTAACTTCCACAGGACGTCCTGCTTCCTCTGGGGGAGGGGGGGTGTTGTATTTTGTCTGTGTGACATCATCCACTCTGACCCTGGTCCTCCATGCTCGTACTCTACCTTCTTTTAATTTTAATTGGGAACCATCAGTGACATCATTTTTTGCCATATTAGGCATTACAAATATAAACTGAATTGAAACTATGGACAAAAATTTAGTTGACATAACATTAAATTTGACGAATCTCACAGTGAGTTGTGGACAGTTGTAGGGGACAGAAGGGACCCTGTGGCTCTTCGGTACCAGGACACTCCAACTGTCCTCCCAGTGCCGCACATGATGGCGTTGGTCATGTCCCAGCTGCAGCCCATCCTAGAAGCCTTCAACCGCTCTTTGATGCACATGCAGAGCCAGCTGGGGGCACTTACTCATGAGGTGGCTGAGCTGAAGGGTCTGTCCCCTCCTGACCTTCAAGCCAGCTCTCTGAGCAGAGATGGCCTGGAAGAGAAGGACAAACTGGAGCAGGTGTACCAGGAGCTGAGGGAGACACAGGACCAAGTGCAACAGCAACGCAACCTGCTGGAATCTCACCATGCATTACTGCTTAGCAACCTGACCAGATTGAGGACAGACATGAATGTGAGAAAAAAAACTACAACATGTCAGTGTTTATAAACTATGATCGTAAGTAATTCATTTGAGATCTGACCCTAGGTCAATGTCCAGGCTATAAACCGCAGTCTGTCTGAGCTTATGCAAGATCATAAACAGCCCTCGTCAGAACTAGTCCTGGACTCAGAGACCTCAGCTCTGTGGAGTGCCGTGGAACGCCTCGACAACCGAGTGGTCAACAACACAGTGCAGGTACTCTCACAAGCCACATTTCCTCTCTTATTTTCCCTGTTTTTGAATTCAAAGTTTTCTTCAACTTACAATTTATATTTCATTTTCAAGAGACATTTCCTTGTTTCTTGCATGGTTGCATAGTCATTTGGTGACCACTCAATGCAATAAATGAATGTGTGGATGCAGGTGCAGACACTGCTGGAGGATGTGGAGGTGGTGTCGGGAAACGTACAGCAGCTTCATGAACTCTACAGGGACCAGGACAAACGAATCAACGCTACGTCACGGCGCAGTCAGGTGCAGTTCATGGAGACAGGACTGGAGGTGGAGGCGGCCAAGGTGGTGGTGTTACAGAGAGTGGAGGAGCTGGCGGGGAACCTGAGTGTCCAAGGCCTGAGGCTTACGGATCTTGACGTTGATGTAGACTACCTGTTCAACAACCTCTACAGAACAGAACAGAACAGCTCCATCGGTGACTGTGGCTGCTCTGAGCTCAGAACTGCTGTTACACACATCCAAAAGGCCCTCACTAACGTCACGGAGCAGGCAAAAGAGAACAGACTCACCCTGGAAGCTTTGGAGGAGAGCGAGGGACAGGGGGAAACATGGGGGGACAGTGACTGGCAACCGGTGGTGGAGGCTCTGCACCAAGGACTTCAACAGGTACAAGCGGGTTATCAACACCTTTAGAAACACACTAGAATGAGCAATCCCACGTACTGTTTGCATGGTTGCTAAAAGTATAGTTATTTAAGAGATAATGCATGGTTTTATCCTTTATTTTGAATTTCCTTCATAATCAATAAAGTATCTATCTATCTATCTTTCAATAGACAAATGATTGTAATATCAGTTGAGGATGGACCCATTTAAACCAACAAGAATCATTAAGAAAAAATTAATTATGAAACTATGTACTGAGTGCTGTTAGTATGCCATGTCCAATGTGTAGGATAAACCCACCTTCAATATGAGTGATTCTTTTATTGCAGCTGAACTCCATCTCAAAACCTTGTGTTTGCTCCTTTAGCTGAAATCCTCTTGGGCTTTGGAGGAAAACCGCACCAGAAGAGTGGAGCACAGCGTGGCTGATTTGAGCTGGTCTCTGCAGCAGTGGCAGGCTCAGGTCACAGAGCTTCAACATACAGAAGCACAACGCACCCTGGACAACCAGCACCTGCGTGAATCCTTCAATTCCCTTCTCCAAGACGCCATCCGCCACAGTGATGTGCTAGAACTATTACTGGGAGAGGAGGTTCTTGAGTTCTTGGACTTGCCCATTCACGACCAAAAGGCATACTCTATTCCGTCCTTAAAGAAGCACCTAATACAGCATGAGGAGCAGCTGAGTGTGCACAATCATAGTATTGCACATCTCACAAAACAAAGTACAGGTAAGAACATCAACATTGTATAAAACACACAGCTAACTACAGTTAAGTTAAAACAGCATAATCTAAAAATAAAAAGCACATGTTTACATATAACTGAGGTGTTGAAAATGTTGTGCAAATGTGTAAAACTAGTTACAAACACTTATCTTTATTAAACCTGATATTTACCCATTCAGAAGTTGAAGATGAAGAAGAAGAAGTGCCAGCTGCTGATCAGCCATCCTCACACCCACACGCTTTAACCGACTGGCTCACAAGTGACGACAACATCAGCGGCAGGAGGGGCCCGGCCAGGGAGCATCATAGCCTCCTCAGGCCTCAGCTCATAGATGGCAGTGACCTGTGGAAGCTGGAGCAGGCAGTGGAGAAGCTAGAGCACAGAGTGGAGAGCATTGAGCAGAAGCAGAACAGCAGCAAACAGAAGGACCCCCGGCTTCAGGATGAGGTCATGTGGCTCAAACGCGGGCTAGAGGAGCATTTAAAGGTCTTCAAGAACATCTTCAGCAACACAGACAAACTAACTACTTCCAAACAGCCACTGGAGCTGGATAAAGTGTTAGAGCTGGTGAAGAGCCGACAGAGGAGGAAAGGTGGGTCAGGGAATGCACATTGACCGCCCCCCCGACTGAAGAGTTCTTTTACAGTGTGAGTGTCTGGGACCCTCAACTTAATATCTTGTAATATTTAAAGAAAGAAGCCAGTGGTCAATGTGTACAATGTGTGTGTTTAAAGACATCCAGAAATTGGCTTCAGAAAACTAAAGGAAAAGAAAAAATAAATGTATGTGCAGAATATTGTATGTAAAGATGTCATAATTTTATGGTTATAGTAGTTACTATTTAAAATGCACAATATTATATGGCTATTTATGATTCAAGATGTGGTATAAATACTGGAAGAGCAGGAAATATAGCATAAGGGTGAATATACATTTATTCAGTAATCCTGTACATTAAGTAATCTAATACATCAATACTCTTCTTGTGTACCATTTTTTCAAATGTATTATTAATTTAAGTAATATATATGCTTTTCTGCTTAAAGTGTGTCCATTTGTTGTGGCTGTGTCATCCTTTCTCACTGTTCTGATATGTCTATCAATCAATCAATCAAGCTTTATTTATAAAGTGCTTTTTATAGAAAAAATGCAACACAAAGCGCTTTGCAACACAAAGCTAGTATTTAATGGTTTGGGTGCAGTATTGAGAACATTATGGGTAGTTCAATGGATGCAGAGTGGATAATGCTGTGTTTGCATTTTTAGTTGAGTGTATGTGTCAGTGTGTCCAGCTGATGACTCCAGTGTTCATTCCACTTTTCCACTTCTCCCAGTTTCTTGTGTTTGTCAGAGTCCAGACGCATCAGCTCACCTCTGTACATCTCTCTAAACCTCTATTAAAAAAAAAGTATCAGCATAAACATGCTATATATTTGAGGTATTTATATTTTTTTATATCTTTAATAAACTGGTAGTACCTTGAAAGTGACATCCCTTTCCAGTATAACCAGCTCATGTCCACGGGTGCACTTATTTGTAGTGATGGGAGTAGTTGCCTTGGTAACAACTGAAGAAGCAAAATATGGGATGCCTTTCCAGGTTCTGTGTAGGTGCAGTGGGATACATGGTAAACAATGCAGGGCAGGTGATAAAAGGTGATTAAATATGTAATTACGTATCTATGCAGTTGAAACCAAAAGTTGTCATACATTATATAACAATGCATATTCATGTGCCACTTCTGTCATGTTAGGGTCAGTAAGAATTACCCCCCCCCCCCCCCCCCCAAAAAAAAATTAAATAAAATAAATGTACCAGTCCCACCTGCTACAAAATACAGCTACAGTTCCCAAACTTTGCAAACAAACAAACAAAAGGACTGTAGAATGTAATAAAAAATGTCTTAAAATGTAAACAAATAGGGCAATTATTATTATACATTATAATTCTTATCAACCACATTTTGCAGTGTATTCACACTTTTAGTTTTTGTCAAATCTGCAGTGTCTGTGTAGCTTTTTCGCAGGCATCTACATGACCTAATTCAAAAGTATGAGGCAGTTACATGCTGCCAGGCCTACCTTTTGCCAGTATGTGGCCTAAGTGCTGTGTCATCTGTGTTTTCAGAGTGCTGTGAGGCTGTCTTTACTTCTGTAAAAGAATTGGACTTCAGTGATTTGGTGTGTGTTTGTTCAAGTCTTACTAAAAACAAAATAACACTTACCATCAGCTGTAACCAGCAGGTCCAGTAGAGCCAGCAGCTGTTCTGTCAGAGAGGCCAGAGATGTCACAAAGTCCTCTCCAGCCATCTGCAAACACTCCTGGGTAACCAAATAAAATTTTAAATGTTTGTGTTCATTATTATATATTGCTATTTTTGTTATTATATTTACCTTATTGCATGCCTTACCTTCTGAGCTATGGCAGAACTGTTGATCTCCCTGTAGAGCGCTTGTTGGCGGTGCTGTTCTCTGAGCAAGAGTGACTGCAGAGCCTCACTGCTCATACAGACCCGCAGCTGACACACAATATCACTCTGTGCACAAAGAACACACTACTAGACAGAAGTTAATTTATTAGGAGGCATTCACAGTATTATAACAATACCTTTTCAGTCTCACTTTCTGCCACAGTCTGGTCTAACTCCTGCCTAATGTTGTCCATCTCACCCCTGAGTTTCTCCTGGTGCTGATGCTCATGTATATGAATGAGCAATTCAGGTAACTTCTGACATACTTGTTCTAATATAGACAGATGTTTCACAAACTCTGAGAACCAAAAAAGGTGGTTATACTTGGATGGAATCACTATATAGTAATGTAGTGTAAAATCTCTGACCATTCCTTACTGATAAGAGTACCTTTCTTGCTGGAGCTTAGGAAACTCTTTGACTGCTCAAGGTATCCCAGAAGTCTTTGTTGCATGTTGTCAACCCACTGCTCCAAACTGTCAGGAACCAGCAGGAATTGACTGACACCAGGGCGGCTGTGGTAGAAATCCTGAGAGGCCCAGAAAATATTAAACTGTATCACTATCAGTCACACAGTGGTAAGTGGTTAGTATTATATTCTTTGTGGTAGCTTGCAGGGGTAAGAGAGTATAAAGGTTTGTGAACTCAGACATTGTTGTTACTACTGAACGTGGTAAAACCTTATGAGGAAGTTTGTGATTGGTGTGTGAGTAGTAGTACTAGTAGTAGTAGCAGTAACAGTAGTAGTAGTAGTAGTAGTGGTGGAAGGTCAGAACAGACATGTAGATGCTACTGTAATCACCCAATAGTACATAGTAAGTTACCTCAGCAGTGAGCATCAGAACATCACTGGACTCCCACAGCAGTGCACCGACTTTGGATCTGAAAGAGCTGCAATACAAATGACATGATTGGGTTAAGGTGCACTTTTACACTGAGGGTCTGATCGAATAAAGAGAAGTGGCTTCACTCACATATCCTGCCCGGGTTCCGGTTTAGGCCCAAACATCTGCAGCCTCCAGTCCACTCGGACTGCTCTGCCTCCTCTCCTTCAAACACACAGGGTTGTAAATACTTCAGTGCCATAACAGAGTTACACACAAGGTTACAAATTAATAATGAGAAATTATGAGGAGATTAGGGCCAAGTCTGAGTCTCACCAGAGAAGGCAACGTTGAAAGAGAATGCTTCCCAGTATAGTATAGGTTTAATTCTTGTACCAGCTGACATACACACACTCTTGGCAAGCTCTTGTCACCCACAAATTTGCCGTGTTTACCTCATTGCAGGACAGTCTTCTCTCTTCCAAATAGGTGCAGCGCTCTGACCTGAGAACACATCACATAACAATGATAAATAAGTGTTTTGAATTTTAAAAAGAGTAGAAAACTCTCTAGACATACAGCTTTTACCTGCTCGTCCTCTGGGCTCTGCCTCAGGGGGAGGCGGTGCTCTATCCATGCCAGGACAATGACAGTTAGGACAAATCTTATAAAACATGACATGATATATACAGACAAACCTGTTTAGAGTTTCTATGAGGCCCAGGAGAGGGTCATTATGCAGTCCACTTCCCAAGCCATAGGGCTGCAATGCAGAGGTGAAGGATGAGAGGGATGCTGACAGAGAGCTGTCCTCTTGCAGAGGGCACTCTTCTGAGTCCTACAAAAATGACAACAGCGTCACATCAATGGAATACCATGTCTGCCACGTGTGGTAACTGCTCCAGGATGAGTCGCTCCAGAGTCTTCATGAGATCAAAGGTCAGTGACAGGCCTGTTGTTTGAGGTTGTTGTGACGTGGCGTCTTTGGGACAGGAACAAGGCACAAACTCTTTGACTGCAGGGGGACTTTCTGAAGGCCCACAACACCTCCAATTCAATGACTTTCCAACTGAAAGTCATTGTACTACTGTACAATTATTTGGAGTAAAACTATAGACATACCGTGGTAAAGTGAAGATATTGAGCCTGTTGGTGAAGCATCTGACTGAGGATGGAGAGGGTGGAGAACACCTGGGCTTGGCACACCTGCAAATTCACATACAATATCATTACCTACACATGCAGTTAGTGTGGACACAGCATGGGTGTATTTAATCTTAATCAGAGTATGATTTGACCTCTAGAGCAATATGCTTGGACCTGTACCTCTACCTCTCTGTCTTCCAGAAGAATCTGTAGCTCTTGAATCTTGCAGCTTATGTCAGACTGCTGCTGATTGCTGGTGGCAGCCTGCAAATGTACACACTTCATTCTGCTGTTTCCATGCTAAATGCACGTTGGGTTTATAACATTTCTGTTGTTTTGTCAATTGTGAAATTCCAGCCGCACATACCACAGACTTGATCTTGATTTGAATGCTGCGGAGGATGTTCTGGGTCTTTTCCACAAACATGAACTCAGACTTGAGGGAGATCAGCTTTTCCTGCAGACTGTACACCTCCCTGACCTGAGGCAGAGACCTATATGAGACTACACCTTCACTTTGGAACTGAACACACACTCCATTACCTCTTGTAAACTGCTGGAGTGGCAGGCCTCCAGCTGAACAAAGATGGACTCTTCCTCCACATTAATCTTTTTGATTTCTTTCTTCAGTCTCTTCTGAAACATTTTGATCTCAAAAGGTGTAAAGTCCCCTCCTTCACTAAAAAGCCTGTCAAAACACGCAAATATTTATGTATTTAATTTGGCGTTTGTCTTTGTGTTTTACTTGGCGCCATCTGGTGGTCAAACACAACCACCAAAGTAGTGGAGCAAAGTAGGATAAAAAGTTCCGCCCGAACCTAATTAGCCGCTTACCCTGTTATCAGCGCACTGCAGCAGAAACATGAAGATCTCTGGTAAGATCAGAATAAATTAGATAAAAATGTAGTAAGAATATTAATTAATTAATTAACATTTGTTCATCATGGATGTAAGCCCACGAGGTTTGTGCGCTTTTATTTTTGTCAAATTTAAGTTTCATATAGTGTAAGATGTAGAGTTGATTTTGATGTTTATGATGTTTATTTATTGTGTTTCTTTGTTGCCAGTTCTTAAGGGTTGTGAAAAGCAAATACACCCTGTTAAAAAAAACCTCATGCTCATTCCTTGAGGGTGCTACAAACTAGAGCCCGACCGATATGGATTTTGTTGTGGCCGATATGAAACCAATATAATGGGAGTTGGAGCTGAAGACAGCCGATATATTTAGTGATGTAAAAAATCACTGTAAATCTTGAATTGTTTAAAAAACTTAGGTTTGGCTCTAGTGGATTCTAAATTGGGTTTATTTAGGCAACATGAATTGTTATTCTGACTCTTTATGTCATACTTACATTCAGTAGATTGGCCTAATGGCATTTTTGCATCACATTCTAGTTACTAGTGATGGGTATTCCAGTTTTTTGGAGTTTGTTGGAGAACCGGCTCTTTTGGCTCGGCTAACTAAAGCAGCTGGCTCTTTCGGCTCCCAAGCAACTCTTGAGATTGTTTTGTTGCAAGCAGGACTAAACCAAAACTGAACCAGGACTGAAAAAGGACTAAACCAGAACTAAAACAGATTTAAACCATGTGTAAAACAGGACTAAACCAGAACTGAACCAGGACTGAGTGTCGGGACTCGGTCTCTCCCTCACTTGAGCCCAAGATTCGTCCTGGTTTATTCATTTTATGCTGAACTGCAGCCAAATATGCACTTTTTTTAAAATTCTATGCACACGCAGATTTCTGAAAGTTTCGTTTTCAGCCGCTGCTGCTGTCAAACTACGGGTCTACAAGCGGCTTGAAGAGAAAAAGTGAGAAAAAGAGAAAACACGGCTCCCAATAAGAAACATGCTCCCGTTGTTCGCTTCAAAGAGCCGGCTCTAAGAGCCGCTTAGATCGCGACCGACCCATAACTCCTAGCTAGTAAAGAAACTACCGCTATTAGCCTTTAGCCGTAAAAACGTGCGCCGCGGTAATTAATTATATGCATAAATGTTGATCATTCACATGTCTATTCACAGCTCATTTACATATCAATGCTGGTCCAGTAACAAATATACGGCCAATATAGTCACTTTAAAATAGACCAATAGAAAACAGCCTGTTTATGTGAAGGTGCTACAGCAGCTAATTGCTAATAACAAATAGCCAAAACTAGCTTCAAAGTCGATGTATTTCCAACACTCACCGCTCACACAGGCTTCTCCTCACATCGCAAGTCTGCACTAACAAAAGTCCTTTTAATCCAGAATCAAACCGATTGTCCGTAAAAAGAATATCATCTCAGTGTTGCACACGGCTGCGGGTGTAAACAATAGCACGTGAGTGAAGTGACGTGACTTTGTGGTGTGTTCAGGGACAGTATGGACACAGACAAATTACACCGCAGATAAATACTGATGCGGAGCCACATATTTGGACATTTATCTGTCTGTAAATTGGATTAAATGAACATAATGTAGAGAGTCTAAGCTTTATAACGAGGTATAACCTGCCCACGGCCCATATCAGCAAGCATATCGGCCGATAGCCGATATGTCTCCAGGTGCCCATATCGGCCAATAATATCGGCCAGCCGATATATCGGTCGGGCTCTACTACAAACATATATATGCTATATTTGTAGTATATATATGTAAATATGGTCTCTGCTTTGCCGTTCTGCCATTACTATTGTCAAGTTTTTCATGGTACCTTACCCCTTACCTAATCTATTTTGTATTTTGTTATAACATACATTTATAATGTGTGTGTGTATGTATATATATATATATATATATATATATATATATATAGAGAGAGAGAGAGAGAGAGATACAGATATAGATATAGATAGAGAGTTCTGCGCAGTAACTTTGCTGTTCCCAGTACTGCACTTTTCTGGACTGAGATGTCTGTTGTTTTTTCCCGGTATCTGTTGTAACCACTCTTCCAGTTTGGGGGTTACAGCCCCAAGTGCTCCAATCACCACAGGCACCACTGATGCCTTCACTTTCCAGGTTCTCTCCAGCTCCTCCTTGAGCCCCTGGTATTTTTCTAGTTTCTCATGTTCCTTTTTCCTGATATTACCATTGCTTGGTATTGCAATGTCCACCACCACGGCTCTGCTCTGTTTCTTATCCACCACCACTATGTGTGGTTGGTTCGCCATCACCATCCTGTCAGTCTGTATCTGGAAGTCCCACAGGATCTTGGCTCGGTCATTCTCCACAACCTTTGGAGGTTTTTCCCACCTTGATCCTGGGGTCTCTGCACAGATGTTTCTGTACACTATGCCCACCACTTGGTTATGTCGCTCCATGTATGCTTTCCCTGCCAGCATCTTACACCCTGCAGTTATGTGCTGGACTGTCTCAGGAGCCTCTTTGCACAGCCCACGCCTATATATATATATATATATATATATATATATATATATATATATATATATTATATATATATATATATATATATATATATATATATATATATATATATATATATATATACACTGCATCTGCAGTAATGCGGTCGTTGTCTCGGACCGTTGTGGTGAAGAGGGAGCTGAGTCGAATACAAGCGCGGATAAAAGCGCTTGAAATGAGTTTCCTCCGCAGGGTGACTGGGCGCTCCCTTAGAGATAGGGTGAGGCGCTCAGTCACACGAGAGGAGATCGGAGTAGAGCCGCTGCTCCTCCACATTGAGAGGAGCCAGTTGAGGTGGCTCCGGCATCTGTTCCGGATGCCTCCTGGGCGCCTCCCTCGGGAAGCCCCAGAGAAGACCCAGGACACGCTGGAGGAAGGAAGTCTGGGGGTCCCTGCTTAGACTGCTGTCCCCGCGACCCAGCCCCGGATAAGCGTATATATATATATATATATACACACACAAAATGTATCATATTTATGGACCATCACCTAAAAAAAATGCATCTAAGAGATGATGCATCTAAATGGGCTAACTGATATAAAGAAAAATATTTTAAAAGCTTGTCACCTGAAGGAACGGAGCAGCTGTGAAGTGGCCTGTTTGAGCTGCTCCAGTTGAACTTGTAAATTTTTTCTGAAGTTGGTCTGAGATATTTGGGTGTCTGCTATGTGATTCTTTAGATTCTCCTTCAGTATGGAGCTGAGGGTCTCCAACCTACATCAAAGACAGAAGTGAAGAAACATCTGGTCCATTCATAAGCACACAGAAGAGGGTCTGTGTAGCCTTTGATTGGTCAATCTGAATTATATAGATGGATGAGCAGAGGCGTACCGCTGAAGGCTATCCACAGACCGAAGGCTGCTTTCCAAGCTAGACACAGTACTCAAAAAGGTCTGGTTCTTCTTGCCCAAACACTCCTGGAGCTCCTTCAGATCAGTGTTAAGGGAGAATAGAGTGTGTGACACTTTTTTGCAGTGAAAGTCCACTTGCTTTATGTGCAGCCGTAGCTCAGCTATAAAACATAAGCAGACACTTCTTGTTTTACACAGAAAGTTTTACTGGACCAGTTACCATGAAAGACAGGCAGACCAGATTTGTATATTAAAATAGTTTAAACACTGTTGATGCTGTACCTCGACGTGGCTGGAAGATGTGCAGCTGGACATGCTGGGCACTGAGCTGCTGCAGCTTGAGATTCTGCTCAATTAGCGCCTCCTGTCTTAGGTGTGAGAGCAGAGAAAGGGTCGAGAGGACACCATCATGGAAGTGCTGCTCCATGTGGTCCACATATGAGCTCCTCACTCTGTCAATCAAATAGGAAACACACAGTCAGTCATGTGCGGAGGTAAGTAAGGCAGTGTATACGCAAGCAACTCACCATATCCTACCCATGTACATTAAACTAGAATCAGCTTGCTAAATCACGATTCCTCACATAATATAAACAGTAATTAATTTCACAAATAAATCCTTTAAACACATGTCAATAAAATTATACATAAATAAGAAAGACTTTCCCAGAAGCCCTGCACATTTTTGATTTGCCATAGTTTTGGTTGAATGTGATTATATAACATATATCACTTATACAAATATGAGCTATATATGCTGAAAATGTGAGGTGACTACCTGTTGAGTGTCTGAGAGAGCAGTGCAACAGGAAACACAACTAGCTGTGTGTTCCTCAGAGACTGATTGAATTCAGGGGATTGGCATTTGAAGGGGGGCCCATTGTAGGTGAAGCCTCTTGATGAGATAAACTCCTCTGAACTGTTCATGTCCATGAGATCCAGGAGCCCTTTGTCGACCTGGAGCAGACACACAGGAGCCAAACCGTGTGAAGAAAGGAACTATTTCATTTGATCTCACCTGATCTTGTGCAGCACCAGTGTTCATCCCCTTAATCTTTTTGTCTAGAGTGGTAGAAGCTCCTATAGTGGAGTCTACAAAAGGAAAACAGGTGTCAACTAACACAAATCTGGTATAAAATAGCATTTTATTGTTTCAGACAAACAATTCCTTCCTGGTTTGAAAGATTCTGTGAGGACCCAGCGAGGCCCATTCCCCATCCAAAAGATTTTTGATTTGAATTGCTTAATTGTTTGAAACCAATGAAGGGAAAGAGGCAAAGGTGTAGTTAAGATGACTTAAGTTATTGAACTGAATCGACAGTAGTAAATGAATGCTTTTTGAATGAAAGCTAAATTTAGAATTTGCATCTTAAAAATTCCACTGGGACCTGTTTTTTGTCCCCATGAAATGAATATGTCCTGACAATTAGATGAATACCCTCACATACACACAATACATATTCTAGTTTACTGACCTACTTCCCTGAATTCTGGGCCAAATTCATCAAGGCTCTGAAAAAGAAAAGTAATATGACTTAATTTCACATTCATTAGTGAAAGAAGCAATGTTTCATTTTCCACTGGTATGTGTATACATGAGAGTGGATAAAAATGGTTCAGTTACCGGCCTATAGGTGCTGCTGAGGTGGAAGAATGCAGTGAGGCCGCTGCTGTAGTTCTGGAGCTCCAGTAGATACAGAGCAGGAAGTCTGTCCAACACAGTGTTCTGATCCAACAGATTCTGTCTACAGCTACAACCACCACACAGACACCCAGCATAGCAATAAAAGACATTGATATAAATTGTAAAAGTTATAATAATGTGAAACATTGTGTAAATTAATTAACGCTATTTTATTATTACTCAATATAACTCACTTTGCTCTAAAATATCCCAGGGACATGGGATAGTGTTTCATTATGTTGCGGCCCTAATGATTTGTTTATTTTCTGCCTTGTTACCTGTCATGGAGCTCTTGTAGCCACAGCAGCACTTTGTCCAGAGACATGGTCAGGGCCTCCTCATTGCTCTCTTGTCGCAGTATACTCAGCTGCTCATCCAAGTGGAGTGTTTTTGTCTGAAGTATATAATTTAGAGGTTATGAAAGATCACTAAAATCTAAACAGACATAGTTACCTGTAACTGTTCCTTCTGCAAGTGCCTCAAATCCTCCACATCTTGCTGGACTTTTGTTTCTATATTTTTGAGCCTGGAGCAGTGTTCCTCCCACAGAAATGATGCCTGGTGCATTAATCCAAACACTGAGTTGCTTAATGAGAGACTGTGGCGGCTCACAGAGTCACAGCATACCTGTACAACACATAGAAATTTAAGTTAAAATGGTTCAGAAAGGGCTGAACTAAGTTTGAAGCCTTACTGACATCAAAAGCAGCCAGTTCCTCGTCAGATTTGCTCTGACTCTTACCAATAAGAGGTAAGAGGTGGGACTGTACAATGTTAGTGACCTGAGCTTCTGAGAGTTGCAGATCCCGGAGAGAATTCTGAGGGACAACAAACGAAGATATTTGAATCATATACAGCAAAGGCATGTAGAATAGTTCCAGTGATACCTCACAACGGTGAACCTCCTCAAGTTGCTTCTGCCAGATCTGGTCATAGCAGTTGCGGATGCACTTCACAAGGACACCATGGAGCCCATCTATGAACAAACATTTTACTATTCAACACTTAATTTTAAAAAATCTTTCAAAACATACAAAGAAAAGAAAACAAGCAAAACATTTACCAATTTGATGGTTATAGCTTTTCACCTGGTCAAACCAATCAGACACCAGAATAGAGGTACAGGTGAGCGGGACCAGTGAACTAGAAAATGTAATTTTTTATTTATTTATTTGGTCTCAAAATATAATACAGAAGTGTACAGAGAAGGTCCAGACCTCAGGTTCATGACAGTCTCACAGCGTCTGACATTCACTTCTCTCAGACTCTGGTGGATTTTATGAATCTCTGGCTGCTCAAAGAACAGTCCTTCATCCAAGTCCTTGCTGCATAATTCACTGTGCATATAACAGATATTAAAAACATTCTGTAATTCCTGCAATACCATTACCACTGGAGCAAGAATTAAAAACATTCTTTAATTCTTGCAATACCGTTACCACTGGAGCAAGCACAAAATGGGTAAGCAATTATTATCTTATTTGCCATATAATTCAATATTGTATTTGTGATCTGACCATTATTGTTTAATAATAAGTCTGCATCTCTGTGTGAATGTGTGAAATTGTATATCAAGGCTTGTTTCATAGTCATTCCTGCATTTAGTTGATCACTACTCAGATATGTCTAAGTTACTATGATGGGCAGCATAAATCTGCTTGAAGAGAGAATATTGACATTTGATAATGTCTCAGGGCAGCATTTTTTTTCTATTACGTCGTGAGTACTATTTATATTTGAGGTACTGGTTTGTTGGTTTTAAAGCACCCACTTAAAGTGCTGTATAATCTGCTGAATTCTGCTGCTCCTCCACTGTTCCACACAGTCCTCCCAGCGCTGATGGAGCACTGACGCTCCCTGTAGATTTGCCACAAGTAGGTGCAAGTGCAGCTGGCATAAATAGCGCCGGTTAGCCAACAAAGACTGGTTTAGCATCTGTAAACAACAGACAGACATGTGGGTTGAGGGTTCAGTGGTTAAGGTAATGAAATATCTATAAAAACAATTATAAATGAGGAATAGATAAAAAGGAAACCATGCAAAGTACACACCTGACGGTCCTACCTGGTCTGAGAACATTCTCTGGAAATGGCAACACATGTACCAGCAATTGCTGTGCTGGAATTCTATTTACTAAATAGACTAAACAAACTTTATTGACCATTAGGCACAATAATCTAACCATTCTCTTCTACAGTGTACACAAACAAATGGAAACAATACTGTAAAATATTGACTGCTGCTCATTATATAGCAACAAAACTTTAAAAACTAACATCTAACTAAAAAAAAAAAGCTTTTAGTTTGATTGTAAAGCAAATTGTCATGTTCCGTGTACAAGTACTAGCCCCCATAATGACGAATTCCGAAGATGTTGTCAGCAGGACTCGTCTCCTTTCTTTGTGAGCCAGAGTTAAAGACTTACAGTTGCCTTGGAGTGAAGCAGCCGTTGGATGTCAAACAGGGGCAAGAAGCTGATCTTCTCCAGCAGACCACAGTGGTTCTTCAGCACAGCTTGAATCTAAACATTAAATAGGTAATTTTGTCTCTAAAGAACATAGAAGTTCAGATAGATTGTGAGCCCTGTGGTCTGACCTGAAGAGTCCTCTGCATTTCAGACTGGCACATTTTACAGTAAAACTCCACGATTCTGGTCTTTTTCAGCTTCACCTCCTTCTCCACCTCCTCCCACAGAGAACATATGTCCTGTAAGACAAAGAACATAAGATACATTTAAATAAAAAAATATTTACATGTATAAATACATAACTATAACTCAACATTCACCTGTAGACTGTGTGAATTCATTTCTTCAGCCTGTTTCATTTGGTGAGTCAGTTTGTCTAGTCTCAGGTCAGCCTCTCGCAGGGAACTCAGTAGTTTCTCACTGTTTTCCCTTGCATGTGACTCAAACAGCTGGGGGAATATATAGGTCCAAAGCAAGGTATAGATTTTTTAAGTATCAACAGTATTATTTGTTAAATAGAAATAAATAGATGCACATGGTGTGCTTGAATAGATAAAAACACTGTTGGTCCCAAGTGTCGCATATCTGAGGAATTAGCCTATATAGTGCAGCAGATTAATGGCATATTAACCAGAAATAGCGAGCATTTTGAAAAATGGCCGCCATATTTTTGAGTGGCCAATGCCTTTTTCCAAAATAGTGGCCCTTAGAGAGTATCTGTACCAAATTTCATGCTTTTATACCAAAGTGAACGATTTTTTCACTAATCTGCTCTACTAATAGTGTTTTAGGTTTTAAGCAAGATTGACTTTCCAACCTGGGTTAACAGTGTGAAGTCAGTGCTAAGAGTTGAGGTGGCAAGCTCTTTCTTTCACAAATCGGAAGAAGAGTTTGACTCTACCTACTGGTACTGATTACTGCCTCTGTGTCTTTGAACAAGTCTTCCAGTGTCATCAGAGGAGCCATAGGTACAGAATGGCTGCATGTAGTAATGTAAAGCAATTTGAGTGACTTATAAAGCTCTCAGATCTCAAATCAGAGCTTCCTTTGAAAGACTTGTATGACTAAACTTGAAGAGCTTGTAGGCCTACTAGCTGTAATACATGTGAAGTCATTACCTTAGATATGAAGATCAGCTCTGTGTCCAGCTGGTGCAGTGTTTCTTGGTGCTTTGTCATTTTCTTCTTTGACATACACTCAATGACATCTGAACTATAACTACTGGTTACTACAGAGTACAACATGTACAACATGTATTAACATTATGTGTTGCAATCTCTTAATGACACTAAACTTATACAAACCCAGAATGTCAGGGAGTCCGCTAACATCCTCACTGTCATCAGTGTCAACCAGTTCTTTTTCACTGAAATAATCAAATATTGAAATATTATTCAGCAATCTGCACATAGTCTCCGTGCCTTGTCAGTGTGATATTGTACTACCTGCTGGCTGTACTGCACTGTGTGTTACTCTGCACGATCTGATCTTTCCATGTGGCCAGCAGAGACCTTGACAGCTGCACCTGCAGTTTTTTTTTGTTTTTTTTTTCAGATATAACCACAGTTTAACTCAAACCTATTATTGGAGATATCCTAGGACTGTAGACTATATGTGATGTAATGGGACACTTCATCCAAACAATACTTAAATTAAAGTGGGGCACTTTAATTGATTTGAGGAGATTTACTGTCCTTTCTTGAATCTTTGCATGTCTGTCTGGTAATCTATAAAACTATTTCAATCATATCAAAAATTATATGAAATGACACACATAAAATCAGCCTGAATAACTATTAAACAGTTTACATAAAAATACAAGTTATTAAAGTTAATTTGCATCAGAACATTACATAGCAATTAAAGAAACAATTAAAAAAATATTTACAAATCCACCCCTGTCATAGACGCAGACTTAGGTTAAAGGTGACAATACAGCAGTTAGGCATACTATAACTATAATAAATCCATGCAGTTACGCCAGAAGTGTTACCATAGTGCTTCTGAGGGCCCCTGAGTTGCCTAAGAATGCTTGCACTAAATAAACAGTTACTGACCTAACATTAAGAGTTGTTCTGGGGAATTACTTATAATAGAGCACGTGACATAAATGAATCATATCTGTGGTAGCATTGGTTCCTTTAGTAACAGAAAAAAGTTAGTGTGTTCTGGGTTATAGTTTGCAACTTGTGGCCATATTCAAGTCATCCAATTTACTTTCAATCTATTAAGATCATTTTAAAAATGGTAATTTAAGTCTTTCAGCATTGTGCTTGTTGTATGCTTAGTATCCTATGGCCTTCACGTTACCTGCGCGTCGAAGAGTTGCCTGTACACCTTTCCACTGGGGACCGTTCTGCTATCAGTTTGAGCCATGTCAAAGCTACTTTTGCCCTGTCTGGGTCGATATCGGCTCATTTCTCTTGTCTCTCGACCGTGTCCCCTGGGGCTGTATTAGGATGGATAGTCAAATGCTGCGCAATTTTCGCCGGAATTCTTGTACATTCACCGTGCTAAATCGGGGAGGACTTCACTAGCAGATTATCCGCGTCTGTGTTTCCATGGCAACGTTTCCCAAACCACCCCCACCGGCAACAAGAAAAAAAAATGGAGGTGGAAGGCCTGTTGAATTATTCATTTCTGTTTTATTTGGTTAAAGAGGCTTCAAGTAGCTTCAAATGTATGGAGGAGTCATGATTATGCTCGAGTCTACAGGCCGCAGGGCACTTTGTGGACTAGTGGTGTGGGGGCACAGTAGGTATCACAGTGTCAGAAATGGTGATCTGAGTGGTTGTTGGCACCTCGAGGGAGCAAGAACCAGAATTCAGCAAGAGGGTGCCTCTAGTAACTGACCATAGATGAGATTATATTCCAACATCCACTTCAAAATAACAATGTTATTTCACTACACTGAATTGAATAATAGTAGTCTCTTTTTATTAACAGAAAACAACAGGTCAAATTTGTGAACAGTCTAATGACGACGATATAAGATGTCCCAGGACTCTCTCCACTTGAGTCTCTGCAGTTCAGAGGCAGACAGCTGTGGGGTTCCATAGGTCAAAGGGCAAAAGTTTTGATAGGACAATACTATGGACACTGCCAAAGCCAACACACACACAGTCATGGCAAGGCGTTGAGCTCCACTGTTGTAAGAAGGAGAAAAACTGTATCAGAATACAAACAAAACATACTTCTAAGAAAATATGTTAAAGACTAAATATTTTTGAGACAAACATCTCTCATTGTTTTTTTCAAATTATCCAAACTCAAACAAAGCATGCACATACCTAAGAAGGTAAGAGTGTACATGCTCCAAGACAGCAGGACTTAACAAGTGCAGGTAGCACATAGCTGGGAGGTAGTGATATAGAAACAGTGTCTTCTCCATCAGGAGAAACGGTACAAAGTTCATTGTCCACCCACCAACACAAACTGTGCCAAGAGAGACAAAACTGTTCCATACATCTGTACAGAGGTACAAGGGAAAAATGTAAATCCAGTGCCAATATACAGTACATCCATCTGATTTAGTCTGCAGAGGATTTTGTGTGTACCATCAGGTATGTCCTTGAAGCCACGTCTCCTCCGAAGCAGGTAGGTGATTGCCAGCAGTTGATAGGCCAGCAGACTCATATTGGCTATAGCCCAAGACACAGGATTTCCAATGAGGTGGATCTGAGCCTGTAACAAACAGTGAGAAGACATGAGATGGAAGCTGTAGTCCTTTGTTATTTTTGTTTTTAATTACTTTTGATTGAGCTTTGACATACATTTGTGGAGGAATGCAACCAGTATGCAATGTTGGTCTCTAGGGTCAGCCACTCAGATGGAGTCGAGCTGTATTTGTGTTCAGAGTTTTCCTGTTTGGCATTGAGCATCTTCCACTGCCAAAAGTTACAAGAATTTGTTGAACAGAGTAAATACATGAAAAAGAAATATTGTACATGTTAAGTTGTGAGATACCTGAAGTTCAATAAACTTTGCCCACAATGAGATTTTTCTGGTAACATCGATATGAGTTGGTGAATGAAGCTCCAGCTCCCTCTCCCTCTGCTCTTGACCTGCACACACATCATTGAACAGTGATCCTCAACCTAGATGAATGGTGGGTGTAGGGTGTTCATTTCACTGCTAGAATTATAATAGGTGATATTTTAAATAGCTACAATAATATGTAGTTCCCTACAGAGCTTCATTAATCATTGATAATTATTTCAATATTTTTTCCATAAGAAGACTGCAGTTTGCCAGGGAGGCAAAGGCTGTTGGGGTGATCTATGCCTCCACTGACTAAATCAGAGAAGTTTGGAAACCACTCCTAGAGTATATGAAAATCTGTGTATTAAATCCTTAATGGCATATGGAGCCATACTGGTTCCATATCTGTGCTCTTCCACGGTCCAGCTCTGGCTACTGCTGGGAGCAGTGAACAGCTTCTCTGCGATCACCTCAAGCTGATGGAAGCCCCAGTCTGGCAGAGATGCCCCACTCAGCTATAGGGGCAAAAAAATGCATTACTACACAACACTGCATATGAGGCACATAATATAATACAACTGCTGATGCTGATCACCTTGAGAACCGCTGAAGTGTTGAGGTGGACCAGTCGCACATCTGACAGTATGGTCTTCCACACCTCACCGTCTGACTCCCTGTTACTTATTTCCTAAGACAGAAAAAAACAGTATGGCTTTTTCTGTATTATATTTACATTTAGTCTGTAGTTATCTATTATATAGTTAAATGTAGTATTACTGCTTTTTTGTAAGACTAGATAAAGATCATTTATGCAGGTTTTTAATAGTCACTGGAAGATATCATAGCACATAGTTGTGAATGACAATGTGCTTGAACAGACCATTGTTCACTTATAAATTAATAGATCTAAAATACTCATGATATGTTTTTCCATAATTACAGCTGTTATTATTATGTTTATATGAGGTTACAGAATTGAAGGCTCACCACTGTCCACATGTTCTGTGGGGCCATGGAGACATTGTAGTTAATGTAGCCAGACACCTCCTGGGCATGAGGGCTCATCGGAGCAGCTACATCATGACTGAAAACAAAACAAAAAGCAGGTATATTAGTGCATAAATTTAAAATCAGGACTGTCAAAGTTAAAGGGGTAGTTCGGGATTTTTGACATAAATCTGTATGGCATTACCGTGAGCAGTGTCGTGCATCAACACTGACTTACCCCCGACAGCATCCGGTGACCCGAGATACTGGCCGTTTTCTGTGCTGACGAAAGTAGTCCGGCAAGTTGGCTGGGGACAGCATAATAAAGCGTTTTTCTTCTCAAAACAATATGTGTTCAAAAGAGTGATACATTTGCATCACAAAACCATCGTCGCCTAAAAAGTCAGACCTCATTATCGCTTGGCACTATTTTCTTTCCGTTCGTATCACTGCGCGCGGCCGCCAGGTGACAGCCGCGCCTGGTTCACTTTGTTTACTGCTCGGAATGTTAGCGACAACATGTCTGATTACGACACCGACAATAAAGACTTTGCCTTTACCACAAAGCCAAGGGGATATCTTTGTGAACCCGAATATACTGATGCTGAATTTTGCCAGATGGAGGTAGAACGGGCAGAGAGAGAGAGAGAAGAGAGACAGAGAAGTGGTACAATTGAAGCTGGAGAAGTGAGAGACTGGGTGAGCAACAATCACCATCACGTCATTTATAAACTAGTATACAGCGAACATAGAGCCTACACTGTGACTGAAGCATGGACTACTAATAGAAACATGGAATCATCCATACGTCCACGTAGCTGCTGCCAATAGTGTACGCGACATTTACAATAGTAATAACAGTCGACTTATAAAGTTACGTTTTGTAGAAGCTTCACTGGTGATATGACACTGAGTGATTTACTGCACACAGCGTTACAGCTGATTCTTGAGCCTGTCTGCTTGTAAACATAGCGGCACTTCTTCGTTCTTACCTGGTTTGGTTTCCACGTTGAAGCCTAAGGCAAGAAGCCAAAGTTTCCTCAGCGCAAAGTCCGTGACAGGAAAACGATGAAATGTGCGTGGAGATTCAGCCAGATTTTTGTTGTTACAGCCTGGATAATCAAGAGTTCGCACCATTTTTTAGATATATTCTTATGTATCTTATACAAGCTTATATACTTATCGCTCTAGCTCTCACGTTAGCTTTCTCACGTCGCGGCGATCTGCACATGTAAACACTGCCGAACAACTGCAGAAAGTGATGAATTCGTGCGCGGCTGTCACCTGGCGGCAGCGCGCAGTGATACGAACGGACAGAAAATAGTGCAAAGCGATAATGAGGTCTGACTTTTTAGGCGACGATGGTTTTGTGATGCAAATGTAGCACTCTTTTGAAAACATTGTTTTGAGAAGAAAAACTCTTTATTATACAGTCTCCAGCCAACTTGCCGGACTACTTTCGTCAGCACCGAAAACGGCCAGTATCTCGGCTCACTGGACGCTGTTGGGGGTAAGTCAGTGTAGATGCACGACACTGCTCACAGGGATGCCATACAGATTTATGTAAAAAATCCCGAACTATCCCTTTAACGTGTTTACTAATACAATTTATCAAGAAAATTGAAGCATGAGTCACAAATGACACATTAGTGAGCATTTACCTGTTGAGAAAACGTGATGTCATTCCGTGGACAAGCTGAATGACATCTCCATGTCGAACAGGCCTGGGAGGAGTGCCCACCACCAACTCCTGCCTGAAACACAGTGTAAAGACATCTCAAGTTCTGTGTTTTTTGGGGTTTTTTTTATAGCACTTTTCACAGACATTTGTCACAAAGATGCTTTACAGTGCATTATTCATTCACTCCATTCCCGGTGGTGGTAAGCTACTATTGTAGCCACAATATTCCTAGAGGTCTCCCATCCAAGTATTAACCAGGCCCGGTCTTGCTTAGCTTCTGAGATCTGATTGGATCAGGCTTTGACAAGCCGGTATGTTTGATAAATACTAAAAGAAATACAATTTTCTATGGAAAGGAAAGGTTTAACATTTCTCTTTAGCCTGACCTGCGTGGATCTTTAATAATCCACCAGTTGTTGACGTCTTTGAAAGGATAACATGTGACCTGCTGCTGGTGGGAGCTGCCACGTCCATTTTCATACCTGAAAATAAAACAGATATATAAAAAAAATATATAGCATTCTGTTTAAGGAAATTCAAAATATAAAAGTTGTGGATAATGCAAGTATATCATAGTAATACAAACAAATGTGTGTCCATCCCTTTCACCTGATTGGGTAGTTGGCCTTATGTGAGTGAAGCCAGCAGGGTACAGGATTGGAGGCAGAGCTCCTTAGGGTCACCTGGCTGCCATAGGCCACTTCAAGTGGCTGTCCCTGGGTGATCCTAGAGAGCCCCCCCTTCAACGACACAGAAAAAGATTTCAGCTTGAAGTCTGGTGTTAGACATACTAGCATGTATGGAGACTAGGTAGTGTGTGTACCTCAAGAGTTGCCTGGAAAGCAGAGCTCATGAGCTGATCATGGGGCCCACTGCGGTGCAGAAGACTGAGATGGATGTAGAACCAAAACACATAGAGAAGAACAGGCACCACAACCAAACACACCAGTCGACAGACAGCATGCACGCAGACACTCAGCTGTCACACACAGAAAAGTGGGTTACACTGGGCTGCATACAGGATTTCTGCATTTTTGAGATGCACAGAGAACTCACATGGCTAATGGAGGGGTCTCCAATCAGTTTCCAGGTGTGTACACAAACCATGGCCAACAGCAACAGATATGACAGCAAGCCCATATACTTGACCCTGAGTACAGAACACAACGGGATGTCCACTGATCTGTGTCTACTGTATACCAATACTATTGTATCATTTATATTCTACTATGTACAGTCATAGGTACCCTATTGCTGCTGCAATGGAGGCTCCAGACAGCAGCAGCCAGCAGTAACTGAACCATGAGCTTTAGATATATAAAACAAGAAAGCTTAATTAAAACATTAGAATAATATTAACTTTTAGGTATTAAGATGCTAGGATCATTTAAAAAGGATCAGAGTCCCACCTGTGGTATGTGTTGTGGAATCGGAGGTAACAAAACAAGGACAAGAGCATGAAGAATATGAGAACAGACTCCAGTAGCATGAACCGGGACTGCACTATCAGGGCGTTCTCTGGAATCCCAATCACACACTATGTTTTATTCCAATACATTAGGCACCAGACAATTAAACAATACAATTAAAATAAGGCCACTTAAACAGGATTTTATATATATATATATATATATATATATATATATATATATATATATATATATATATATATAAATTTTATTTTTTTTTTACAGTTTGTTATTGGAGTGAAAAATCAAGTAGCTAAGATTAACTTTAAAAGAACATGTGTTCATTGTTCAAGCGGTTATTAACAACAATCTCTTGTGTAAATACTTACCCAGCAAAAAGAGCAGTGCAGCCCCCAGAGCCGATATGTAAGACAATCCCAGCTCCAGAGAGAGACTATAGATCAGAGGAACGCTTAGGGCCCCGCAAAGAGCAGGGAGCAGCCGCAGACTCCACACACTCACAGTGTCCGGATACTCTGCACATAAAGACCAGAGGCACACTGACAGTCGCACACACTCACACTGTTGGGGGCTAGATATAAATACGAGAGTCAGAACCACTCTTCCTCACAACTCATCACTTATCACTTACCTGCCCCAATTCTGTTCCACACAAAATTGCCATCGAAACCTCCAAGATAAGCTGCAACACAGATTTGAACAAACTATCAAGTAATGATCTGTTGTGATTGTATTTTATGAGAAACAGTGTTAATGAATTTTAACAATTTAAATAGTAAATGATGAATTGGATTTTTAGGAAGCCTTGTTATTCATGAAAGATTGTCAGAGGTGGTTTTTGTACATAAGGTATTTTATGTCTTCTGTCTATCTGCCCAAGGACTGCAGATGGAAAGTAGCTTGCAGCTAAAGCTGGTGCATAGCATCTTTTCTAAGAGATCAATGTAATCTGTGCACTGTCCTTGTTTTAAATAAATAAATACTTTGGGAGATTAAAGACGGTGTTTTTGTTACATTCTCATTTTACTAACCTCCAGCAGCTAGAATCATGTGACCAAGTGGAGGGCCACTGTCATCGATGAAGAAGACCCTCTTCATGTAAAGTGACACAAACTGTCCATAGTACACTTCATCAAACCTGACAACCAGAACAAAGAGGAACACTTTAGATAGGCACAAATACTAAAAGTAATAAGAAGTGTTTTATAGATAGGAGAGCTAGTGTTATGATTAAATAATACTGAGGTGAACTAGTCAATTCTTTCTATTATACATCTTGGTATAAATTACTGTATGCTATATGAAAACACTGTATGATAGAAGACATGGTAGAAGACTCACACCACAGAGTTGGGATAACTCAGTCCCCTTAGTCTGGTCCAGAGAGCCAGCACAGAAAAGAGCAGGAAAACCACATCCACCTTAGCCGTCACCACCAAAGGGAGTTGCAGCATGGCGTCTTCTTACAAAGTAGCAGAGTCAATCGTCTTTAAAATAACTTCAAATAAAGCATATTATTATTTATTATTGTGTTCAGTGTCCTTTTCTATGCTGTTATGAGTTGGGGCCTGGACTGGCCTATAAGGAAACTGTGGCTGTGGTTAGACTGGGCTTGGACTCTGAAGAAGGTGGTGGAAGAGAGAACTCTGGTGAGGATATAAGCTATCCTGTCCAACCTAAGCCACCCTCTGCCTCTTCTCCCTTCAGATGAGCAGTGTGAGCATTACACGCACTGACCCATGGACAGACTGAGGAATTCTTTTGTACCACGTGCCATCAAGCTGTACAATGCTGCCTCCCCACGCAGGGGCAGCAGAAGGAGCAGTGGTTTAACTCTTCACTTAGCACTCCTAAGCCCTGGAGTATACAACCTGTAGCTCTGAAGCAACCAGAAGCTCTCCACCCCCTTCCAAGTGGCTCACCAAGGTATTTTTGAATTATACATTATATTATGCAATTATGTATTGTGCTGAATAATTTGATGTATTAAATGCCTTTTACCATTGTAAATGTATCATTTTGAAGTCCAACTTTGTGCGCTAAAAATGGTTTATGTTATGCTATGGTTCTTAGGTCTGCTTAAGTTAGTAGCTCTCTGGTATTTTTGGTTTGTAATTTAAAGGGCTTAGCTCACCGGAGAAAAAAGATCGGCCTTAGCCCTTTAACTATTTATTGATTATGGATTGACTACTTTTTACTATTTTTAATGTCTCTAACACTTTTATTTATCTTTCTACACAGCTTATATAATAAAAGATGTCTGACTACACACCTGTCTATCAGCAGGATACAGGCGGCTTCACTCACACAGCAGCTTCTGTTGTCTCCAGCCGCGGTCCATCTTCGGGGAGTGTCACGAGAACTATCAGTGAAATATTATGAAAGATCCATGTGAACGATTTGTTTTGGCTTTGCAGGACATAGTTCAGGAGGTGCAGCATGACAGTGTACACTTCCGGAGATTGCTACTCTGCTTTACTGCCATCTACCGTTATGGCATGACACATAGGCTTTATTTATATACATATACTATAAATAAGATGAATAATAAATAATAAAGACTGCTTTTGTGGCTACCTGGCTCACACACTGAGCAGTTTTGGAAACTTTTTGTGTGTTTTTAGCTCAGTTTTTAACATCATGTCATAGGATTTTAACCAACTAAGAAGTACAACATGTGCAGTTCGAAGGACACAAATAAGCGACTGAATTTTGGGAAATGAGCGGTTTGTTTTTCCAGTATCCATGGAGACCGCGCAAGAGGCTAGCTAAGAGCTAGCTGAGAAGTTAGCTGTGGACATTTGAGATGCTACAGGGTTTTTACACCATATGCAGCAGCAAACGTGGCAGAAAATCTTCAGAGGGAAAACTCTGTGGGAATGAACACAAGGGACTATTGGATTTTGTGAAATTAACTGTTTGTTTTTCTCGTATCCATTGAGACTGCACAGGAAGCTAGCTAAGGATAGAATGGACATTTAAGATGCTACAAGCTTTTTACACCATATGTGGCAGCAAATGTTGCAGAAAATGTACCAGAAACACTTTGAAAAAAATGACCATTTCGTCACCGACCAAAAGACCAGAGCAGAACATGAACCGCGGCCTTTCCTGTTGTGTTCATCTGGCTTCCACCCTGGACGCTGCTGTGATGCTGCAGAACAGATCAGTGCAACAGTTTGCTGTAGCAGAATAGGAAGCTTCTATTGATACGTTGCAGCTGATGTCATCAACATTCCCTGGGGGTGTGAAACTAACTGTAGTCATTGATCTGTTTGAAGCTGTGTTATTTAAATCAAATTTTAATCTGAACATTATTTTAACACAATCTGACCTTAAAGATTTGACTTAACTAAAACTACAGCAGGCAAGCTGATTTTTACTTTTAAACAAGTCCCCGTACATAAAATTACAGTTACAAGCTAGCTAGATTATCCAACAGTTTTTCTGTTACTCTCACGTTTCTGTTGAAAATCTAACACTTTAACACGACCATTAATACTTGCATTGACCATGAACACTTGCATTGATCCATTTTGTGTTTTCACACAATCTGAAATTTTTTTTGGCAGTGCTTGTTAATCTGTGCATTGTGTCTCCATGACAACCTCTGAACATTGCACCATAGAGATACATGTAAAACACCCCCCGCATGATAGCAAAGTATCAATTCTTTACTGTGATCCTGCTCCAGAGAGGCCTAACCGCCACCAACAGTCACAAATTGATTCACATGGTCACAATCGGAGTATTTTGCATAACATTCCGTTATAGATTAAACTGAAGCCACCGAATCCATACCTTTAGGAGATTCCCTCAGTAAGACTTTAATTTGTACCTATCTGACATAGGCCTACAGTTTTATTGAAACCACTATTTTGTGCAAGGCATCACTGGTTGTCTTAGGATCTCAAAGACTGCAACAGTTTTTAGATATCTGCTAAAATGTCACAAAACATTTATGAAATAATTTAGGTTCTCTGACATTATTAAGACAAAGTAGATAGACACTTTAGCCTATCTTTAAGGCACAGAGGCATCAAGAACACATACATTAGAATACAATATTCACAAATGCTGTATAATCTGTGGTTCACAAAATTAAAAGTGCTCATGTCTTTAAAACAGAGCCAATCTGTCCCTTCCGTCATCCAGGCTCCAAATTTCAGACTTTTGAGGACACAAAACTACAAAACTACATCACCCCTGCTTATGTGCATGCTCTGGGGACATGAGGTTTTGCCTGTGTAAACATTCTGCCTACATTCATTGAGCTATGTAGGTCTGTGATGCTGAGGAACGGCTCCAGCTCCTCGTTGACAGTCTCTGTCTGAATATATTCCACTTAAACATGGTAGTGTTGTCCTGTTACTGTAGTGGCCTGTCTGAGTTTGAAGTGTGCAGTCAGTGTCTCTCCTGGTCAGAATTGTGACTGTCTCTGGTCCATTTGATCATAGTCTCTGGAGAACGATAGAGGAAGATGAGTTTTGAGTAGAGTTCCTCCTCCAACTCCAGCTCTGCTGTCTCCCGCACCTGAAACACACACACAAAAATGCTGTAGTCCAAAGTTCCAGATACTCAAACAGAATCATGGGAAATAAACCAACCAGGAAGATGTCTGTGCATAACTTTAGGATGCGGTCCACACATGGCAGCTCCTCAAACATGATGGAGTGGGAAATCTCACTGAAAAATCCACGCACAAATTTGCCAATCACCAACACCACTGACACGTACAGGCCCATGATCCTGGAACACAGAAGATTAACAGTTAATTACAGGAACATTATTTGAGACATCATAATTTACTACTATAACTATATATATAAATGGTAACATTTTTCTATAGCGCTTTTCCACCTTCAAGGCACTCAAAGCACTTTACAACAAGGAACCACTCACCCATTCACACACACACACACACACACACACATTCACACAGACACTAGGGGCAAGGTGGGTTAAGTGTCTTGCCCAAGGACACAACGACAGCATTCATCTGTGGGAGCTGGAATCACATCAGCCAACCTGTGGGTCAGTGGATCTGACTGCTCAACCTGTGATGTTTATGTAGATAGCTGGAATTGAACTGCCAACCTTCACATCAGTGGGTGAATGCTCTACCAACTGAGCTACTGCCGCTATATATATATAAGCCACAGTCGTACACATCAAAAACATGTTGCATTGCAAAAACGTGCAAGTTTCTCATGAATTGTTTTTTTATTTGGTGAGCAGAATATATAGGAATACAAATAACAACAGGATATAGTAAACTGTCATAAAAATATAACTGACACAATTAATTATTATTATTTGTTGTGTTGAACAAGTTAAATTCAAGTATATATTTCTTTCAATAGGTGTTAGCCTAGTGAAACACTGTACTAAATTAAATACATCATTCTAAAGTTACAAAACAGGCTCAAATGTCTAGACCAGTGAGACAGATCTGAAGCTTACCCATATCCAGCCAGGAAACCCAAGCTGGGAGGACTGACTTTGTCATTAAAGATGACCATGGGCAGAACTCCACATGAAGAAGGGACACAGTCTGCGATAGCAATGTCCCACCACTCCTGAGTCCCAGTGTTTGTCAGGGACTTATCACTCATCAAGGACAGAGTGATGTCCAGGTAGCCTTTCTCGTCCTCTACAACATACACTACCAGGTCAAACACAAGCTTTGTATTGAATAATTGTGTTTGTGCATAAAGGGACTGAGCTCACCTTTATACAGCTGACTGACAGGTTTGGCCTCTGCTCCATTCGGGGCTCTGATGTAGTTTGGGAACATGTGTTGCACAAGCCTGATAATGAAACATCATGTTATATAGGCTCTTTAAAAATGTGTAAACAAAAACATTTTAAATTCTGGAATGAAGACAGCTGGAGGTGAAAGTGAAGTGGAACATAATGTGATTTCAATGGGAAAACTGGGATTAAACTCCCACAGTATCATAAAATATGAAAAATCAAGGGATGTTTGGCAAATAAAAAACACACAGATACATGTGAGAGATATCAGAGCCCAGTTTAAAAAAATATATAACTATGTTTTATGTTATGTGTTAATTGAAGAGGAGAATTAAAGAAGACACTAAGCATTTTTGACAAAGGAAAAATACAGATTTTTAGGTTTTACTGGATAAATCCTTACAGAAAAGATGAGCTGACTATAGTTTGTCACATCATCTACAGACAGTGTTGGGGAGTAACGGATTACATGTACCGCCGTTACGTAATCAGAGTACAAATTATGAGTAACTGTATTCCGTTACAGTTACTGTTTCAATGAGTGGTAATTGGATTACAGTTACTTTGCTGAAATAAGTGGATTACAAGGCGGTATTTTCCTGTTTTCACATTTTGTGCTACATCCCATTTATTTATTTTTTTATTTCGGTAATTTCACTCATTGCCGGAAACCCAAACAGAACGTGCGCAATAAGAGCGACGTAAACGTCATGTTAAAGTTGGCGGTGTCAGTCACACAGTGGAAGCAGCAGTGCATTGATAAAAACGCATTTGTGTCTTGGAAATTCTTCTCCCAATGTGAGATATATATATATAAAAAAAAAACAAATATAAAATCGCCTACAACTTAAATGTGAAACAGGAGCTACTGGCACTGGTGAAAACAACCTGCATAGACTCATAATATCTGCACTACTGTTCTATAGTGACCTGCGACATGAGTGGACGCGCACACAAACACACACAAACACACACAAACACACACAAACAAACACAAACACAAACACAAACACACACCTTCATCATCGTCATCAACCTGAGAACCCGCGGACCACGTCTCCTTCCGTAGTTACAGCGCGGACACCGCCGTCTCGTGCGCCGCGTGTGGACCGTGTTTTCTCGCGTAAACCGCGCTTCCTCCTGTGCGCCTCTAAACCAGAACTAACACCAGAACTAAACCAGAACTAATCCAGGACTAAACCAGGACTAAAGCAGGACTGAACCAGGTTTAAACTAGGACTAAACCACGACTAAACCAGAACTAAAGACCTGGTCTAGACCTGGTCTAAACCAGGTCTAAAATCAGGACTAAACCAGGACTAAACCAGGTCTAAACAACATGACACCTAACAGTAGGTTGACATAATTTAAGGTCATCTCATATAAAAAATAATTTCTCTATCAATAATATTTTTTTAATCTGGTGAAAGAAAGACTGATCTTGTTACTGTCTTTTAACAGACAAAACCTCTTATGTTAAGATCTCATGGTCTTTGTTTCTCTACAGCAAACAGTTGCTTATTCATGGAGACTTGGGCTCAGACAATTTGAAGACAACAAACAAGAATTTTCAGGATGTAGTTGCTACATTCATGTTGTTTAAAAAAACATGACAATATCAAGTAATCCAAAGTAATCAGATTACGTTACTCACTTTAAGTAATTTAATGGATTACGTTACAAACTACATTTTGGGATGTGTAATCTGTAATCTGTAGGGGATTACATTTTAAAAGTAACCTTCCCAACACTGTCTACAGATATATTACACATTTCACCATAAATCATATTTCTTAACAGGGAAGCAAAATAACTAATATTTGTTCTTTAGAAATTCAAAATGGTTGTTTATTTTTGTTATGTCATAAAACTATTAGCATGCAAATCTGTTAATCAGTTAATCACTAAAAAAAACATTTTGTCTACTTCACTTTGACTCCAGTTGCCTCCATTCCAGAATTGTGAACATTCTGATAACATAGGATTTTAAAGGATCTATAGACACACTCACTGTCCCCTCAGGATCAGCTCATAGACCACCACTTACACAGGTTTGGTGCGGTTGCCAACCAGCAGAGAGGCCAACTCTGACCGAACCGGACTCCCGGGCTCCAAGTCGATTGAGTGTTTATCAAAGGTGTGTTCCACAGTTCCTCCTTTTCCCAAGTCTCTGTGGAGGGACAACATAATAACTTGTACAGGATAAACTGATCAACTAGGCCTGTCATGATAACAAAAGTTTAAGCACGATATATAGCAACACATAAATGTGTTAACGAGAATATTGAAACTATTCATGGTCACTGACACAATGACCATAATGCAAGATAACTCCAGTAAACAATTTTTAAATAAACTGTATCACTAAAAGCCATGATCTGCAACAAATAAATAACAGAATTAATCAATAATTAGCTATATAAGCTCAAATCTTATTGTATTTCAACAAAAATACCCCAAATCTCCCCACTAAAATTGTACACATGATCAATATTGAGCTCCAAAATATATTCTTTCAGCTTTCATATATTGAACTATACGGTAATTATTGTGACAGGCCTATGGTTAACTGGTCCAAGAAGTGCAGATACAGTGCAAAGTCTTTAAAGATATTTGTATATTATATTATTGTAGCATATAGTATATTTACAAATGTAAAGTGCAGTGGGTACCTCTGGAAAGTCCAGGCCAGTCTGAGTGTGAGGTCCACGGGACTCTCCAGCAGCTCCTTGATGAGCTCCTGTCGACTTGGGGGGCTGATCCTCCACACGGACCCTGAGCTGCCCTCAATCATGGCTGTCACAATGTCTTCATAACTGTACAGAGTGATAAATTGCATGGCCACCTGCAACACAAACACATATATATTTGGACACCGTGAAGAAACTTGAAAAATTTTGATCCAACAGTTTTCAAAGACGTCACCAAGCTGGAGATATGAACATTGAAAATTATCATTATCATTATCATTATATTATCAAGTCTACCACAGAATGGAAAAGGTTTCTCAGATGGACAATGGCTGATGGAAGTCTTTTACAGGAACTCAAGTAGCCACTCACTTTCCTGCAGTCTTTTAAGTAACAGAGTAAACACCTCACCTTCATAGGTCAAGCAAATTGTAAAGTGTATTTACTCCTCTTGACTAATTCTAGAGATCCTGAAATAAATTCTTCTTATGTTTCTAGTCCATTATTAATCTCTTTTAAAAATGTTTTCAAACTGACTGGTATCCTTTAAAAATATTTAGCTCCTAAAAATACTGTTGTACACCAGAAGTAAAAAAGATATTTAGGTAAAATAACATAAATCTAAGTAATAAAATAATAATATAATAGATAATAGCTGTGAAGTGGGTTAAGTAGGTTTAAGTATAGAAGTACCGCATTATCTCCAAATGTCCTGGTGAGATTATCATAATCTGATTGAGTGAAGGGTTTGATGGACTGCTGCTGAACGCTCATGGTAAACAGAGGCTGTAGACACAAAAATTATGGTCACTTTCAAAAGGAAGTCCTCCATAGTTCAAAACAAGTATTTAACATTCGTACCTCGTAGCCTCCAAGTTTGACTGTTACAGTGACATCAATTGGGTGGTTGACCACACCCACTACTGATCTGACTAATGAGATAAAGAGCAAAGGGAACCAAATTATACAGATTAAGAAAAAGATAATGAGACCACCCATCCCATATTTGACGATTTTCTTCTTCTTTTGTCCTTTTGGCTGTGGATATTTCTGAATAAACAGGAAATAATAATAAATAACTAATAATAAAACATGAAAAAAGACTGTTTTTTGTGTTAAGAGCAGTATCATACTTTTTCTGTCTCACGGCTGCACTTAATAATGAAGATATTGGCATAGATGTCTTCCACACACATCCAGTCGGACAGTGACAGAGTGGTGTCAGTCCAAACCCAGTCCATAACAGCCCGCAGCTCAACCAGGAAGGGCACCAGGCGGAACCTAAAAGCACAGTCAAATAAGTAGAGGACACAGCCAAAGGACAGTAGAATAAGACTTGAGCAGTAGTTAGGCCCATACCCCTGGAAGAGGAACAGGTTAAGATGGTTGTACTTCTTGGTCAGGAAGTTACCCAGGATACGTGTTGGATAACCACAGCGGATCTGGTAGGCCGACAAGCCAAAGTACACACACTTGACAAAGTACCAGAGCTGGGCCACAAAGTTCTGATTAAACTTCCTGCAGAGAGAAAGACTCATGGCTCTGATCCTTCATTGTTACACACAAGTAAAAAGGATGCTCTTTTGCCCTTACCGCTCAGTGACAGCAGGCAGGATGAAGAACATCCAGATGTGGATTCCAAACACTAGGATCACCTGCACAGGCCAGTGGAAATGTTTAGTATATGGAGGGAATATATGAATATATCAGTATTTCTTCATGTTTATAAAGTAAGTTTCAAACACTTAGATAGTAGTTTATTTATTGGTTTATTAGTATAGTATTTTTTAATGCTGTTTGAATTACATTTTCATATTCATCACAGCACTTTGAAACTGTAAAATAGACTATATAAAAATGCATCAGATGTGGTGTGAAAATAAATACGGATATAGTAAACAGAGAACCTGGAAAATGAGCTTTCCTAGGACAGCCTTGCGCAGGTACAGTGCTCGATCAATAATCATGGTGCTGAACTGAATGAGCAGCATCACCAGGAACGCCTCCGGAACCTGGTCTTCAGACAAAGAGGAGGCGATGTCTGCAGCCGCACTGTGTTTCTATACACAAAAGTCAATTAAACATGTACAATAGTCACAACATTGTTGATTTTAGCAGCACAAATACCCCAAAGGCCCAGAAGCCAAAGACGATGATGATGAAGTCAATGACATCAGTGAGGAACATGAGGGCGTAGACATCAGTGGCAGCTCGATACTCAGCGTGCACTATGTCCTTGAAGAAGCTTTGAGTGGGCTGGTAAACTGCCTGGAAACTACACAAAACAGGGCTTTAGATACAGTACACTACATTACTACAGTAGATAGATAGATTATCCAGAAGGAAATTCATTTTTCGACAGCTACAATGATACATAATAATAATAATAATAATAATAATAATAATAATAATAATACAGTAGAATAATCTTAACCAGAGTAATTGTCTATGTTAACTTCATCTTGACTGTGATTGTACTTTCGTTTTGATGTTATGGATGTGAACAAGTTGTGGAATGTAATGGAATGTAACAAAGTAAAAGTAGTAAAGTTCTGTGCTTACATATACAGTACATTTTAGATATCTATACTTTACTTGAGTGCATTTTAAAGTGGAGTCTTTTTACTTTTACTTCACTACATTTGAGAGCATGTATCTGTACTTTCTAGTCCACTACATTATTGAACCAGAAAACTTTTACTGAAAAGTAAAAGTATTTTTATTGTTGTATGAGACCTGCTGAAAAGGCTGAGGGGGTGATTTTAACATGTACTTTGAGCAAACAAAAATATACAAATAAAAACAGCTATCTTTTTATTTAATTTAAATTATAGACTCAGTCATTTCTACTGAACATAATTCAGCACAAATCTTTATCAAAATCACTACATTTGAAACCTTATATGACCTTAAAATATGTAAAAAATATTTTACTTTGCTCCAGTATCGGTACTTTTAAATAACAAAATGGAACCTGTGAAATGGCCTGAAAATGATCAGCTTACCAAGATAAACAGACATGTTTAAGCTTCTGTCCCATAGCCAGCAGGCGCTCATTGGCAGCCTCTCTTCTTTTACTTTTTTGTTTTTTCTTCTTCTCTGGTTTGCTTTCAGGTTCTTCGGGTTCTGGTGTGTCTCCCCCTAAGGCCACAGCTAGAGTGAAACAAAAAAAACAAGTAGTGACTGAAGTGATTTAAATCCAGCAAATGTGGTGCTGCAGCTAAATTTATCTATTGCACACTGACTTGTCTTCTTGTGTTTCTTGGTCTTCTTTTTGCGAAAGCGGATGCTGCTCTTCTTTGGTCTCACATCTGTGCTCTGGGTTTCCTCCTGGGGATTTGTGGAGTCTACACCTGTGGACCCCTGCTCATCCACAGACACTGTAGTATCTGAATTAACAGCAGGGGGCGGTGTGGGATCTGGTGTGATGCCTCCTGACTCTGCATAATCCACTGGGTCCTGGTAAACAGTCATGCATGTTATGTCATGATTAGAGCTTGCAGCTGTTGTTATAATTTTATCCATTTAATCATGTTACGGCAGGGCGATATAAAAAAACAAAAAAAACAAAACATCACCAAGTTTTTCTTGTTGATTAAATAATCAACAATTTCTGACTTGATTTTTATTTATCTTAAAGGTGCACTATGGAATTTTTTTGGTTGGGGGTTTGTCACCTACTTGTTTATATGGATATGTCATTTCTCTGACTGGAATCTTCCACAGTATGACATTAAACAGCTCTACCTTTAATTACAGGTGGTTTTATTCACCTTAAGTTGCTGTGCATGGCACCATCATCATTTGGGTTGTATTATTTTGTATGGGGCTGCCGATCTTTACAGCAAATAAGTTCAATATGGACTTAAAGCTGTTTTGAAGTCCCCCAGAGAATCGGTGCAGTGTGACTTGTTGGTGAACCTTGAACATTTTACACAAATTAACTTACTTAAAGTCAAATTTTAGCTGCAAAGTTTTACCCAAAATCTCATTGAAATCAGTGGGATCCCTGTTTGACTGGAAGTGCCACCACAAGAAAGTGTGGTTTAGGAGCATTTAGAGACAAAAGTGGGTGGGGTGGAATAAGGTGAATAGCTCAAAAATGTCCAGAAAAACAGGCATTCTGACTGTGAGCGGTGTGTGAGCAAAGTTGCTCACAGTTTAATACCATACAACAAAGATTCCAGACAAAGCAATAACATTTCCATGGGGAAAAGAATTTGACAGACCCTCCACCAGAAATGTTACACAAGGCACCTTTAAACCTCTCCAGGCAGGCGTTGCTGATTTGCAACAGCTAAATGCCAGTTATATACTTACGCCACATCCATATTTTATGAGCTTTTTTAACTCAGGAACCTTTTCTCCCATCCGTGCTGATAAACGTGGGCGATGCAGACTGTGCAAGAATGGCTACATGCAAACGGCCTGCCAGAAGTGCAAAATACTTTTTTTTTTTTTTTTTACAAAGGATAAAAAAGTCAGGATTGTATATTACTACCCAATATTATAATTTTCCCCAAATATCAGATTTTTCCTGATACTAAAAATTAATTTGAGCCTGAGAGGGTTAAGCATAAACAACACTTTTAATCATTGCTCTTTTGACCTAAAAATGATATGGTCCTCCAAAGCCTGCATTCTGCCTCAAACCACATATTTTTATTAAGGATTGTTTGTGGACCACTCGAAGCATATAACTGATATTAGAAATGACCGAATCACAATCTTGATTTTAATTAAATGAAATCAGTGAATGAAATCACACCCCACCCCCCTACCCACCTCTGTGATGAGCAGCGGTTCTTGACTGTTAGGACTGGTGCCATCTTCACACACATCTTCTATTTTAGCATCATCAGTGGTGCTCTGGGGTGAGTGCTTCTCCTTGATGTTCTCCTCATGATCCCACAAACCATAGCGCTGTCATACACAGATTTATTTATTAAAGAGCCCATATTACACTATATCTAACAACATTATAGCATAGACTATAATATTTCCTTATCACAAACATACCTGTAGTTGTGTTTTGTTTTCATTCACACATGTTTAACACACAAACCCTGCATAATTAGGAGTTTTCTCGCCAACAGAAAACACCCCTTGTGATGTCATAAGTGCTCCACTGTGTTTTTAAACTCTACACACTTTCACTAGAATCATTTGGATAATTTCAGCCCTGGAATTACCAATCTTTACTGAACTAGGTAAAGGTAAAAAACCAGTGAAGAGTCTTTGTGACATATGTCTGTGAAAACAACTTTATTTCTAAATAGAAATGCTTTATTTATAAATAAAATCTTCCTTACTTACTTACTACTGCTTCAGGACATCATAAGGTGGAACAAAGCATTTTGAGCTTTAGATATGTAGACAGACTAATAATAAACAGTTACTCAAACACGTGAATGAAACAAAACACACCTTCAGGTATGTTTCTGACGACGTAACATTATAAATGGCACAAAAGTAAATTTGGGTAATATATGACCTTTAAAGAGAGCAAACAAGTCTGAATAATGCCACATGGATAGGAGAAACTACATAAGTATAGTAATATAACACTGTAGACTTATGTACCATGAGCAGAGATCTGTGGAAGAACAGGACCAGCAGTTGCAGCAGGTCATATTTGATATAGTTGTCTGACTTCTCCAGACCCAGGATGCGAGGAGTGAAAAAAGGCTTGTCTTCATTTAGTGTCATCTCATACACGCTGTTCCAAGGGAAGAAGCCAAACTGAAACAGGTATTTGACCACCACCATCACCTACAGTATGGGAAATTTTTTTTTAGTTAAATCTTGTGTCAATATAAACATTATAAACACACTAAGTATGATTATGGTGAAAATTATATCCATCTATTGTGCTTTGAACTGACATTACATTGAGAAACTGTCACCCATCTCTGTAACTGCTGCTGTGAGCCTCGTAATTATGGTCTTAAAATGGTCGTATTAACCTACTCTAGATTATCCTAGTGTTATTTTTTTGCCATTTTATCATTATGGGTGATGCCACTGTCATAGTCATTATACAGTCTTTGCTCCTAACTCCTTAATTAAGTAGTTATTAAGCATGACTCACTCTTGATAAATTCTTTGTTTACAATTAAAACTTCATCTAGGCTAATTAAGGTATATTTACTACAAACTGATGCTATATGCTTTTATTGCATTGAGACAAATTTGCTGGTGCATGGTCATACCTCAGTGTAGACAATGGCAGTCATCCAGAAGCGTTTGGTGGGTCTGGGCACTGAGAGCATGGCCCACAAGAATACCAGAATGGGCAGCACCAGGGAGATGACAGACGCACTCACCACGTTGTTCAGGACAATGATGAGGTAACACACCAGTTCAGAGTTAGCAGCCAGCAGATTGTACAGAGCAAACAGCAACTTCAGCAGACGATTCTGGTTGTTGTAGAAGTCACGGCTCTGCTCCAATTCCTCGATATAAAACTGTCTGTGTAAAGAGACAGGGACAGAGTTGTACAAGTAACTTGTATTTTTTATGTGAAAGATAGTGTGTTGGTTGAACTACATGGGTGTATTCTAAGCCTTTCTAATTGCATGTCTTTATTGTACTTCCACATTGAACCCCATTAGTCCTAATGAAACCCCATTTCAGTAAAAATATATATTAGAGGGCTTACATTACACTTAAAAAAAAACTATTATAATGTAGTTTCTTCATCACAAACATACCTGAAGTTGTGTTTTGTTTCATTCACACATGTTTAACACACAAACCCTGCATATTTAAACTACTTTAGACTTCCTTCTGTCAAACTGAAAACACTTCCACCTTGTGATGCCATATGATGATACAAGAAGTACTCCACTGTGTTTTTTAACCCCATACACTTTCACTAGATTCTAGTGTTTCTAGAATTTGAATAATTTCAGCCCTGGAAATGCCGATCTATAATGAGCTAATGGTAAAAGGTAACAAGTAAGTTGAAAACTAACACTACATGACATCACAAGGTGGAACAGAGCATTTTGAGCTTTAGAGATGTAGACAGAGTAATAATAAAGGAACATTCATTCAAACATGTGTGAATGAAACAAAACACAGTTCCAGTTATGTTTTTCAGGAGGTAATAACATTCTAACATAACTAAAAGCTTACAAGGAAAAATAAATTATAATATAGTCGCTTTAAATATGCTCCTGTAGGTAAGTGTTGTGCTTAGTAATACCTCTCTCCCAACAGCTCACTGGCTGTCCTGGAGTGGCGCTGCTGTTTGGGCAGATCTGGCAGCAGTTCCAGACTGTTTGGGGGCTCTGGACTCAGTAGGCTGCCTGCACTGGCCTGTATGGGCCTGGGAGTCGATTGGCCTGGGACCCCCTGACTGTCTACATCCAGACAACTGTATCTGGAATTTTCTGCATCAGTGTCATCCAGACAAGTCTCCAAAGTGTGACTGCCACTGCCCTGGGATAAAAGTTCATCTGTGGATGCTGCAGTCTGGTGCTGTGGACAGGATTTTGAAAAGAGGTTTTATTTTCATTTATGGTCCCATTCATCAGACAAAGGTATAATATGAACATTCTGATTAAAAACAAAATGCAAGTCTCAGGCAACATTATTTGTTAATGAATCTATTAGTAGTCAAGAATGTTGTAAGTGCAAGTGTTATACAAGTTAAGTGTTTATAGTGGAGGACTTTGAGCAGATGAAGTGAAAGAACTTTACCTGTTGGATCTTGTGGATCATAAAGTAGCGCTCGTTACACAGCACAGTGGATGTTTCTCTGTACTGTTTGGTCAGAAGGTTAAGCCACTGTGTCAGTCCATCGATCATGGCGAGGACTATGGCCCAAAGGAAGCGCAGGAGATCCAGGATCCTCTGAACCATCTCACCATGTCCTGCAAAACAAAAACTGATTGAAATAGATGTACCCAAAGTCATCATGCTAACGAAGTTAACAGCGTCATGAGCCATACCAGAGTCCTGCTCATCTGGCTCTGCACTTTCCTCTCGCTCAACAGGCTCCTCAAACACATCATTGTCTGGACCACCTGTTAAACAAGTTCCATGTTCACTTCTTTTGATATGACATGTTTTCAGAGGAAATAACAGTAAGCTTATGTCCAGACCGCTGTCAAGGCGTGACTGACGGGCTGCTGCCTTCTCCATTCGCCGCAGCTGCCTTTGTCTCCTCTGCCGCTCCTTCAGAGCATCCTTCACGCTGCTGACCCAGGCCTGGTACGCCAACTGTCAAACCAATCACCGTATTTATCACACACATTCAACTCCTTTTAATAGATTTGTGACAAAAATAATCATTTTAGCTTAACATCATCATTACTAGTCACAAGGTACGTGGTGACAAATACACCATTTTCAAGTAAAGCAAAATAAATTTTGTCTGACCTGGCAAGCAGTCTGCTTTTTGGGCTTCTGCTCATCAGCCTGCTGCTCCTCCTCATCCTCACTGTCTGACTCAAACAGGTAGTAGTCTCCTGAGTGGAGCACTGTACATAGATAGATCAAAACATAACTCACAAAACAAATTTTACAGTGTATGCTCCTAGAGTATCTTATGAGGGCTGGCTTTACCTTTGGCATGGTCCAACCATGGCTGGTACCATTTCTTCTTACTGGGTATTTTCCGTTCCTTTTCGCTTTCTGCTGATGAGAATATTAAAGTATGTATGATGCTGATGTATGCATAGTACTAGTAAGGAGTAGTAATAGTAGTTGATTTGGTTTTCAATGGCCTGGACACAAGTATGTTTTGTGTTTATGACGTGAAATGATTTAGTCCACAGGATGTACTCATTGGAGAATGTTAATCTATTTCAAAAACAGGATGTACAATAGTGTAATGTAGAATTTGTCATGGGGACATCCTGTCATCTGAGAATGTGTTCTTCAATATGACTGCAGCATGAGTAATCTTAGGGAAGATATACCTCTTTGGAGGATACAAGTTTAAGTTTAATGGGTTTAAAGACCAAAGAAACAAATTCAAAAGAATAAAGTGTAAATACAGTATAAAGTATATATATATATATATATATATATATATATATACACACACACATACATATACATACATATATACATACACACACACACACACACACACATATATATATATATATATAGATAGATAGATAGATAGATAGATAGATCAATAGATCAATAGATGTGGTAAAGATGAGGAGAGCACCACTTCAGAGTGTGTTTATACCTTCATCTTCAGTACTGTCTGGCTGTTTGTGTGTTTTATGTCCATCTCGGTACTTTTGTTGTTTTGATCGAATACGTTGCATTCTGTCAGATGACACCAGAGAGAGGAAGACTGAATTCATACAAACTCTATTAAAATTTTAATTTTTAGGCTAACTTACGATCTCTTGAGCTGTGACAGGGACTTCTGCTCTAGTTGCTGGTAGTATTTGATGTTTTTGATGATGCTGGCTTTAAACAGTTCAAATCCTCTGGAGAAACACAGAAGTTTCAGCAGATGCACATGTTAGACTTTATGACGTTGTTGTGTTGTGTGTGAGTTTTACCTGGAGGCCTGGCGGGCTGAGGCCTGGAGCTCTGCCGTCACATGGAGAAAGTAGAAGCTGAGGAAGACTCTCCGCTGCAGCAGAAGACACAAGAAACAGATCCCATCCCAGATGATCCCGGCCTCTTCCACAGGCAGGCTGCAGCTGCGCTTCTCCACAGCATTGGCTTCACAAAACAAACAAAAAGTACTTCAGACAAAGACAAAGAGGTAGGGCGCTTCAGTGGGTCATAAAAAAGTAAAAAAAAATAAAAAATAGCAGTACAGGTGCTCTACGAGGGTTAAAACATTAGTCTTTAAACAGAAAATTACCCTTACTGGAAAATGTAAAAGTGGGCAATGTACAAACTCGAGCCACTCCGACTGAATATATTGAAAGTCCTTTATTTCGTGAAGGGACGCCAACGCGTTTTGACCAGCAAGATGGTCTTCGTCAGGGCAAAGTTGGAGTGCCTTGGGTTACTACCTTGCCCACTTTTACATTTTCCAGTAAGGGTAATTTTCTGTTCAAAAAAAAAAAAAGTACTGTTTTAGATTCTCCAGCTTTGCATTGATTTGTGAAAAGATGGCAGAATAAAACATACTTTGACAAATGCTTGTAACAAGTGTTAGAAATATATATTTAGTAGTGAATACAAGCAATGAATAAAGATACTTACAGATAATGAGATAAAGATACTAGATAATGTGATTTTGTGTATGAGACAAGCTGTAGGACTTACGGTCATAGTAGCCTTTAACTGTACAGACGAGACTGAAGAGCTGAATAACCCAACAAAAGCCTTTCTGCATCTCAAAGACGAACACACAGGCCAGAATCTACCACAGACAACTCGTGTCAGTACAACAGCATTTACAGTACAATAACAATGTACAAAGCTACAGCCAAATCATAATAGACAGTATTTACATGGTACTCACTGAGAGCATGTTTTTGGATATAATGACTGCAACATTATAAATTATGAGGCAATCCCACAATACTAGACGAGTCTTTGATGGCTTCAGCAGCAACTTAGTTCCAAAGAGAAGGAAAAAGAAACAGGCTAAAAGATAACCCAGTCCAAAAGCTGATATCCGGGTGGCTCCAGTGATGAACACCACAGCCAGAACAAACCAAAAGAAGTACCGGAACACCAGCACTTTGGCCATGTCCAGGTAACTCCTGTAAGACACATACAGACAGAAGAGTTTATTCTCCAACAGGCTCCTACAGCTTCACTCAAAAAGGGAGAGATACAGGGCTACATTCGTATCAAACTCTGTACAACTGTACAAAAAGTCACCCTTGTGTAATAGATAACCCTCTGTCATGTCAATCATTATTTCATCTTTGCACTGTTTCTTCTTACAACCTCCTGTATATAGCTGAGATATATTTGTATTACTATATTACTACATTTTATTATTACTCACTTACATACATACATACATACATACATATATACATACATACATACATTTTATAATTATGCCTGATTTGACAGGAGTCTCTTGCTAATTTTGCTACTTATTTTGAATTTATTATGTATAGTAGTAGTATGTGGCCATACCGGCTTGTCAAAGCCTGATCTCCTCAGAACTCAGAAGCTAAGCAAAGCAGGCCTAGTTAGCAGTGTTGTGCAAGTTCACACTTTTCATGAACTAGTTCCAAGTTCAGTTCACACTTGTTCAAAATTAATAGTTCACGTTCATAGTTCACAATTTTAATTTTGAACTAGTTCAAAGTTCAGTTCATTTTATATTTAGGTGAGATCTGTAAATGAAAGGCTGCATTTATTTTAGACTAAACCAGGTCTAAATCAGGACTGAACCAGGTCTAAACCAGAACTGAACCAGGACTAAAAAAGAACTGAAACAGGACTGAACCAGGTCTAAACCAGGAATAAACCAAGACTAAAACAGGACTGAACCAAAATTGAACCAGGTCTAAACCAAGACTAAACCAGGACTGAACCAGAATTGAACCAGGTCTAAACCAGGACTGAATCAGGTCTAAACCAGAACTGAACCAGGACTAAACCAGGTCTAAACCAGAACTGAACCAGGACTAAACCAGGACTAAACCAAGACTAAACCAGGACCAAACCAGGACTAATCCTGGACTAGAACTTGGAATCTAGCACCGCCCCTGAGTGAACCCCGAGTGCGCTCGGGCGTCAGCTGCGTTTATCTCGGTGGAGCGCGGACTTCTGCGTCGGTCCTTTCGCTCAGGATCACGGTCTACGCAGGCGCACCTCCGGCGTTTCACCGCTGCTGATATCGCGGTGATTTTGGCAAATTTGTATGAAGAAAAACGAAAAACCCACCATTTCAATCCAGGTTAAAAAAGCATTGTGACGCGCGTTACTGACATATGTACCAAGTAAAATAATACGCGCGCGGAGCAGCACGTCCTGTGCGTGTAGATTTCAGAAAATAGGATCCATCCTATTTTTTGACGCTCTACACGAGCTGAGGCGCGTGTCTCCGTCAAAATCCACAGAGAGCATGAATCTATTGTTGTATTTGTGCATTTACCATCAGCACATTGTGCTCCCTGGGCAGTTGTGGATCATGTGAAAGAGCCCAGATCCACATACACTGTTAATTAGTGCTTTGAAATTTACTTTTGAAATCCTTGCGTTTGCCGTGGTCAGTCTGTACAGAAGGTAAATACAAGCAGCTAAACGCGCCCAGTCAAGTTTGATTGACTTCTCATTGAGAGACACAAGAGCCCGTACGTTCCGTTAAAGCTGCCGGTGGAGTCGCCTTCGCGTTGACACGCGGCTGTGGTTTCGCGAGGTGAAGTGCGAGCAGATCGTCACTCGTCAAATTCCGATGTTTAACTGAACTCCAACAGTGACGTACGTCGTTCATCACACATAATTTGAACAAATTCACGTTCAAGTTCTTGATTTATAAAAGTGTTGCGTTCAGTTCAAAGTTCACTGAAAAATGAACGTGTTCAATGAACGCGTTCTTTTGAACTCGTTCATGCACAACACTGCTAGTTAGTACTTGGATGGGAGACCTCTGGGAAATTTAGGTGCCACAGTGGGGCGGTGTGTCGTTAGGCAAAACACTTCACCCACATTGCTTATTAAGAAAATAGAGTGTGCATGAATGACGGTCAGATGAGCCGATTAATTAATACAATTATTATTATATTTTTGAGCTTTGTTATTAGAATTATTGTGATGTGTGAGTTACTGCCTAAGTAATCTAATCTAAGTAATACATAGAACACACAATCTGTCAAGAGGGAAGGAGAGAGATGTGTAGACATAGGGACCTGCAGTTCACAAAGTTAGGTGCTGGGTTGAACAGGCGCCCTTCCATGGGGTCTGGATCATCTGTGTTCTCCCCAGCCAAGACCATCCACTCCTCCACACGCTCACACTCAAAGACCTTCCACTGCTGCGATGCACACATGAGCAGCACAAAGTCAGCTGTGAAGAGACATCACTGTCAGATAAAAACACACCAGAGCATTCAAGAACACGCTTATCAGAGACCCACCCATGAGGTTCCTTGAGTTGGGAATGGTGTAGAAGTCTGGCAGGTAGATCCATTTGATCAGAGCAGAGTTCATGAGCACTGGAGTATTCCATCTCCAAGGGTAGTCTGAAGACCATCAACACCATGACCATTGAGGACTGAATTTGTTTAAAGTGCGTATGACAGATTTTTTAAAAGAATTTTGACTTCATTTGGTGGGATTATAACTACTGTAAATATAAATTAAATTAAATTTTACACCAATCAAGAAGCAATTTGTGAAGTAAAGTTGAAAAATTGGTTGAAAATTACAGGAAGCAGAGAGTTCTAAAATATTTTTATGACATCACACTAGGTACATTTTACACACACAAAAGAAACTAATTTCTGGGATACTTTAAACATGATTTCAACAAAATAAAGGTGTTTTCTCATAATTGTACTTTTCAGATAATTTTTGTGACTTTAGAGGAGTTTTGCTAGGTACAGTTGTGGAATTCTCTAGTGTGATATCACAATTTCCAACTAGGAAGTAAAATTTTCAACCTAAAAATGGCAGAATTAGGAAAATGAGTGTGAATGCTTTTGCAAAAATCTTCAATATAATGATCTTAACTGTCTTCAAGTAAAATTACTTTCACATTGAAATATTTAGTGTAACAACACGAATACTAGGGGATACAACTCACCCAAACATAAAGCAGGGGGCATCCCAACACACAATAAGTACTGGTAGATCATGAAGATGGACAAGAAGAGACAGTATCTGGGCCATATCTGAGCAATGGTTGCTCGTCGCCGTCTCACCAAGATGGCTACCAACCAGCACCCATGAATAATCACCAGAAAGTTCATGCGCTGGCCAATCACATTCACTGTCATCAGGAAGCAGATCTAAGGAAAATGAGCAGAGTGTATCATAAGCAAAGTCAAGGAGAACAGTATAGAAGACAGCGGGCTGTGATGACAACCTCCAGCCCAAACTTGTAGAAGGTGTAGTTGAGCAGGTATTTGATGCATGGAATCAGGCCCTGGTCCAGTGTGTCACGTGTAGCACTGGGGAACAGAGCTGCGATGGTTGGAGGAGAACATTGCAGCTGTTTGTAGTGGTGAGTTTGGTGGCGGTAGACAGTGGCCTCAAAAACTAGCAGCATCAAAACAATAAGGTGATTCTGAAAAAAAAAACAGCCAATCAGAGATGGAAGTAAGAATTAAATGTCAGTTTTCCCTTTCAACTGTATTGTTGTTTAAATTAAAAATTGTTTAAATGAATTGAACCACAGACAGAAGTACCTTGCTGTAGCCCAGAACAGTCGCCTCTTTCCTGATCCCAAACCACCTGGCGGGGTCTACCGGCTCTTTGTAAAGAGTAGAGTTTAACATTTCCTCTGCTAACAGATTGGTCTCATTGGTCAAGGGCTGAAAGTGAAAACAAGAAAGTATTCTTACACAAAGAACACTGACAAAAGTTTAAAACATTTCACCACTTAAAGGGCACATATTACGCTATTTTCAGATCTATGTTATAACAACAACAACAACACACCTGGTGTTATGTTTTGTTTTATTCACACATGTTTACCAAACAAACTCTGTATATTTAGGCTATGTTCTTCTCTAAAACAGAAAACAGAAAACTCACCTTGTGATGTCATGTGGTAATACAGAAAGTGCCCCACTATGTTTTTATACACATTTAGATGATTTCAGCCCTGGAATTGTCTATCTCTATTGAGCAAAAATTAAAAGGTGCAACAGAGCATTTTAAGCTTTGGAGATGTAGACATACTAATAATAAAGGATTACTGAAACATGTGTGAACACAATTCCAGGTATGTTTTTGACATGAGGACATGAGGTAATAGCATTATAACATATATATATATATATATATATATATATATATATATATATATATATATATATATATATATATATATATATATATACATATACACACACAGACATATATATATAGGAACGAAATGTGTTGACTAGTGTCAGAAAGCTTGGTCTCAGTCATAGGTCATGGGACTTCCAACAGCATAATGACCCAAAAAACACTGCTAAAAACACACAAGAATGGCTAAGAACAAAACATTGGACTGTTCTGGAGTGGTCTTCTGTTAACCCAGATCTCAATCTTACTGAACATCTGTGGAAGCAGCTGAAAGATGCTGTCTGGATAAGGCATCCTTCAAACCTGAGACAACTAGAGCAGTTTGCTCATGAGAAGTAGGTCAAAATACCAGTTGACCAGTGCAAAAGTCTCATTGACAGTTAGAGAAATCATTTGTTTGCAGAGTTTGCAACAAAATATTAAGTTAAGGGTACCATCATTTTTGTCCAGGCCAGTTTCATTATTTTGTATTTCTAATAATTCTGTTGAACCACAGGTGAAAAGCAATGTTTGATTTTCATTGGGCAATTTTCAGTACATTTTTATTTATTATTGCTTTTATCAGTTTCAAGTTATTTCAGTGATGATTGTCCATGACTGTATATAGGCATTGTTAGGAACACAAGTCTGTTTGGGAAGCATTAGTAATTGCTGGTTTTATAATTCACTTAAATTATACCTTCTATGTACACACACATACATACATACATAAATGATACATGAGTTTTACCAGGGTGCAGTTGCTGGAGTACTCAATGGGGTTGACCACACTAAGCTGGTATAACATCTTGCACATGATGATGACGCATACCCAGACCGTGGACAGGCACGAGGCCATGGCCCTGAAGCGGCTGTAAGGCATGGCCAGGGACCAGAACACCACCAGCACCAGGTTCATGACAGACGGCTGGAAACACATGCTCACATTTCAGTCATAGTTTAATAAAGCAACCATATGGGGGAGAAGGGAGGAGTCGCTGAGCTTATGTTTTATTTGTCTGTAACCTTTATAGCCTGTATTTCTGTCAGAATAAGATAATTAGACAACACAACTATACCATACAAGCAAGTGTCTCTTTCTGTCTGGCTGTTGCTACCACCGTTTTGTGAATGGTATGATTATAGTAAGTACTGTCCTTTTAGTATGTCTTTAATAAATACAGCCACATTACTTGGAGTTGGATTTTAAAGTTTTCTATTCTAACCACAGATTTACAAAATTACCTCTACTGATAGTCATGTGATATCATGCAATCATACAGTCTGAAGGCAAACTACATAGACCATAGAAGTTTTAAAGGGCCCATATTTAGCAATTTTCTGATCTGTTATGATCTTGTTTCCTTGTCAAAAACATACCTGAAGTGGTGTTTTGCTTTTATTTCATTCTCACATGTTTAACATAATCAATTTGCATATTTAGACTGAGTTCTTCTCTCACACAGAAAACACTCTTTTCCACCTTGTGATATCACAGTGGTAATACAAGTAATGATCTATTGTGTTTTTAAACACCGTACACCTTCACTAGAATAATTTGGATGATGTCTTTACTGAACTAAAGGAAAAAGGTAGCTGTTCATTTGAAAACATTACAAGGTGGAACAGAGCACTGGAGATGAAGACATACTAATAATAAAGGATTACTCAGATATATGTGAATGAAACAAAACACAACTCCAGGTATGGTTTGATGAAGTAACAACATTATAAAATGGCTAAAAGCTCACAAAAGTAACTTTTGTGTAATATAGGACCCTTACCTAGACTTACAATGCAGCTCGTATTTGCTCTGTGATATGTCATACCTCTTCCAGAGACACCCAGACAGAGAAGAAGGCCACCATTTTGATGATGTGCAACTCCAGAAGACGCCACAGAAAATCCTGGATTTTGGTGAGGGTATCAGAGAATTTCCTGGAGAGCACCAGCAGTCTGTCCATGACTAAGCCCCATTTACTGGGTGTCAAAGCCGCTGGAAGAGAGAAGGTACAGAAATATGCAATCTATAAAATCTTTCAGACATAAACAATGGCACTTCTCTCTTCATAAATCAAAATATTCAATTACCAGCAACACTGATATTAGATGTTCCCTTTGTACCTTCAGACTCAATTTCCAGGTTCTCGTCATCTTCTTCAAAGCCTCCTCCTCCTCCCTCTGCGCAACAGGCTCCAGTTGTCTCAGTGTTTTTTCTGAAAATATACAAAACAAGATATAATATTCATATGATCAATATTGATCAAACTTTTTCCATTTTGAACCTGGCCAACAGCATTCAAATACTTAATTTAACTTCTTCATTGTCAACAAGGAGCTGGTTTGGTTGGATTGTGAAATGTAGTGAGTTCAAATAAAGCCCACTGAGGCCTGTTACCTGCGCTTGGGGGTGACATTCTCCAGGTCAGTGATCTTCATGAAGGGTGTGTGGAAATAGTGCAGCTGAAGAATACAGGCCAACAGGAAGAAGCCTGGGATGAGGATACTGCTGAAGAGTTCTGAAAGGGCAAAGGTCTCCAAACCCACTGCTGCCAGCCTGGACCAATCACAAATATACTGTGTGAGCCAAATATCAATCAAAATGATGACAAAATTATATGAGTATAATCAATTAGGCCCAAAAACAACAACAGAAACACACACCTGTTATGCTAATGTGATGATGGACATAAGAAAATTAAGTGTTAAACTTCAGCCTATACCTTTTCAGTCTTCCTTTTTCACTATATGTACTGACTGAACAAATAAACTAACTTACTTACAAAGTAAGTAATGAATAACATAGTTATAATTAGTAATAAAATAATTCTATAATGTGGTTGTTATAATGTGTAAAAACTAGAGTGGGCACCGAGGATCTATTAAAATATTCATGTGGCCGTTCCGGCTTGTCAAAGCCTGATCCCATTAGATCTCAGAAGCTAAGCAGGGCTGGGCCTGGTTAGTACTTGGATGGGAGAAAATAAGGTGCCACGGGGGGGCGCCAGTTGTAAAAACTGCTGTTGTGTCCCTAAGCAAGGCACTTCATCCTCATTGCCTAGTATGAATTGGTGTGTGTTGTGTGTGTGTGTGTGTGTGTGTGTGTGTGTGAATTGGCAGCCTTGCTTCTGTCAGTCTGCCCCAGGGCAGCTGTGGCTACAGTAGTAGCTTATCACCACCAGGTATGGAGTGAATGAGTAATGCTCTGTAAAGTATCTTTGGGTGTCCAAAAAAGTGCTATACAAAATTTGTTATTATTAAATATGGGTGAGCACTTGGGCACGTACTGTTCCTCTGTGAACCCTGTGAAGTGCATCCAGTAGCCAGGAAAGTCCTCAAACTGATAAGTGTAGATAGCAATCAGCACCAGCATGGTGTATGCGACCACAAGCCACCAGAAGATCTTCAGCAGCCGCCTCCAGAGGGAGTAGTAAACCTGTGGCAGCATGGCACAAGTTAACCTAAAATGCACTAAATGTCAGGGGCACCAAAACATCCAAAACACCTGTACCTGATAGAGACAGAGGCAGAGCAGAAACAGCAGCATGTACACGATCTTGTAGCCCACCAGTTTTCCAGCGAAGGACACCATGATGAACATACCCCCGCACACATAGATCCAGTATTTGGCGTAACAGCACATGACCATGCCTCCCAATACTTTCAGGACTGACTCATTGCCACCACCATCTTCTGATGGAAACACAAATAAACACTAAGAACTTATTTCTGTGAACAAACTAATAATAATATATATTTTCTGTTTCGATCATGTGCAAGTGTGAAAGAGAGTAAACAAATAAACCTTTGCAATTGTAAAAATGTACATGTAAATGTAACTATGTATGTAAATGATGGATTTAAGGAGCACTGTGTAACATTTTGCCACATCTGCCATCTGCCACATGGCATTCATTCTCTGAACATGTTATTGTTTTATTGTAGCTAGAGATTTTTTTTCTTTCTATTCAAAATGATACAGTGTGTATTTGTGCAGGTTCAAACCTCCTGTGGTGACTTCCTGTAGAGGGGCCGTCATGTTCCTTTTCCGGCTGAAGTTTTCCTTCACTGACTGTCGCAACAGCAGCCAGAAGGTCAGCGTGAACAGGAGCTGAGCGGGCAGAGGGAAACAGTGGGCTGTTATGTCCAACTTTTACAATAACATGTGATGAGTTCATTGAAAGTGGAAATTATATCAAGTATAATATGTAATGTATTAAACATAAACATTTAAACTGGCAAACAACATAGGTGTGATGAAAATTGCTTATTATGATCAAGCCATATTTTATGGATTGCCTTATTTTTTTCGTACAAATTGTGATCACTGTATGGTACGGGGGAACTTTGTGTCAGTGTTATAGTCCAACTGTGGCCTCACCAGAGCCCCCAGCCTTAGACAGGGGAAATGTGCCCGCTCTAGACCCAACTGCCGGAGGCTCATATTGCCTACAGTGGAGGGCAGTTCGGGCTGGAGCTCCATGCCCCAGACATACTGCAGACAGCACAGGGCCAGCCCATAGAGCAGGATGAATGGGGAGCACAGGGTGGCTGCATGACGTCTGAATCAAAGGGAGGAAAAGTTAGCAATATCAGATCAATTCAAGCTCTGCTCAAGTCTTTCTTATACTAGACCTGGCTCGTAAGATCCAGATGAGACAAGCCCAAAGCAACAGCACAAAGGTGAGCCAGCTGTGGTAGGTGATGCTCCACACCTATGTGCACATACAGTACAAGTTTCTGATACAATTTATTGTTTATATTCTAACTACAATTCATGTTTTTCTTACCATCATGGCTATGAGAGCACACACATAGCTCTGCTGCATCACCACCCTCCCCAGCAAAAAGAATGGGCTCTCACTCTTTCCACCACTGGGGGCAACTTCGGTACCTAAAAGTAGTGTAATATAGTATAATATGCATAACGATAACTAAGGACACTTTAGTATTTCTTTTTATCCAAAAGTTTTTGTTTGTTGTACAAAAACAAGTTTCTCAGATATAGCAATTAAAGTGATACTGATCAGTGTCTATTTCACTTCTTTTAGTATTGTGTTGGGATCCTGAACGCATACCCAGTTCTGTGTTCTCCTCTGAGGCCAGTGCAACTTCTTTGGGTCCTTCATTTCCCATGGACAAAAGCATGAGCTGAAAGAATGCCATGAATGACATGTCAATTAGTTAATCTGAGTGCATTCAACACTGAAAGGCGTGATAAAATTAAAGCATGGTCTCATTCAAAAAGAAAGACAAAGAAATACAAGGAAATCTGTGAGTTTGGGCCATTTGAATTTAAGTCCATTGCGTAAGCTCTTGATACTGTTTCACTTCTGTGTCCTTCCCAGGGTGTGTTGGTGATATGATGAGTTGCCAGAGCGTGAACAAACATGTAGGGCTTTTTCTCTTATTTAAATTTCTCAGAATCTCACAGTACAAGCTTGTAGAATGTAGAATGACATCACCTACTGGTTTTTATGTTCATGCATTTCTAAGCAAGTATGTAAGATCTGCTCGTTGCTCAATATTGCAGATACAATTTTGAAATACTTATAACACAAAAGCATTGTTTGCTGAACACTGGTTAATGGTATAATAAAGAGCAGAGGTAATTCCAGGGCACAGACTCCTTTAGGCACATCACCCAGAGCACACAGTAGCACTCTCTGTACCTGAGTATCATCTCTGCAGTCATCCCTGGGTTCTCTCCACGTTGTGAACTCCACCATCTCCTCATCTCCTGGAGACTCTGCCCCCCTGTCCGTTTTCTGCTCTTCCTCCTGCTCCACACAGAGTATGAGAGGACAAAATCATCTTTCATTCACAACAGTTTAAACAGTTCACAAAACAAGGGTCTGCATTCACTGTATTATATAATATGAGAGACTACAGTAGATGCCACAAACCTTAGACGCTCCAATGTAGCCACTCTTGAGAACTGTGGTGATGGTGACATAAAGCAGGAAGAGGACCCCTGGGTTGGCATACACAGGCCAGTCATGGTTTGAATTCAGGCTGAGTTCAAACGGGGAGGAACAGTTTCCAGATATGATGATGTCCTTCAAGCCGAACAGTCTGCTCCAACACAGAGCCCAGCAATTAGTATCTGTCTTTATAATCTTGAACATATCCATTGGTAAACACTACACTACATTCTCTGATAGGGTTAAGGCATACATCAAATGCTATGACTTTACTGAAGTTTAATTATTATTTGTATCACTGGATACCTGCTTTCTCATATTTAGCTTAAAAGAAAGTCAGTATTGCCGCAAATGGTCTCAGCTTGGCCTAACTCACAACCCAACCACAGATGCAGAGCAGTGACTTTGAATGACTTAATTTGCAAGTGCTTTCCAAAGCCTGTAAGTTAAGTGATACGATATGTTTACCAGACATTATAATTACTGGACTAGCATATCTAATATTACATTTCGCACAGTAAACTTGAGCAGGGTCAGAATGTTATAGGCTGTCAGATAATTTTATTTTGAGATCTAACAGGATCAATAGACTGACAACATCTAAATAGTTGAACCCAAGTGTCTTTAAGATGTCCCTCTGGGCACTTCTCCACAGTGCTGCATGGGGCAGACTCAACCACAGCAGATAGAGTTTCAGTTTTGGACGACCAGCAGAGTCATCCGTCTTTGACATGAACTCAGCCTACAGGTGGCAGTGCTGAGCAGACCTGTCCATCAACTACATCAGAGAAACTCAAATCTGATCCAGACTATTGTTCACTTTTATCCTGCTTTTTGATCTTTTTGCCATATTTCTATGAGCAGGAAAAGGTCTTAGTAATTGTATCCATGTCCAGGTATTAGCAGCAAGTGACAGAGCTATTTAGGCTATGTCACCTCAGCATTAACCCCACAGGCCCCCTAGTCCAAGTAGACCTCCTACTTCGCTGGACCTGCCAGAGTTGGCTTAACTCAGTTAAGTCTAAATGAAGTGGGGCAGCTGTAAAAGCTACAGAAACCATATCTGTGTATAAAAATAATCAGAATCAATAAAAGGTAAGTGAATACAAGGCATTACTTGTCACTCAGTAATCAGTATTGCTCTATGAAATTCAGTATGTCCAATATAGACTCAGCAATTTTGCAACTAATTTATGAAGACAACTAAACTAGCATCTAGAGCGCTATTTATAATTGTTCTACCGAGGAAACCTCATATTGTGTCACCATTAGTAATAGTTAGTAACAGCTTAGTCATATAGTTTTTGTCTTTGCTTTATAAGGTTGTCAAATAAAAAAATCAGATACTGATCGATTATAGTATCTATTTTTATATTAGTATTGAAGTTTGGATTTAGTATTGAAACTAGATACTCATTTAAAGTATTTATACTAAAAAAGACACAAGACAAGAAGCCTTTCCTGAATAGCTTTAGAATGATCTTGAGCTGTGTCAGAACAAGTATAGGATGACACAGGCTAGTATACGCCCATAGAAAACAATTGTGACAACACTATTGCCTTAGACAGAAGAAGCAGTAAAGGCCATGTTCTCGTCACTGTTGACTCACTCAGGGGTCACAGGTTAAGATCAGACTTCAGAATGGGGGGCAAATAAGAGGATGTGATGGGTATATGCCACTCAACCTCAAGGACCAAATAGGATGAGTTTGTTTGTCTTATTATCATTATTATTATTATTATTATTATTATTATTATTATTATTATTATTATTATTAGTAGTAGTAGTAGTAGTAGTAGTAGTACTATTGTGCGGTGAGATAACAGACATGCATATGGGAGGTGGAAGAATCCTGGTACATTTAACACATTCCTGAACCCTCCCATGTGAGTGCAATCTGTACTAAATATTATGTAAACTGTGAAAACACTACTCTACCATATCTAAGCAGTCTTACTAGAAGAGAAAATGGTGTTTAAAATAACAAATCCTCTCTAATTCAAAGAATCTTCAATAAACTAGCTTCACACACAAAGAATACAAATCTGAACATAAGTCAAATCAGGGCTTACACTAAAAAAAGTGCAAAAACTGCACTCACCTCCAAATTTTACAAAAATAATGGGTTTAAGAAATTGCTATATATGCCATGATATGATAAGTCATAACTGTCACTGAGTTATGGACTGCTGCATACAACACCCTGTCTATACTTTACAAAGCAATGAAAAACCACACAATAGGAGAGCAAATGGACAAATGGCTTTACACTTGATTGGTAGACTTTAAGTTTGTGTTTGGCAAAAGAAAAGTAGAAAAAAAGAGGATGTGATTTCTGTGAAACTTCAGGACACTCCCTTAGTAAGCACAAGGCAGTAAAGCATGATCAGTATGTCTGAGCTCAGAGCACTGTCTCAGTGCTCTAATCAATAAATATGTGGTTCAAAAACGAACCTGTTGAGATAACATAGTCTTAGCATTTTTGATAATCTTTTGGGATTTGTGCAAATTCAATTAATGGCTTCACTTTTATGGGGGAGAACAGATTATTATTATTATTATTATCATTATCATTATTAGTATTAGTATTAGTATTAGTATTAGTATTATTACATGTTTGTAAAGGATTTTAACTAACACAACACTTAATCCAAACTGTTAATACTGACCCATTAAATGATTCCATACCTAAACAATAACCATAAAATAACAGAAGCAGCAAGTTGTCTTTATTGTATATTGATACTTTCCAGTGACATCACGCTGGGGGTGTTCTGCATATATGTGTACTGGTGCAATGTCCATCAGTTTTAAGATTGTCTGAAAAGTCATGACAAAATACATAATGTATTTAAGCAACACATTTTCTGGAGGCTGTGATCAGTACAAGCTTATTAGGTGTTTGATTTTCAACAAAAGATGAAAGTCTAACGAATCAGATAGAGCAGTTCTTACAGTTAGCATCACACCCCCAGGGAATGTTGATAGCATCAGCTGCAAAGTATCAGTAAAAGATCTGTCACTGTGCATGTGCTGATACTGCAACATGAAAGTTAGTGTAAGTTAGAGTAGGTGTAACCCAGGACTATTGGCACGGTTGTTACTATAGAAATTACATATTCAGGACAGGTGTGAACTGACCTCTGACCCTCAGTGTAAACATGAGTGAAACATACCGGGCCCACAGACTGGCGGGGGGGAAGACAGCCTGGGACAGTGAACTCTGGTACACGTAGAGACACACCATGTGACCAGCAGTGAAGAAGCCCACCATGACACACAGTGCGTTAAAGCCCAAGTGGCTGATGGGAAGATGGCAGGCCCACCATGTGCACACCCCGATGAAGAGGAGGAAGTAGATGGCTGAAAAGGCCGAGGGCAGCGTAATACCTGGAACAAACACAAGCTATAAGGATGTGTTCTGTATATATAGACACAAGTGCAGTTTACTTAAATAGAGTACAAACAACATACAGCACCTAATGACCTTAAAAAAAATAAAATAAATAGCAATAGTCTTATGACCTACTCAAGAAAGATATATTAAGTCAATTTGTACTATAACAATGAAAAGAAACTCATAAACTCCAATTTATTGTACTTAAAAGTATTAGGTTGTGTTACTGCTTCAGAATTAAAGAAGTGGAGATAGAAAATTAACTCACGCATGTTTCATTAATCCTTTTTGGCATTGTTTTAGTTCCAATGTAAGCATTGGCAGCCTGACTATATTTTTAGATTTTCTCATCTGTAGTTCTCTATGTAAATAGTTCAATGTGGCATATTGTGGACAGTTTGCCCAGGGCATGACCACACACTAGAATAGACAAGAAGTTAAAGTTGTTAAGGGGAACACCTGCCCCAAATTAACATTCCCACTTTGCCTGTCAACAACACATGAACAGTGTAATGACAAGACCCCTTCCTAATTTAGAAACTAGTCTAAGTGAATGCGCTTTTGTATGAGGGTGCAGTACCAGCTAAAGCCAGCAGGCTGATGGCCAGGATACGGCCAAGGTCTCGAAGCACTCTGCAGGCTGTTGATTTGAGCTTCTCAGCTAGCTGCTTAGCTCGGGTTCCAGCAGACACCTCCTCCTCCTGGTCCTCTGCAACAGACCTGTCCTGATGGTCTTCATCCTCTGACAGCCCCTCCTCAGCCTCCTCTACCTCACTGTCCTCCGCATCTGATTGGCTGTCGTTTAGATGATCCAGCTGAAGCATAACATTTTGGAGTCAAACATTAAGAGGTACTCACTTCCGTAAACAATGGCCGGGCCTATTATCAAAGAAACTACCTTCCTAAAAACAAACAGATGAAGTTTGGCTAAACTTGTGACATAATGTTTAATTTCTACAGAAATAGTGAGACATAGTGGTCATCAGACACTAAGAAAACATTCCTCTAATAGCAGAATCAGATAGTTGTAAAAGAGCAGGTGGAGGATATCTTATATTCTTGGCGCATATACAGATTTATCATTTACAGAGACTTGCTCCAAAATGGTGTCCTTTCACTAATCTGATCCAGTCATCTCCATCTAACCACTTGGGCATCTCTCAAAGGACTTGCATATCTCTCTAGGGACTTGGACATCTTTATAGTGACTTGAACATCTCTATACTGACTTGTGTTTCATGTTGTTCCACAAAATGATAAAAAATCTGTGTGATTTGTACAGCTATTTTAGGTTTGCTGCATAAACAGTGGCAGACTGAGGAAATGTGTACTGTATAAATGTTTTGAGTAAATTATTATTGGTGCATCCAGATGTAGCACACTCTCCCCTGGTACCACCGTAATTAATTTAGTCTTTTTCATGTAGTGAGGAAATTGTGTTCCTTTAGATATATAATTTCTTTAGTCCCCATGTTTTGAGAAGAAAATAGCTAGACATTTTGTTACTGACACCTACACATGTTTTTGCCATATAATGTAGTGAGTTGCCCTGAGATGCATGGTGCGACTCACAGATGTAATGTTAGCAGCGGCCACCATCTGCCTGTTCTTCACCAGGCGATGACACAGGATGCTGGTTACCAAGGCAACCAGACACACAGCCAGGTCAGGACAGAGCAGCCGGGCCACAGTCCAGGGCTCATCCAGGGGCAACCTGCACACCCATATAGGACACAACAGCTGTTAATGTATCACATACACCTACCCTAACACTATATTATTGGAAAGAATACATAACAGATACAGTTTGTGCCTTATGATGGATTGTTGGCCTGTTGAGTGGTGCATTTGTGTTTCATGCGCTGACTCAGAGGGCTGGGTACCTGGATAGGCCAATCTGGCGGCTGACTGTGTCCCATTGTGAGCAATTGTCCCCCAGGGCCGTGTCCAGAGGTGGGTAGGTGAACAACACAGTCTGGAAGCAAACATGAGCCAGAACAAATAGGAGGCCCGTGCAAAACACCGCTGAGATGAAACGCCCTGTGTGGCCTGTGGACGAGAGGGACATCCACTTGAATTGGATAAGAAATCAGACCCTTGATCATAGCAAGTCACAGATTTTCATTAAAAAAAATCTAAATTTTGAAAAATAGCTACATTACACTTTACACACATTAGATACACATTTTTCAAAGAATTTAAAGTAGCACAGTAGACTGGATAGGGAATAGAAGAAAACAGACATTTTATGATCACTCAAGCCTCAAATGCAGGACATCCATAATCCATTATCTTCTACTTTATTTGGGGTTGGGTCACGAAGGCAACAGTCTGAGCAAGGATCCCCAAACAGCTGGCTTTGCTTAATGTGGACGAGCAGCGGATCTACTCTGAGCTCTTCCCATGTGATTGAGCATCTCACACTATCTCTAAGGGTGCGCTCAGGGTGCGAGGAAACTTAAACTCATTACCTAACATTCATGACCATAGGTGATGACCCTGAGACACTTTAACTTCTTCACTTAGTGAAGGGACTCCCCACCCATCTGAAGAGACCAAGCCACCTTTTTCCCATACTGCAGAAAATGCAGGACAATACAATACAAGGAACCATCTAAATACAACTCTAATCTGTCCATTCATTTTCTTTCACTTTGTCCGGGGCTGGTTCGTGGAGGCAGCAGTCTGAGCAGGGAGACCCAGACATCCCCTTCCATACACACTTCCTCCAGCTCTTCCGGGGGGATCCTGAGGCATTCCCAGGCCAGCCAGGAGATATAGTCCCTCCAGCATGTCCTGGGTCTTCCCCGAGGTCTCCTCCTGGTGGGACGTGCCTTGAACACCTGTCCAGGTAGGCATCCAGGAGGAACTACTGCAGTAGACGGAGACTGATGAACATGGGACTTCCATCCACAGTATTCCCATGGTGGTTAAGTATGATTCATTACTATGACTAACATAATACATGAAATATTCTATAATACTTCATGCTTCAGTGAATAAAAATGTCTTCAGTTAGGCGACACTTCCATTAAGCGGGAAAACACCAGTGATTCCTTCTGTGTGAGTGCTAGCATGTGTGCGCTTGTGTTGGCAGAGCATTGGATTTTCCACATGGGAAATATCCCCTGCCCCCTGCTTTTCTCTTTGTTTCACTGCTCTGCTAAACATTTGACTGAACCAGAATGTTGTCATTTCAAAATATTATTAACAAAAACACAGTAAAATGTAGTTAGCATGTGTGTAGTAAATACTCCTACGTATTATCAGTGGAACTCAACAGTGCATCAGAGAGCTTACTGAATTGTTGGTTAAGATAATACTGTTTAGAATTTTACTAAATCCACAACCTTCTTGTCTCCATAGAGATAATTAGGTTTTGCCTAGACTTTTCCATAGTATGGCATTAAACATAAGTAACTCTTCTGCACTGATTCAATTACAGCACTTTTATAAAGATCAAAAACATTTAACCTGGTGGCATCACCTACAAATTCCCATGGAGACAGATTTTATGTCATAGCCTAGGGTGGTTCATTCCAAGCAAAATGATAAGATCTCCTGGTAGAGTCCTCTTCCTGAAAAATTACCTTGTGCACCTTTCAAGTGTGACTCCTTTAACCCTATTGTTAGAGAAATTCCATTCCTGTTCTGAACCAAGGGCACCCACTGCCAGCTCCTGCCAGCTTGGCTTACATCATCAAAGGTATAATACTCCCTACAACTGAAGTACAGCCAGACTGGACTGTATTAGGCTGGAATGAACAGCACTATCACAATGTCCTGGGGGTTCATGTCTCCAGCTGCTGGGTCCAGTAAATAAACTTCTCCTGTATTAGAACTCCAGCCTCATGCCTCTTCTCACCAACTTGGGCTTCTACCATTTATTTTACCTATGCTTTTAATTGGCACCGGATCTGCTGATTTAGATGCCACATACCTCCAGTGCCTGTTTGAGCGTGTGTGTGTGTGTGTGTGTGTGCGTGCGTGTGTGTGTGTGTGTGTGTGTGTGTGCGTGCGTGTGTGTGTGTGTGCGTGCGTGCGTGCATGTGTGTCAAATCGTACCTTTGATGGTGTGCTTGTTGGGACAAAGGAACCATGGCAAGAGCAGCAGGTACAGGAAGTAAACCAGAGACAGAACATTGTAGCGAAACAGGCAGGCTGCAGACACAAAATGAACAAAATATGATCATGGGTACAAATATCATCTTTTTTTTGTAATTCAAGTTTTTATTTTGTTTAATAACTTTTAACATTTAATAGACAGCAGCACATTGTTTTGACATTACCATATCTGGACCGAAGGGCTAACACAATTTGAGAGGTTACCTACAGTATACGCATGACATAAAATCATAATTTCAAAACTAAAATGGCCAAATTGGAAAAACAAGTGTGAATATTTTTGCCAAAATATTAAACACAATGATCTCAACTGTGTTCTAGCAAAATGAGCAGTCAAACCTGTCATAGGCACTTTAGTCAAAAATTTGTGCCCAGGAAAATGTCTATATTATCATCTTGCCAATAATTTCTCATAAGAAACTATATTCAACATATTGTCTATACACCTGTTAAAAGTCTGGAGAAGAAGGATCTTCGACACACAAAGAATTATTCATGCTGCAGTTATCACTCCCACCTTTACAAATATCCTCTTTTATATTTGTACTTAAAATAGGAGAAAGCAGATCGCAGATAAATACACTGAAATGCGAGATATGTATTTGTCTTGTTTGTGGCACAAAAAATTAATGACCTGTGAAACAAACCACAAAAAGAAATACTGTATGTATTGTTTGAAAATTGGCAAGGCAAGGCAAGTTTATTTGTATAGCACAAGTCATACAGAAAGTAATTCAAAGTGCTTTGCAGAATAAGATTGTGTCTTCTTGTTGTCTTGTCTATTTTTCTTATGACAGTCAATTTAGCTATATATTAGAGCCCGACCGATATGGACTTTGTTGTGGCCGATATGAAACCGATATAGTGGGAGTTGCCGCTGCCGATAATCGCCGATATATTTAGTGATGTAAAAATTCACTGTAAATCTTGAATTGTTTAAAAAACTTAGGTTTGGCTCTAGTGGATTCTAAATTGGGTTTATTTAGGCAACATTTATTGTTATTCTGACTCTTTACGTCATATTTACATACAGTAGATTGGCCTAATGGCATTTTTGCATCACATTCTAGCTACTAGTGATGGGTATTCCAGTTTTTTTTTTTTTGGAGAACCGGCTCTTTTGGCTTGGCTCACTAAACCAACTGGCTCTTTCGGCTCCCAAGCAACTCTTGAGATTGTTTTGTTGCAAGCAGGACTAAACCAGAACTGAACCAGGACTGAGTGTCGGGACTCGGTCTCTCCCTCACTCGAGCCCAAGATTAGTCTTGGTTTATTCATTTTATGCTGAACTGCAGCCAAATATTAATTGCGGTAATTAATTATATGCATAAATGTGGATCATTCACACGTCTATTCACAGCTCATTCACATATCAATGCAGGTCCAGTAGCAAATATACGGCCAATATAGTCACTTTACAATAGGCCAATAGAAAACAGTCTGTTTATGTGCGGGAGCTACAGCAACTAATCGCTAATAACAAATAACCAAAACTAGCTTCAAAGTCAACATATTTCCAACACTCACCGCTCACACCGGCTCCTCCTCACATCACAAGTCTGCACTAATAAAAGTCCTTTTAATCCAGACTCAAACCGATTGTCTGTAAAAAGAATATGATCTCAGTGTTGCGCACCGATGCGGGTGTAAACAAATGCACGTGAGTGAAGTGACATGACTCTGGGGGTGTGTTCAGGGACAGTACGGACACAGACGCAGATAAATACTGATGTGGAGCCACATATTAGGACATTTATCTGTCTGTAAATTGGATTAAATGAACATAATGTTGAAAGTCTAAGCTTTATAAAGAGGTATAATATGCCCACGTGAAATATTGGCCCATATCAACAAGCATATCAGCCGATAGCCGATATGTCTCCAGGTGCCCATATCGGCCAAAAATATCGGCCAGCCGATATATCGGTCGGGCTCTACTATATATAGTATGTTGAAGAAGCAGATGATTATCATCAATTTAACATATTTTCAGCAATATAATCTAAAAAAAAAATTTACGGCAACCTTCCTAAGCATGTGTCCACACTGTCCTATTCAGTCCCAAAGGTCTGCCTCTTATCCTCTGAACTGCTGTAATCCACTCATAGTCACTGATCTGGAGAATGCACCTTTATACCAGCTTAAGTGCCCAAAATATTTGTATTTGACACTTGTTAAAAGAACTTTACAAGTTGCTGTTGGCCTAAAACAACGTGCAAACCCGGGGATGTGAAAACAAAAGCATGTGTGAGGTGATTTTCAGCAGTAAACTCCAGCAGAGATGATAATGGGCTGTGTGTCTGCTCCAGCTGTAGAGCTGTAGAGGCAAGGGAAGTGGAGCGCTCTATATTCTGTCTGCAGCCCCCAAGGCTTTATTGAATTAAACTTACATGTATGCTGTGCACTATCACTCCTCTACCTTTCTCTCACTTTCTGTGTGTGATCGTATGTGCGCTTGGAAATGAAATGGAATAGTGGGAGGTGTCAGTAACGTTTTTAGCTCCTGAATAGGCTTTTATTAAAGGTCCCATATTACATAAAACTGACTCTTGTGAACATTTAGTCATGTTGGAATGTTTTACCTAATCAAAATAGCTGGACTTGTTTTGTTTTATGCACACATGTTTGAGTGATTCTTCAAAATGAATCTGTCAAAATTTTTAAAGCTGAAATTGCTCTGTTCACCCTTGTGATGTCATGAAGTGATAGTTATCAAGTAGCTTTTATGTTTTGTTCAGTAGAGATTGGCAATTCCAGGACTGAAATAGCCCTAATGCTTTCAGTGAAGATGTCATGTGGTAATACTTCCTGTATTACCACATGAAATCACAGTGTTTTCTGTTTGAGAGAATAATTCAGCCAAAAATATGCAGGGTTTGTGTCAAACATGTGTGCATGGAACAAAACACAACTCCAGGTATGTTTTTGATGAGGATACAACATTATAACATATAATATAAAATAGCATAATATGGGTCCTTTAATATTGGTAACATAAATGCTTTAAGTATGATTAAACACAACTCCGCACACAATCATCACTGTTAAACTGGGCATTGCATGGAAGACTTAAGGGGGGAAATGAGAGGGGAGATGACCAAAGTCTGGAGGAATAAAGGGGAGAGTGAAGGGGAGAGTGAGGAGGAGCAGGGTCACAGGGAACAGCTAGACTTGCGTTTTAAACTCAGATGTGTGAAATGTCACTGCCAGAAATACATTGGTAGATTGCAACCACAGATCAGCAAAGCCTAGATTACACTAAAATGGACCAGGTACAGTAAAAGGTGCACAAAATTGCTCTGTACATAGTTGGTAAGTTTTTTCTGACAAACATTGCGATTACAATTAAATGTGTGATTTATGATTTAATAGATTCTGTTGAAAGTTCACATTTTAAAATGTCCAGGAGCATTAATATTTGAGAATGAAATATGAACAGATAAAATATGAACTCACATACATTTCAGAACATGTCTGCAATGGTGTAGACTAGACCTGTCATGATAATTACTATATACACCATATCTTGACTTTCCTATCAACTCGATATGAAAGCTGAAACAATATTTATTTGGGCTCAGTATTTTTCATGTGTATGCCTTCTTTTTCTTCTTATTTTGGTTATTTTTTTGGCTATATGATAAGATTTAAGCCATAAAAGTTGAATTAATAGCTTTTATGACTCATTACAGATGCAAACTAACTACTAAGGTGTTTCATTTTGCTAGTTATTTATTGCAGCTCATGATTTTTTAATAACATTGATTTAGAATAGTTTTGGTAGTTTAAATCTGCTCTTGGGCTTTTGTGTCAGTGGCATAAATTAGTTCCAGTATTATCGTTTATCGTCTGTATTTACTTCAGCAATATATTGAACTTCAAAATTTGTTATCATGGCAGGCCAAGTATACTGTAGACAGGATTAGCAGTTTTTAGATAATATGATAGGATAATTTGTTGTTTGCAAAGGATGTAAATAATTGTAGTATTTTCATTTTCCTAATTTCGACCACTGAAATTGAAATCTCAATATGATGCAGATTAATCTTGCAGCCCTTTTCCCCCCACTTTCATTTCGCAGTTTTGTTAGACGAGGTGTGAGCCAGTAGAAGAGACAGCTCCCCCTGAGGAAGATTTTTAGTGTGCAATAGAGGTCAAATGGAAAACTTAGGTAAGATCTGAGTCACTCTTTTCCACACAGACACTGGCTTCTTCATTCCAAACATCTGCTGTGCCACTGCACCATAATCATTAGATGTCTCACTAACTTTAATGTAAGACAAATGCTACTTATAAGTAACACCTGTAAGTGAGAGAGCATTTTCTGGTTACTAACATGCAACCAACCTTGAATTTACAGTAATTACAGTGCCCATGATCATACCAAGAGAATTTTAAAGCACAATTGTAGCTACTGGAGTGAACAGCTATGGCCAAATTTCTGAAATTAAATTCAATCCCTAAAATTCACACTTGCCTTATTTGTGCTGAAGTAGACCTGTATCCATGCAAACAGAGTCAATAGAGACCAGTGTGACGGGGTGGCACAAAGAACCAGTTTACTACTTTGTTATTTCCTTCAGCTACAGGACACAATAAAAGCTTTCCTGTCTAGCACATCTGACCTTGAAGAAATGGAACAACATGATCAACAACTATATCAAGTGGAGTTAAAAGATACAATGAGACTAGCTGAGAGACTCCAAAAGCAGCAACAAGACAGCACCATGCAGTATATATAAGATGACATGATCTGATAATGTTTACTGAATGGTGTCCAACAGACCCGCGGAGGTAAGAATGCCACAATATCAAATTTCAGTGTTTTGATTATACTGAGAGGAAATATTACAGTTTAACAATTTTTCACAGTTACTGACAGCAACATGACCCAACAAGAGTAAAAACCTTTTATTTCATTATTGTTGTTTAATGTGTGTTGTTACGATTCCTAATATGTGGTCAGGTTTATGAGATCAAAATAATTAAGTAAAGTGAATGTGAACTAAAGATACAGATACATTTAGGATAGTTAT